TTTTTTTGGGGTCATTTTAAACTCTTAGAAAGAAATTTCTTACTGCCTCACAAAAAATTGACCCTTAAGATTTTTTAAAATTTTGATAGTTTAAATGTCTTTTTGAATACATCCAAGCACATCTCATTTGGCTGAACAACAAAAACATGGCCCTTTGAAAGTAACGCATGCAGAGAAACATATCGTCAGTAAATTATATGGAACTCCTCTGTAGACTGTAATTGCTCAACAAATTAGTTGTTTTAATTAAAAAAATTCAAGACTAATTAACGAAAACTCTCATGTCACCTTTGGATTCAAGTTCTTCTTCCACAAAAGACCTCTTATATTTTTCATAGTCATATTATGGAGTTCACCCATCATTTTATGATCACGTACAAGTAACATCAATTTGTTTAAACTTCAAATGGCAACAACGGATAAACAAATAATTTAACGTGTTACGTCATACCATTATGTTATAATACCCTACTAATCTTCTAGTAAATTCATCATGCACGATAGTCAAACATGATTTGATAACTAGCTTCTTCTTTTGGATTAGTATTTTAAATTAAAAAGAAATCACAATCACTTGGATTTATTTACCATATATAGAAAATATTCATGTTTCCAATCCATCAACTTGACCTCAAATCATATTGTTTCACTAGTCACGTATTAGTAACGTGGATTGAAAATGCTAATACTAAAGTCTTGTCATGAAAACCAGCCGAAACGAGGGGCAATTATGACATTTACATTAAATCACAGAACTAAACTATGGCATCACTGACCGTTACCGTGTTCGAGTTCTTGATTTTAGTAAGTATATCTGAGTACTAACTATTATGGAACACTTTTCATCGGTTTTTCTCGATCGATCCCGCGGAGTCGTTGAATCTAGTGGCGATTTCGAGTACAGGTACTCTTATAAGTAAATTTCTCAATGTGAGGGTGTTGTGTGTGCTTGCGAAGAAGGATTTGATTTTCTGAAGTTTTGGTTGTCGCTGAAAGAGAATGTATAAAATGAATTTTTGGAGTTATCTTATCTAATTCCTGTTAGGTATCTGAAAATTCCGAAATGCCATTTTCGCGTGTCGAAGCTGAGCTGATTTCTAGAAATAGTTATGGTTTTGATCTTCGGCTCTGTTTTCGAAAAAATGGCTAGTGAGTTCTTCTTAGACTTTTTTTTGTGTGATAATGCTGTTCTGGTCTTGTGAGATTCTGTATTGATCCCTGAGTTAGGTTGATATCTTCAATCTGCTTTGAATGCTAAGATAATCACATGTAAACATATTTTCTACTCATACTCATATATTGTTCAAAACCGCATGTTCAAAACATTTTATCTATTAAGTCTTGCTAGTTCAATGGAGAGAAAAGTAACTTAATTGTAGAAATGGTTTAGTGCTTGCAGCTCATAGTTTTGATGAGATGCACTGAGTCAGAGCAAAAAAGTTATTAGCTGATTGTAATCAGTTTCTAATTATTGAATCAGCTCTTGAAAATATGTTTATTTTTACAATATATATATAGACTGTTTCTGGGTGGTTTCTTGAATCCCTTTGTCTTCACCTTCAAGCTCTTGTCATCAATAGCTTGGCCATTACTTTACTACTCTGGCTTACACATTTGTATGTTCTTTCAGTCTCTGGTGAAGATATTTAATTCTCAAGGACAGAGCTCGTTTTATTGCTGGAGACTCTGTGGTTTTGCTAAATAATGAGAAAGATGATCCGAGTTTTTGCAGAGTTCACATTCTCGGTAACGATCTTTTGAAACCGAAACATACATATTTGCTTGACATTATCAGACATTATCTCGTGTTCTTTATGTAGGTGCCAAGATACATGACTATACTTATTATATTGCTACTTTCACAAACTATTTTGTAACTACAAAGATCAATCATTTTCTGAAAGAGTAAAACACAGTGAAGATATAAACACAGAGAGCAGAAGAGACCAAGGCCACAAGCGCCAACACGGTATGAACCACCAATGAGCCACCACAAGAAAGCAGCCCGAGACGCAGCTGAATAACCTCAACCATAGACAACAGAAGAAAAACACAGCCCAAGATGGATCCACCTGCTGCACCAACCACACCGAGACGAAGCAAATCGCAATTGATGTTTGCTTTGAAAACCTCGTCCGTTTCTTTGCTGTTCAACAAGTTAATGGCTAGCTTCATCCCTTGAGCGACGAGTGAGGAGAAGAGAAAGAATGCGAATGAGATGACTTCGAACACGACGAGGTCCCTTTCCACGTCTAGTCCCGCGTTGCACTCGGCTCTGCCCGTGAGAGTGAGGTCACGAGGTTGGTCGAAAGTCATTCCGACAAAGACTGCGACCGTGAAGAGAGAATTCGCGTTGACTATCCCGTCGAGAGCTGAAACGTGAACGCTTGTCGTTGATGAGTCTGAGTGGTTAATGTGGTTGCTGCTGGTCTCTATGTCGGAATCAGCCATCTCTAATGGTTCTCTTAAATGGCTTTAATTATTAGTTATATGATGGGATCATAATCTTATGTTGTGTTCTTGTGATCCCCGTTTTAATGATTTGATATTGTTGTTTAAGAGTGGGTGAGGTTTGGTTTAGAAAGATTAGCATTGGGAAAACGATGGTTGTATGTGTTTAATGACTAATTTAAGCATTTTTCAAGTCATTACGGAAGAAACGATAGTTAAACACGCATTTCTCCTTTTCTTGTGAAAGAAAAAAAAGGTTTCTTCTTCTAGTGACCAAATTTTGACTTTATTCACATGTAAAAACAACACAATGTTGTAGCAACTTTACACGTTAAGTATACACTTTTTACACTAATTTTCTTGATTTTTCTTTTCCCTCCATTTTGCCGGTGTTGTGTTAGGGTCTAAAGAGCGCTTATGCGCTAAACATACTTCTTTTGTGGTGCATTTTTAAAAAATAACCTTAATTTTGTAAAATATTATAATGGTGCCATTTTGCTGATGTGTCATCACTAGAATCATTTTCAGCAAAGTTATAAAAATAGACTTATGTTACTAGATTAATTACATGTTATACCACTCACATTAATTTGGTTATACATTAGTTTATATCAATTATATTGATGATGATTCATCAAAATATTCTTTTTTTTATTTCTTACAAAAAAATATCATATTAAATCTTTCTTTAAATACTATATTTTATCTTTTATTTTTGTAGAAAAATAAACCATCACATCATTCATATAGTAAAATAATATATTTATATAGTGTTATAATTTGAATTTCATAAAAAATATAAATTACTTAAGTGATTAATAAATAAAAGTATATTTTGAAAGACTAAAATTGAAAATAAGGATATGTAGATAGATGATTCATAAATTAATATAAACAATACATAGATGATAAAAAAACAGAAAGCTTAATTCAATAGATATTATTATTATAATTATTTTTGGTTTCATATGGTTAAAAATGTTAATATAATATAATATAAAATTTCAACTATAAAAAAGTATAAAATATTATAAAAGTATAAAATTTAAGTATAAAATATTAATAAAAAGTTCAACTATAAAAAAGTAGTTGAATATGTTAATAGAATATAATATTATAAATATTTTATTTGATTAAAAAGTTAAATATCATAAATTTTTAATTTATACAACAAAATAACTTGGTAAAAAATTAAAATATTTTTGTAAATATATTATATAATAATTTTATTAAACTTTTTGATATTAAAAATATTTGTATTGAATAAAAAAGTTAAGAATGTATAAGTATTGACTCATTTATATACAATTATAGATAATGTATTAAAATAGTAAAAATATAATCTATTTTTATATAATCCTTATGTATATTTAGTATTTAAAATAAATTTCACAGTAATTTTTTTTTCTTAAAAGTTAATATTCTTATGACTATGGTTTTTACGGATTAATCTAAATATGCATTTACATTTGTAAAAAAAATATTAAAATCGATTATAGAATCTTATAATCAAATTTTATTTTTACAATTTTAATACTCTCTATTTCAAAATATAATTTGTTTTGCATCAAAGCACAAAGATTAAAAGCAACTTTTCTTTTTAAAAAGTAATCATTTAGTATATAAATTAAATATAATTCAACTAATTATGAAAAACAGAAAAATATAATCGGTCACATAGTATTCATAGAAAGTAGTAAAAAAATGAAAACAAATATATTGTGAAATAAAATAAAACCTTAAAAAAATTATGAAACAGAGGAAGTAGTAATTTTTTTTATTATCATAATGCATTAGATACTTAATAATTTAATCAAAATATACTTCCTCTATTTTTTTTTGAATTTTAACATCATGTTATTAGTTATCGGTTATAGAAAATATAAAGAGTGACTTCATATTTCTATCCAGATTGCGCATAAATATTTAATTTGTAATCTAATTTACATTAGAATTAAATTACGCTATATTTCATAAAATAAACAAGAAAAAATATTTTGTCAATATTACAGCATAATGTTATAAATAACTCATATAAAATAAATTGTATTTTGTTATATAATTTTTAAATTATACTATATTAAATAAATAATTATTATTTTACCCTGCACAGGGTGCGGGTTATTACCTAGTTATATTTTAAAGGGTTTGGTTTAGATTTAGATATGAATGAAAATTCAAAGGTGTATGCAGCATGTTAGCAGTTTATGCGTTTTGTCCTCTTGATACAAATTTTGTTATTTAAATCTGTACTTTACTACTTTTGATATAAAATATATATATAGAATCACATATGTTAGAGGCGGTACGGATCTCATCTCTAACAGTAAGACGTTTTTATAACATAGATCTTAAATAGTAAGACGTTTTTATATTTATGCTAAAGTATAGACGTATTAAACGTAAAATGTTTGATTTTCGCCAATTTAGCGCCTAATTTTGTTTTTGTTTTTTTTAATTGCTTTCCTGCAAATGTTACACAAGAAAAAAAAATATTAAAAAAAGGATATACTTGAAAAGATAAATAATAATTCAAAATTGTAGTGAAGCTGCGAAAACCACACAAGAGAAGAGGAGGCAATGGCGATCTTATCCGGCAGCATCTTCTCCATGAGCAGAGCTTCAACGACGATGGCGTCTCTAGCCAATGACCCACCATCTTCTCCTCTTCCGTCGAAACCTACGAAGAAACCAACGAATGTCAGAACAGTAACCGGAAACCAAAACCAGCAATTACGGAGGCAACGGCGAGACAAGAAGCCATCAATAGCTCAAATCGAGCGAGCATTTGGCGCTGGATCATATCGTGATTCTGAAGGGTATAAACAATTACAATTAGAATGAGATATCTGTAAAATGTAATTATAACTCTTGCGAATTTTGAATTTTGTTTGCTGGATTTTAAAGGGAAATGGATATGAATACAGTATTCGATGAGCTTCTATTGGGTCACGCTAATAAATTCGAAGGAAAACTTGAGAAAAAGCTACGAGAGATCGGCGAAATATTCGTGGATCGAACCGAGTCTAAGCTTCGTTCCTCCGGTTAGTTTATTTTCCTCAAAACTTGCTTTCTTGCTATTGTTCTGACAATAATCTCTTCCTAATGAGGTCATATAATTTTCATAATCGGATGATTAATGATGTTGCAGGTAAACCAGTTTTGATGTTTACAATCCAATGGATTCTTCCAATATGGATTTTGTCTCTGCTCGTAGCTTGTGGAGTAATCAAACTTCCCTTTAGCCTCCCATTACTCGATGACTTGATCATGTGATTGTACAATACCTTATACCATATGTGTGTCATTATTTCCACTTTTAGTATGGTATCAAATTTGGGTTTGTAGTGGCAAAACAATCAATACCATCGATATAAGTATCATCTTGTTGCTGTGACAAAAGAAATAGTCTGTCATCACTCTACTAATTGGACGGTGAGTCCCAAATTTATAATATGAGGCTGGCCAATTTACGTAATTAGCGGTTGGTGGCCAACATTTCTCACTCTCTCAACGCATTTCTTAATGATTATTTTCCTTTTTTTTTTAAAAAAAAAAGAGAAAAATATCGTCATCTTTAAAATTTATGTCTGTAAAGCTTATATATGTGAATCATTAATATCATGTATGAATATTATATTGCATAAGGTACACATGGCTTTGTGTTTTTCTTTATAAATAAAAATGTGCTCTTAACAGATTATAATCCAGAGGAGCAGATTCGATTCTAATTAGTTTGGTCATTAGTACTGTCAGATTTTCCAGATATATCATTACCATTTATGCTTTGCGTGAGCTTTAATCATGATTCCTATTGTGAATATATAAAAGTTATTATGACTCTTACATTTAGTATTCTATTCTCTTTGATTTATCTAAATCCTCCTTTTTTTATTTATTTTCTTAACATAAAATCCTGCCTTGTTTACTTAATTCGTAAAGTCATATAAAAAAATATAGTAATTGTACACATAAAAAACTAGAAAACTAAATATTGGTATTTTCACATAAATTGAGTCTAATAATATTGACTTTTAAAAATTAGGAAAATAGGAAAAATATATTGAAACGGAGCAAGTCCAATATCGCGTCCCTTTTTTTTTTTTGCTTCTTCACTTTGCTCTCTCTCCTTTTCTCTTTCGTTAGCCTCTTGTCAATTCCCGTGAATTTTCCCGGAGGTTTTATCGGGAAAACAGCTTTAGAAGATTCGAGATTGTAACACGTAATCTCCGCTTTCGTAGTTAGAGAGTGAGAGATCTGAAACGAGTCTCCTGCTGTTTCCGATGGGAACGCTTCAGTCATGGCGAAAAGCTTACGGAGCCCTAAAAGACACCACCAAAGTCGGCCTTGTCCGAGTCAACAGCGATTACGCCGTACGCGTTTTCCGATTTCCCCAATTTTTATAAACCACTTGTTTGATTGATTTTTTGTTTTTGTTTTTATACGTTTTAATCCTCTAGAGAAAAATCTCTGAATAGATTCGGTTTTTGGTTTCCGGAATTCTCATGGATTAGGATTTAGATGTTGCCATAGTCAAAGCTACAAATCATGTCGAGTGTCCTCCCAAAGATCGGCATCTCAGAAGTAAGTGATTGCTTTTCACTTTTTTTGTGTTATCAGTTTATTTTCTGGGGAATTCTTAGATCTGGTTTTGCTCTTTGAAATGATTCCTCTGTTGTATTCACTCTTGCAGAAATCTTCGCTGCGACGGCAGTGACCCGTGCTCGAGCAGATGTTGCCTATTGCATTCACGCCCTTTCCCGGCGGTTGCATAAAACCAGGAATTGGACGGTACTGATTACTCTCTCGTGTCAGAAATTGAACGTTTTATTGGTGCTTGAGAAGAAGCATATGGGTAGTTTTTGAAGTTGAATTTAGGTTCCTCGTTTTGTTTCAGTTCATGAACTGATCGCTTTATGTGTATTCTCTCTTGGGTTGCTTCAACAGGTGGCACTGAAGACACTTATTGTGATTCACCGGCTTCTAAGGGAGGGAGATCCCACATTTAGAGAGGAACTATTGAATTTTTCGCAGAGGGGTCGAATTCTGCAACTTTCTAATTTCAAGGATGATTCAAGCCCTATTGGTGAGTCAGTTCAGTGTTTCTGCTAGATTTGTGGGTATGTATTAGAATCAAAACGAGGTTCCTGTGGAGTGTGAACGCTAATTAGCAACTTTTTTTGTTTTCTCTCACAGCCTGGGATTGTTCAGCTTGGGTACGTACCTATGCATTGTTCCTTGAGGAACGGCTTGAATGCTTCAGGGTTTTGAAATACGATACTGAGGCAGAACGTCTTCCAAAATCTACCCCAGGGCAGGATAAGGTATCAAACATTCGTTTTATTTTGTTTTTGTGTTGTGTTCCGATCTCTCTTTTTTTCTGATGATTTCGGTTTTGTATATTGTGGATGGGCAGGGGTACAGTAGAACCAGGGATTTAGATGGTGAAGAACTCTTGGAGCAGTTGCCAGCTTTGCAGAAGCTTCTGTATCGTCTCATCGGATGCAGGGTACTCTTTTGATCTTATTTGTTTCTGTAGTTGATAGTTTGTGGCATTGTACTGTGGTTGCATTTGCTGATTAATGAAGTGGCTTGCCTTTTTACTTTTTTTTTTCTCTTCAGCCAGAAGGCGCTGCTAACCACAATCATGTTATACAATATGCACTTGCCTTGGTACGTGATAATGATCCCTGGTCATCGAATTAACATTTCCACATCTGAAATAGCAAAGCTCGAAAATTTCTTACCTTCTTGGTGATGGAATGATAGGTGCTGAAGGAGAGTTTTAAAGTCTATTGTGCTATCAATGATGGAATTATCAATCTCATCGACAAGGTATGTCTAGTTTTTTTTTCTGCCGTCATAGTTATCATATCTCAGTATCTTCTTTCCTTTCTCCCTGCTCAGTTTTTTTCATGTATTGCAGTTTTTTGAAATGCCAAAACATGAAGCCATCAGTTCCCTTGAAATATACAAGCGTGCGGGTCAGCAGGTGATGTTGTTGGACTGTTTTTTTCTGCTTAAACTTCACTTGTATGTATACTCACTTTCTTGTCTAACGAGGGCTAATGTATTCTTTCAGGCTCATAGCCTTTCTGACTTCTATGAAGCCTGTAAAGGATTGGAACTCGCAAGGAATTTTCAGTTTCCTGTACTAAGAGAGGTACCAGATGAACTATTTCACTAATTAATTTGACAGTTATTGCTTGTATCTGTTACTTAATACAGTACTTTATTATTCTTTTTTTTTCTTCAGCCCCCACAATCTTTTCTTACGACAATGGCGGAGTATATAAAAGAAGCACCGCGTGCAGTCGATGCCCCAGCTGAACCACTGGTACAAGCATAGTTTCTCATATAAGTGATTCAAGACGTTTGACCGTTTGGCCTCTTTCTCTGGGTTTGTTATGTGCTAATGAAGTTGTCTACATGCAGCTTCTAACTTATAGGCCGGATGATGGACTTTCGGCCGAAGATACTGAACCGGCTCACGAGGAACGTGAATTTTTGCCTTCTGATGATGTCGTTCCTGTATCTGAAGAGACTGAACCTTCTCCCCCGCCTCCTCCTTCAGCCAGCACTCAGAACATCATCGATACAGATGATCTACTGGTGAAAATCCTATTATTATTACTTTACGAGTGGTGATTTCTCTTGTGCTTCCGCTTGCTATTCTTTGTACTCAGGTTCTCTTTGTTCAATTTCCCACGCAGGGTCTGAATACTGATGCTCCTAATGCGTCAGCGATTGAGGACCAAAATGCACTTGCTTTAGCCATTGTTCAAACTGATGGTGAGCTTATTGGTCTACTGTCTTGATTACATTGTCCCTTAATGTTTTACCAGTGTGGATATCGTGTTACCTCTTGTTTCGTTTTCTTTTTCTTACTCATTTCTGATCTTTGTCTCTTCTAGGTAACCCTCCAACGCCTCGTTTTGGTCAAACAAACGATTACGATCCTACAGGGTGGGAGCTTGCCTTGGTAACAACACCAAGTAACGATATCTCTGCAGCCACCGAAAGGCAATTGGTAAGCATTCTTCTATTAGTTTATTGATTTAAACAGCAGATCACAAAATAAAAAAAATCAAACTCTGTTAAGGTAGATTAGGATAAACCTCAACAGTATATCTGGAAAAAAGAAAAACTCTCCAAGCTTACTATGAAAGCCGTACATGCATTGTTCTATCGAAATTGGTGAACCCCAGTAACCTCCTTATCAGTAAGTTATTTACGGAACAGTGAGAATAGGAAGTTGGATTGTTGGTGTATTTCTATAGAAGTAATTCGTTATTGTGTGGGTGTTCATCATATCTTTTGCTACGCTAACCTGCAAAAACCATTATTGTTGTGCATCAAAATGTTTAGGCTGGAGGTTTAGACACGCTTACACTGAACAGTCTATACGATGATGGAGCCTACATTGCTTCTCAACGTCCTGTCTACGGTGCACCAGCACCCAACCCATTCGAGGTCCACGACCCTTTTGCATCGTCCAATGGCGCTCTGCCACCTCAGCAGCCGGCGGTTAACAACCCTTTCGGTCATTACCAACCAATTTATCAGCAGCCGCAGCAGCATCAGCTAGCACCCAGCCCTCCTACCAATAATAATCCATTTGGTGATTTTGGGGAATTTCCGGTTAACCCGGTTTCACAGCAGCCAAACACCAGCGGGTTTGGTGATTTCGCGGTTAACCAACATAATAACCCGTTCCGCAGCACTGGTCTCCTTTGATTATGTTGAATCTTCATTGGTTTTGTTGGAGGGAAAGAAATGGAGAGAGAGTTGGTTTTATTTGTTGTGAGTTAATAGAATCACATGATTGGTTTGATCTCTGTTTTTATTTTGCTTGTAGAATGATAATATATCTGGGATATATATATATATATGCATATATGAGTAAATCCCCTTATTTTTGATTGTTTTGTTCAAAATTCGATTTCTTAAAATTATTCTCGAACTGTTAATTTGTGTGTGTGGAGACGATGAGAGCTAATGTTTAATAATTGTATGCTACAAACAGATATGACGTGTCTAGTCTTAGCTTCTCATTTTCTTTTCCATTCAGAGTTTGACACTTGGTGGATTCCACGAGCCGAATCACCGAATTATAGCCCAATTGTTTTATTCCTCGTAAAGTAATAATATCAAGGAGGATAGCGTAAAGTACTACCTTATCAGATATCACCTTCATCCACGTCAGCGATCCTGCGGGATAATATTCGGATAGTCCCAAAACCGTCAGATCCTCAATTGTGTTCTTCGCACCCTAACCGTCCGATTAGCTTTTCAACTAAAACAATTTTTTTTATTTAAATCATAAAGAAAACCATTTGATACCAATTCCATTTTTTATTAAAATCCCTTAAATCCACACATTTTCTTTGCTTCAGCTCCCCATTCAAGCAACACTACTCTCTCTCCCTCTCTCTCACTCTCTGCGAATTCATGTTTGACATGACGATGGAAAACGGCTTTGATTCTCAACCAGCTCTATCGGCGGAGCAGCCCCCGCGGACACAGCAGGATGCAATCTCTCTCCCACCGTACCCTCAGGTAAACATATAACATCACCGGCTCAGATTCAGAAATCGTATTCCCCCGTTCCGTTTTATGATAGATCTGAAATTTTTGTTAAATCTGGGAATTAGATGATCATGGAAGCGATCGAAGCGTCGAACGACGCGAACGGATGCAACAAAACGGCGATCGCAAAGCACATCGAGTCGACTCAGCTCACTTTACCTCCGTCTCACACCACGCTTCTCAACTACCATCTCAACCAGATGAGAAGCTCCGGCCAGATCGCGTTGGTGAAAAACAATTACATGAAACCAGATCCGGATGCTCCGCCTAAGCGCGGCCGTGGCCGTCCTCCGAAGCCGAAACCAGAGGTCGATTCGAGCCACGTGGCGGTCCCAGCTCCTTCAGTTTCTCCACCGATGCCTCGAGGTCGAGGTCGTCCTCCTAAGCCGAAGGATGCTTCTTCAGAGCCGTCGTCGATTCAGGCGAAATCAAAGGCACCGGTTTCCGGTAGGCCACGTGGACGACCACCGAAGAAGGCGAAGACAGACTCAGAGACGGTTAAAGCCGATGAAGCTCCCGCGGCTCAGCCTACCGGTGAGCGTCGAGGTCGTGGAAGGCCACCGAAAGTGAAACCTGCGATGGTGGTGCCTGTTGGTTGTTGATTTAGTCGAGCTTTTAAGCCTTAAGCAAACCGAATAAGCTTTTGATTAGTATTTTCCTAATTTTCAATTTTATTGTAGTTTTTTTTTGTTTTGGGGGTTAATTGTGTGATGTTATTTTAGGGGATGAGTAGAGAAAATGACGTCTGAGATTGTTAATTCGACTTTGCATGTGCTGTGTGATGTAAATTTCGGTTCTTTGCCCTTTCCTAAAGTAACGGTTGGTGAAAAAAGCTTTTTAAAAAATTTCTTTTATTTGTTATGACTTTATTGTGAGTGATTCAGGAAAGGTTGCTCTTTGTGAGTTGACAATACGACAATTGAATGAATGTTGGAGAAATTATATAAGTTTAAGAAGTTTGGAGCTTTTTTGTTTGTTTTAAGGCGGGAGCTAGAGTGTTGGCAAACTTTTTGAAACATAATCGATCACCGTTTGGATTAATGCGAGTAAAATGAGCACGCGCTTGGATTAGTCCCGTCATATTAGTGATGGTAGTAATCTTCTCATTATGATTGAAGAAGAAGAAAGCCAGAAAGGTTGTTGTTTCTGCTTTTAAGCTTGAAAGAAGAGGGCCCAAGATTGATTTCACGGACCTGTATTGGGCCTAAGTTAATTCAGTTAAAAGAAAGGTGATTGGTATTTTGAAATTAATAATTTCAACATGTTTGAGCCTGCTCTGCCCAAAAGGCTCAAATGTACTTGTACATCCATCATGAGTCATAGAACCTTTCCTACATTCGGACCAAATCGTGTGGGGGTTTTGCGGAATTTTGAATTCAAATCAAACTAAACAAAACTATATCTTAAAAGCAACACAGCTTTACATTATAAATTAATAAAAAAAAAAAAGTTAGGAGTATAGAAACATTTAAAAAATAGTCAAATCTAACAAAATTTACACACAGTGGTTAGTCTTTAATAACAATAATATTCCGAAGAAGTAAATAAAAAAGGCTTCCAAGTTCCAACGATCTAAACAAATTTTTTCATAACCAGTAAAAAACCTCTCGTATGTACACAAAAACCGGCATGTAGTGAACAAAACCAGTGTGATTTTGGACAGTGCAATCTCGTGAACAGACGTTTTTTCGTTTGTTTTGGATTGACTTGTGAGTGGGCCCATTAACAGAAAACTAAAACATACAACAAAAAACATAGGGAATGAGTATGAACACATCGGTTTTGGTCTATTTAGGATATGTCCTACTCGTTTCACGGGTTGACAAAATAAGAAAAAACACACCAACACTTATAACCACTCCATATGATTGTGGTCTATTCATATGTACGTGGTAGATCGAGCGATATATTCATACTCATATAATTATTAACTTTTTGAGATATGTCATGCAAATTAGTTTAGGACATTTTAAACATACTATCGAAAAGAAAACGTATAAGTTCATACAGTTATTTTAGGACGGCTCGATAAGTGAGAAATAAAAAAAGGGAAACAAATAATATTTGTAAAGGGAAACAAGGACTCTTTTTTTTAGATCAACAAGGACATGATGGAAAGGAGTTAATAAGGCAATTTGGAATCGAACAATAAGTTAAAAGCAATAAAAGGAATTTTGCATTTAATCTCTTCGATCTTCCGAAAATTACTTAATCTAGATATATTATAAAGTAAATGGGGGCAAGTGTACCCACACCTCCCGTACTAGATCCTACCCCTGTATATTTCTTCGCCAAACAATGGTGCAACAGTATATTTAAGAATGCATGATAACACTATTACAGAGACGAAGCAAGCAAGCATGAACCCATACCCCTGCTTCATTTTAGAAGCTTGTACGTAAGCTTCAGTTTTCACACACAACTATGAATAGTCTATGACACATTTATAATTAAATTCCATAACTTATTAAATCATCAAAAGAGACTTTTGAATGAACAGTTAATCCATAAAATATTAAATTACCAGAAGAGATCACTTTTGATCCCAAAAAAAAATAAAAATCAAAAAGAGACAATTAACATTAAAGTTTAATTAAACACCCTATGAAGGAGGCATATTTCCAGAATAAGTGTTAACAAGCGCAAGAGCATTACTCGTGAACCTCTTCAATCCCTGGACACGATCGCAAACGGTCGTCTTAATCTCTCCTGTTAGGTCATCTTCTTCAAAAGAGTCCGTACAGTCCTCCTCGTACGTCAATGCTGCACTCATCCACGTCTGCACGTTAGCTATCATCTCATTAAACTTCTCAACCGGTAGCCGAGACGAATTACCGCCGCCTGCGCGGTCTATGTCGCGTAGCTGCTTGAAAGAATCTGTGATCGAGTCGGTCGAGTCTTTTAAGCTCGAAACGCAGTCTTTGACTTCGGCTGTGGAGTTTGAGAGATTGGAGAGAAACGCCACCGTCGATCTAGCATTGGAAAGCGAAACGGAGGTTGCGATTTCGGCTAGCAACGCCGGACTTTCCTTAACACGGGAAGCGAAGCGGGAGAGAGAGGCGAAGCAGACGTCTGGATAAAGCGTCGCGTTGCATCTTGTTCGGATGAACTTTAGATCGTTGGTTCTTGTGTTTAGTGGTGGAGAGTGATGTGCGGCTGAGATTGATCGGGAAACGAAGAGAAAGGTGGTGAAGAGGAGAAACGTCATCATATGGCTTCGGCTTACCATTTTTTTCTGAGCTTCTTGTTGCTTTGTATTTTTCTTGCTCCCGTAAAGATTTTATATATAAGAGTGATTGGCGGTTTATGTAGGGACTTGGGGATAGGGTTTTGATTTGACGATTTTACCTATCCATGTTCTGTGGATTTAATAGATTGCCATCAGTGGTATCTAGGCAATATATATACATAGGTGATACGTATGAAAATTAAATGGGTGGCAAAATAAGGAAATTTGCATTTAATTTCTTCAACCAATCAAAATTTACTTAACAAATTTTTACAATTATCAAAAAGTTAACGGGGGCAAGTGCATCCATTGCTAGATCAGCGCCTCACTGCCACTAATTATTTTGTCTGATATGTGTTGAATTTCATGGATTATGTTTTTTTACCCTTTTAGGCTATAAGTATATATTAGACGAATATTTATCACATTACTAGCGACCGATATCGTAAAGGAAACTTGGTTTCTGTATATTTTATAATTCCAAACTAGATTTAAGTACCCGTACCAAAAAAAACTTGATTAAATGTGGTTTCACCAGAAAAAAAATATAGTTTATATGTGTATTTCTATATATATAAATGATGAAAAAAAGTAACAGGGGACAAATTAACTTTGCTAGATTCTGATTAGTCTCGTATCTAGGGATGTCAATTTGGGTCAAAGTCCAAAGCTCGGTCCGGTCCGGCACTGAAAAATACGGATTTGGGTTTTAGTATAAAAGCCCCAAAAAAATCAAATTTTTTGGGCTAAACTCATTTGGGCTTAGATCCGATCTGTTTCGGACTTATCCGAAAAGCTATGTACTTTATATTATAATTTTATTTAGAAATTTTTATTTAGAAATTATCTTTACAATTTAAAAAAATTAGAGTTATTAATTTTTTATAATACTTTTTATTAATATAAAATCTTATTTTTCAGTTGTTTGCCTTCATATAACATCAATGTTTCAAACTAAACTAGTTTTAAGAAGCACTCATACCTTCATCCTGAAGATTCTCATCTCGATTAAATTTACAATACTTATTTATTTAATTATATTTGATATTAGAATTTATATGAATTTACAAGTTAAAATTTTACTTTCAGATTTGATAAAACTATATTTATGATTAATTAATTTTTTTTTTTCTAAAAAGTCCGAAAAAACTCGATAATTCTGTTAGGACCAGACCGGACTTCAAAATATATGCCCGATATATTATCAGATAGAGCCGAACCGGATTAAAATATATGCAGACTTTATGGGTTTCGGACCGGACCGGGCCAGCCCGTTTGACATGCCTACTTGTATCGAACAATATTGTTTACAGTTTTGGTTGGGTAAATTAATCGTTAACAATCGTTAACATGTACTCAGTTCTAAACATCTAATTAACTTCGAAGTTTTGCAATTACGTAATCAGTTTAAGGCTAAATAGTACAAAAAGCTTAATATTCGAATGGACCAACCAAACTTCGGAAGTTCCTTGGGAATTCGCCTACCTTATTTATTTTTGCGATCGTGGGTTGGTATTTTCATCGGCCATACCAAAAGTACGTTAGAGAAATATTCGGTCACGCAACAGTTATTAAACACCATTCATCTATCAAATTTCTCCAAAATATTGTATTCATTTTTTTGGGCATCAAATCTTTCATTCCTTTTGTTTACGTCTTGTTTGTCGATTACATATGAAAATCTTAATATTTTCATACAAAGACAGTAATGATACCGTCTAATTATGTTTCATATACAGTTATACGTTTCAAAATTAAAACTCTTTAACTTTTTGCAAAGTATAGGATTTGAAATCCCAAAACTACTTAATTAGCATGTTGTTAGGAGATCACATCAATTTCTTTAAAAAGCCTTATGGTAATAGACCAACTATGCTTTTTAAGGAGACATTAAAACTCCACACAGTGGTATTCTTTTGGAATGCTATTGCTTAGGTTTATGATGACTATATACATATATACTAGGTTGCATGGAAACTCCGTCCGAGATACGTTTCCCGTTTCCGAAACGTTTCGGAAACCGAAACTCTCGGAAACTCGTCGGAAACACAAAAAATCACGTTTCCTAAAAATTCTAATTTGGAAACATTTTGGAAACGCATTTCTATTTTAGAAACACGCGTTTTCATTTTAGAAAGAAAATACAAACTAATTTTTTTATTTCTATGGAACAAATAGATAATTATAAAAATTAAATTAAATGATCAGTTTAATTATTTATAATAAATAATAAATATTTTAATTAGGTAATTAAGATTAATTTTGATATTATTAAGTTTGAAAATTATTCTCTAGATGAATTAGAATTAAAAATAGTTTGGTTAATGAAACTAATAAAATTGACAATAAAGAAAATCTTCTAAATTTTTGACTTTATATATTTTAATTTTTGTAGTTCACTAATTATGTAAAAATTATATATTAGATTTTGTTGATTTAAATATTCTACTTATAATATAATTGGATCTTTAATACTTAATATATATATATATATATATACGTTTCCAAAACGTTTCCACTTCTATATTTTTTAAAAATGACGTTTCCACGTTTCGAAACGTTCCGCTTCCACGTACCCGTTTCCGTTTCTATGCAACATAGCATATATATAGTGGGGATGTAGCCAACTTATTGTCATTGCGTAAGACATAGTGTGTAATTGTGTATACATACACGCATACTCGTTTTATGTTTATTTTTTCTTTTGTGACATACGTTTAATCTATTTTCCAGTTGATGTATAATAATATTTTATTTGGCCTTTTGAAGAGTGTTACGGTTAAGTATGTGATGGAGAGGATACGTAACAACTTCTGTTGTCTTCTTTTAAAAGACGGCCATTGACATTATCCGTGAGGAGGAGTGTCGCTTCTGATTTAGTGACCTTTTTCAAAAACACAATAAGATGGAATACATAATGATGATTTTAATTAATTAGGGACTTTAACTTTGTAGAGAGATTCGTGGCAAAATTGGCTCAAAAAACTACACTCATTGCAAAGGAAAAGGAAAATTAGATAGGAACATAAAGATAAGCCACATGGGAACATTTATTCCTATGACCTTCCCTTTTGTTCCAAAAGTGCGTTTTCTTAATAAATAACCACCTTTGACATTTTTGTAACTTTTGTAACTAACAACCTCGATTTATTTTTGAGGAAACGAATGATGTTTAACCGTGGCCTTAGCCATTGTTTTAATGTTGACACAAAGACCAAAATGTTTTGATAGTTATAAAAAAGAAGCTGACCAATACTTAATGATCAAAATTTGGTTTGGTGGTTCGTGATTTTGGATGGGGAATATTGGATTTTCTGTTGCGTTTTACTGCTCAAAAGTTAATTTGTCTGGTCAATTGACAAAGTCAACAGTATAATTAACCACCTATAATCATATCTAACGTTCGAACGCCGTTAATTATGGCAGCGTATATGATTATTGTTTAAAAGAGCGTGGTTTGTTTTCATAAACAAAACATTGTCATGCTGCCTTTCTTTTTGAATTTGGACTAAATATATGATTTTTTTCATGTACATGTGTTCTTTTAACAGTCTAAATATAATATATAAGAAATCTAATTTGAAACTCAAGTAAAAATGTTATTATAAGAAACCAATTGAATTCAAATCCGCTTAATTTATGTTACAACATAAAATGTTTCATGGATAAGATAATTTTGATATGTATTGCTAAATAGCATAACATTTGAGTCATAACGAGAAAAATATGATCGAATGTATAATCATTCATATCATTGAAATTGATTGTAACTTCTTTTATTCTTTTCTCTTCTCAACAACATTTTTCTTTATCATAAGTAAAATAAAGTACCTAATTAACCCCCCCCCCCCCCCCCCCCCCCCCCCCCACATGACTTTATGAGGAATAAACTCCAAATGTCGTCTTTATATTATCTGTTTTATCATTTAAACAATTTTGATAATGTTTGAAGGTTTTCTATTTTTATTTATTTATTATAAGTCGTTTATGTTAAAACTGTGTTCAGTTTTTGATTGATGGATAAAATTGTGTTTTTATCTCTTGGTTTATTGTTTGAAGTAGTATATCTATAATAATCTCAACAAACCTAATTTTTTTGGTTTATTCGAGATTTTACAAAGTACACGAATACATTGCATTGTGGTTGCTATAATTTTATGAGAAATGATAGAATCATCAGATTACTGTACTATATAATCTATGAAAGCTCTCGCGTCTCGCCTCTCGCTACATCGATAATTAACTTAATTTGCTAAAACATTTGCTACACTAATCGAAGTTCTCTACACCAACATAAACAGGTCAACTTAAACTAATACTACTTTACTAAGCTGATGATGTCTTTATTGAAGAGGGTCAGAAAATGATATGTTTTATCCATATATCTGACTTTGGCAAGGAAATCGATTCTTGCAAAAGACCAAACACTGGCTTAATTAAAGCCACCACAGAACGTTACATAAGTAATACCCAAAGCATATAAGTTTGATATATAAACATTCATTCGAAGGTCTATTGCTTCGACTTCTATTGACGTTTAGGCATGCATGAGCAACGAAGGAATATGATTACTACAAAATATCGCTCATCATTATTACTAATATTCCTAAATGAATAATTTATATGGGCTTAGCCCAACCTTTTTATATCCACAAGGGAGATTTGGGCATCGAGCAAAGTAGCCCAAAAGGCTCTCGAGGTATTCAAACTTGGGCTTCTTCTTTCTTTTGGTAACATCTGTGAGTGGGCATTTGCTTCATCGTCTAGACTTTAGAGGATAAGAGAAAACAATAATTAGAAGAAGCGAAACGAAATTGAGAAACTGTAAATCTCTGATGATATGAGGACGGAGGAGAAAGAAGAAGGGGAAGAAGAACAATGGCGATCAGTTCACGAGGTTTTATTGATTGTTCTTCCTTACCTTCATTCTCTGTTCGAGCTTCTCTCGATGACTCGCGTTTCCCGGTCTTTCAGAGATGCGATTCGAGATGAAACCGCGTTATGGACAAACGTCGTTGTTGAACCACCGTTGAGCTCTCGTCTAACCGATGAGACTCTATGGGATATTACTTCCAAATCCGCCGGGAAATTGAAGACTCTGGTTCTCCGGCAATGTCTTCGAGTCACCGACAAGGGGCTTCGACGTGTGGTGGACGCGAATCCTCTTATCCGAAAGGTCATTTCTCAATTTCGTCTCCAAAAATTCGATTTCGAACTTGATCAGTTTTGAATTGGAAAAAAGCGAAACTGAAATTTTCCCGATTTCTTCTGGGAATCTGAAGGAAATTCTCCGCCTCTCTCTTATTGAATTTTCTTTCTCAGATAATTGTGCCGGGATGCACGGAGTTAACTCCAGAAGGAATCATGGGATGTGTTGAAAGCTTGACGAAGAACAATCATAACGTGGAGACACTTCACATCAATGGCGTCCATGGCTTCACCAAACACCATCTTTCATCACTTTCGAATTACCTTCCTCAGAAGGGAGCAATCGACGTCGAGGTCTGCCCTAAATGCGAAGAAGTCATGATGATTCCGGATTGTTCAAGACGATCATGTGTAAGTAAACTGAAGTTTTTGTACACACTTTCAGAGATAAATTGGAGTAATTTTTTAAAAGACTCTAATACCAACGTTATGTATTTCTCCTTGGTTGAAGAATCATAAGCAAACGAGTGAACGCAAGTGCAGGGGATGCCGCTTCTGCGTCCCAAGATGCGTGGAGTGCTCAGTGTGCCTTGGACCAGACACTGAGATCCAAGAAGCAGCGTGCGGTGGCGACGTCCTGTGTCTTGAGTGTTGGCTTGTGCTCCCCAAGTGCAGGTTCTGCAATAAACCCTATTGCACAAGTCACAGCAGCCTGCGACATGAGATTGCAGGCACTGATGCTGCGTCTCGGCCTATGTTTGAATGCCAAGCTTGTTACTATAGGGCAGGTACAAACCCATATGACGCTTTCGATTATCAAATCTAAAATACTTTGTTGTCTTTTATCTTTGTTCATGGTGTATGTAAAAAAGCTTGGATAATGAAATATTCAGAGACATTCATGGAGTAAAATAAAGAATCAAGCTTTCAACACATGGATTAGTTACATTCATCGACGATCCTGAAGCCGAACCTAACCCTTAATGAACTCCTAAGTCAAAGGAGATGATCAACAAAACTGGGTAGGCAAACTAGACACAGAGAGAACAAAACCACCGAGCTCTTTCGTCTCAAGTGTTGCAGGAAAAGAAGTTAAAATTAAGAAACAAGAATCGAGAGTTGCTGCTGTTGTTGTTCTTTTCAGAGTTTCTACAAGAATACTAAGGCAATGATCAGTAGAAGGGAGAGGAGTGTTAAGTCAGTGAATGAAGCGTGACGATGATAGTACTGTGGGATGCAGCCAGAGGTTGTGGAGTTTGCTGAAGGGGCCATCGCAGTGGTGGTGTTTCCAAGTGTCTGATTGCTTTTCGCACTGCAAAACGTAGAGAAAGCCGATACAAAAGCGGTGAGCTTTGTTCATTCGGATCTCAAAAGTTTGAATCTTTTTGAAAGAAGAAGAAGAAAGTTACCTTCCAGGAAACACGCATTTTCCTCGACCTGCAGGGAGAATCAGAAGAAACACAAAACTCCATTTTCAGAAACAGAGCAAAAAAAGGTATTCTCTTTGCAAAGAGGTGAGAGATTCACATACTTGGATCAGTGGTGGTGACTGTAGCAACTCCTTTGAAATCACAGCTCCCTAAAGCTTTCCCCATCTTCTGGTAATAAGCATTAAACGCATAAGTAGAATGCGCAACCACATCGTCTGGTTCATAACACGCCTCACCCTGCATCAGCGCCGAGCAATCGACTTTCCCTGGACCGCAAGCCCAGTCAAGAGCCGCCTGAAGCATCTTTTTATCAACCTTTTCCTTCGCTATACAAAACGTCTGGTTCGTAGTATCATTCGCCAGAACCGCACCTGCACCCGCCAAACGCAACGTGTAAACCGGAGTCCCGTTTGTATGAAACAGTCCCCAGTTCTTCTCGGACACCGGTCCAGCCCTCGAGTCCTCGTTGTAAAGCTCGTAGATGTATGTAGTAACCGCAGTTCCCGGGTGTTTCGGCGTTCCGGTCTTGTTGATCACGTGCTGGATCAAATTGCTATTGTAAGTGTTTGCGTTCTCCACCGTCGCATCGTGTTCTGAAGCATCTCCCTTCGAGGGCCAACCCGATTCCATGACCACGATTGGAATGTTGGTGAAATTGAGATAAGACATTGCGAAGTAAGCCGCGTCTACGATCGCATCAAAGACGTTTGTGTAATGTAACAGTGTGTTTGCGTCTACAGCTTCCTTGTTGGCCTGGAGAGGCTGGAAAAGCGCGTAATCAAGCGGTATAACGCCGTTTGACTGAACGTAGTCGAAATAAGGGTAAACGTTGAGCATCAACGGCGATCCAGTGGACTGGAGGAACTTGAGGAGAGGGACGATGACTGGATCCCAAGTCTTGTTGAAGAAAGCTTGAGAAGGAGGGAAAGAATCAAGAATGATGGTGGAGGAATGTGGCGTAGATACTTTGATCTGACGGTCGAGATTGGCCGTGATGAGAGCGGATTGAATGTATTTGAGGGCCGATACGAGCACGGAAGCTGCGTTTGAGAGGGTGGTTAGGACTTCTGATCCGACCGCGATTGCTGTGATGTTGGTCGCGGGGTAGTAGGCGGCTACGTTTCTGCTGACCCAATTGGCTGCGGTTGCGTTTGATTGGCTGATACCGAGAAGCTGGTCGTTTGGTACAGAGATTATCACTTGAATGCCCGTGTGAGCAAACGCTAGGAGCATCGCGCGGTCTGCGTCGTAGAGGCGGACGCGGTTTATGCTCTGTGATTTGAGGAGTGTTACTACTTGTGTTGGACTTGGCATGTTCGTGACTTCTGTGCCGATATTCACACCGATTAAAGAATCTGAAATATATATTTGAAAAAAATGAACGTTAGCATATTAATAATCGTGTTGCGGTACAATTCGCATGAAAAATCAGTCAATTGGTCGGTCCACTCGTGAATAAACATTTGAATTCAAATGCTTATTTTCCAAGTACGTATGTAGAAACACAAAAGAGAAGCCATTGGCTGGTGAGCCAAAGACGAAATTGCCCTTGGAAGTAAGGGCATGAACTCAACAACTCAAAGGGCAGCTTGGTCTAGTGAAAAATTATCAGATTGCAGAGTACTGGAAGAATGTGAGCTGGGATGCAATAACCTTGAGATTCTCATTCCCATTAAAAAGATGGAAGACTAGAAAAATTAAAGAAGTAATTTTTTTTAAATAAAGTCTTCATCTTTGTCTGGGAAAAGTAAATAAAACCATTGATGAAATGAAAAATACCCAGAATCTCGAATCCAACAAACAAAAATCCCTTGAAAATATCGGATTTTTCTTAATTTATTTTTGCATTAAACAGAAATTGAACTAACTCAACGTCTAAGTTTACTAAATTAAGTGAGCAAAAGGAACAACACATTTTCTAATTAGTAAAGCATTAACAGACAATGTCTAACAGAGAGATCTCATCCAGCAAAAGAACACACAAAGAAACAGACAAACACAAAACCCATAAAGTAGTAGAAGAAGATTTTAGATTATTTATTTCTGCAGGAGAGAGATAGAAGAAACATAGAAAAATTACACAAATCGGTTTAAGTTGATTTGAAGAAATTTCAGAAAGTTTTACCTTGGGAGAGAGCAGAACTTGCAAAGAGGAAAAGGAAAAGGAGAAGAAGAGCAGCCATTGATGGAGCTTCAAATCTTGGAGATGCTTTGATTTGCTTCTGAAGCATAAAGACAAGACAAGTCTCGAGGTTCTCTGAAGTAACCCACGAGAACAAAATCCAACCAAGACAAAAAATATATTTATATAAAATTAGATATAGAGATAAAGAGAGAGAATCAGTTCGCTTCAAAAGATTTATATATAAACTGAAGAAGCCTAAAGTTGGGTTCCTGAGTTTTCTTTTTAATTTGCTGAAAAAGATGTATCGTACCACAAAATAATTATTATTTATTTTTCGGTGGAGAAAAATGCTTTTATTTCTCGTCTAAAAAAATAGCCATAAATTAATGTTCTAGGATTCTATTTTCTTACTTCAAATTTATGATAAACCATAAATTAATTGTGTTGTGTTCTTAAATTATTCATGGCTTCTGCTGTAGTGGCAGTGAATCACAGTTGATTCAGTTCAACGGTCATCTATGCAAATGTTTTTTCTTTTCTTTTAGTTTTGAGCCTTCACTCTTTATATACTTACTCCACGAGTAATCATTTTTCTGTTTTTTTTTCCTACAAATAATTTATTTCTTTTTAGTACTATATGAGAGATTCCTAAATCATTTACAGGCTGGATTTTATTTTTGTTGCTTTTGTCAGTCTTTTTGTTGCATATTTTTCTCATTTTTCTTGTTATTTTCTTCTTGCCATTTTGGGTTTTAATAAGGTTCGTATCTCTAAACTCTGACTTGAATACATCGTCAATGTTTGATAGATCAGACGAATAAAATAAATTGTATATTCATCAACTGTGAACTATCCACTCGACTTGGTTTTTTTTTTTTTAAATGCTAACTGATAAGTTTTAGTTTCTCAAAGCCAAAATATTACGTCAGACAGAAAGTAAAGAACAAACATTTTTAACTTGATATGTGCGAATATTAATGCTTTAACTCATACTACTATTGTGTTATTCTTTGGGCTCATATTGGGTTGGAAGATATAACTCTAGGTAGGCCCAACATTACGGCAGTCGTAACTTTCACTATCCGGGTCGGGTCATAAGATCCGAAATTACAAGGATTCAAAATCCACTCTCCTCTGTTCATCTAAAACCCTAAAACCTTCTTCGATCAGCATTCGCCATTATCCCGAGATTGAAGTCGTTTAGAGTCAAAACCACTCGGATATATCAGAATGGGCAAACCGAGCAAAGGGTTTGGGTTTTGCTCTCCTCTTGTTCTAACGATGATTCATCTGAGCTCAGATTTTGCTGTTTCTGAATTTGATTTAATGATTTGTGAAATTTTCCACTTTCAGATCGGAAACAGCTTCCAAATCTGATAAGAAATTTGAGAAGAAGCTTCAGTTTTACACAAGTAAGCCCTGATTGTATCGAATTCGAAGAAAATTCTCATAGACAATCAGATTGCAATGTGTTGTTCATGTTCTAACATCTTCCTGAAACTTTTTGTTGCTAATGCAGAGGTCAAAGATACACTTGCTTCTTTGTCTGTCCAAAAGGAGATTGGGAAGGTAAAAAACCTGAAAACAAACCCTTCTCTATGTAGAAATTAGTGAGTCTCTGTTAAATCCTTGAGAATGTTAATGTGAGTGTGTAGCTTTGAGCTTACATTCGACTTGTAGGAGCTTCTAAAATGAGCTTACATCTTTGAAAGCTTTGAACTTTCCATATGATTTGCTACTGACAAAGAGTAATTCTGAATTACTGATTTGATCAGAAGAAGAAAATCCGCAGCCGTCAGAAGAAACTGAAGGCGTATGATCTCTCAACCCTCTCGGAGTTTCTTCCAGAGTTCAATGCTTCGAAGAAATCAGATCTTCCTGCACCTGACTTGAAGATGAACTGCAAAAGGCGTCAAGAGCTCGTGTATGTCTCCATTTCATTTAATGCTTTAAACTTTCTTTTTTTCTCTTGATTTGGTTCTGAAAAGGGTTGTATTTTGTGTGTGTGTGTGTGTATTAGACTAACGGAAGGTGATAGATTGAGCAAGGTTCTAGACCATCCAGCTTTCCAGGCAGATCCGATTGGTTCGATATTCCAGCACTTGCAGAGTCAGCAGCCACCGGTGGAAGAGAAGCCGAAGAAGAAGACTAATATCAACGGAAGCAAGAAAAGGAATCGGAAGAAGGGAAAGTCTCAATCCATGGATTTCTGATTTTGAGGTGTAAACGTATAAGTTACCAATGTCTTGTATTGTCCTCTAGTTGAAGAGCAAGTTTTTGGAATATGATGAATCTTTCAATTTTTTTTTTGTTATTATCGTTCAAATTACACATTTTTTTTTTTTTTAATCATAATCCCTATAATGTGCTCGAATCACAAACACAGAATACTCAATCACACTATAAAGAGAGAGGAGTCTAAATCTGTAAACTTCTTTTTTTTCAACGGTTTCAAAGCCAAATCTTTCAGTGGAACACAAATGATCACGAGAGTGGTTCGCTGATCTCCAAGAGTTCATTGCAGAGACCTGTGAAGACAAGAGAGTCAGTTTCGATGGGTCTAAACTTGATGAGCGCTGATGGAACAAGCTCTTCGTCTTCCAACGTTCTCTGTTTCTGTCCCGGTGCAGGGGTATGCGGAATCACACGCCGTTTAACCAGCACAGGATCCAAAAGCTCGAACTGCAAACTCGGTTCTTTCAAAGCAGAGCTCACAAACTGAGAAAGAAAAACAAAAACCATACAAACTTCAAAAACCTTTTTTCTTCTTAATCGTGGACCATTTTAAAGAGAGTTTGTTCAGATGCTAACCTCATAGAGAGCAATGGTTGGTTCCCATGGCGCAAACACGCCTTGAAGCACAACTCCATCGGGAAACTGCACTCTTATCATACTTCTTTTGTATCTCTTTCTAGCGGCTTTCGCTTGCTTCTCCCTGAAAGATCTCGGGATCAAAAGCTGTGATTCCGCAATCTTCTTCCTCCTCAAATCCGCCTCTCTCTTTATTTCATCCGCCGAGAGGCTATAGAACGAATCAGGCACCTCTATTCTCGATGCTACGTTTTCAGCCACCGAGAAGAAGACACGAATCTAAACCCAAAGAGACCAAAAAAAAAAAAAAAAAAAACACATTTCTTAGAACAAGTCACAAACTAACAGGATTCTGTCCTAATCAAGCAAAAAAGGACTTTTACCTCTCTATCGATCTTCTTTGGAACCACTGGTTCCTCTGCTACACCTACCTGAGCTGAAGTTCCTGAAATCTCATCTTTTCTAGGCATTTCAATCTTTCTGTTTTCTAAAATTCCGACAACTTTATTGATCAGCTGAGATTGTTCTTCTCCAGGAACTTCCATAACCGCCCAAATCTCTCCATTTTCATCTTTCAATTCGAATCCAACGAGCTCAAGAATCTCAACGCCTCCAGCGACGTCACCAATGGCTTCCTTGATCTTAGCATTGCTCATTCGAACCTTCCTAAACTTGCCGTTCTCAGGCTCTTTCACTATGTTCTTAAGCAGCCTAAGCAGAACATCAATGGAGCTCTCCGTTGGTTTCGCAGAGAGATACACAACCACAAGCTTCTCCATTTCGGATTTGTCGTCATCATGATTATCCTTATCCGACGCAGATTCGTCTCCGTTGGTGTTCCCGAGACAGCTCTCCACGTGGACGGAGACTTCTTCCTCCGACGTGAAAGGACTTTTACAGATCGGACACTCGAACATGTTCAGAGAATAACCGTTCTGAGATCTGTTCGAAGACGTAATCAACGCGCCGAACGGGTCGAATCCGTCTTGCGGAGCACGAACCGGATCAGGATCCGGTTTTATCGTTGACCCGGAAGATATGGGTTTCTCAGGCAACGGCGTCGAATTCGACGAAGCTGTAGAAGACGAACTCGGATTCGGATTCGGCGAAGGTTTGGGCCTAGGAGTCGGATTCGGAGCTTGGGAAGAGTTAAACCGGTTTTGAATCGGGTTAACGGGTCCAGAGGAGGAAGAAGAAGATCCGAGAACTCTACCTGAGCCTTTGAATTTACCGGAGGAAGAAGAGAGATTGACTTTCTTCATGAATCCCTTTAGCTTATCTTTAACGTCATCCATCTTCTTCTCTGTCGGGAGAAAAAAAAACTCAAAGCTCTGAAAATTCTGTATGACAAAACTTATCAAATAAGGAAAAGACAGAAACGTTGTGATGAAGAGAATTCAGTGAATGATTTTTGCTCTGGTCATCGAAGAAATTGTTTCCTCTGTTTTTCGCTTCGTTTTATACTTCAAAGCCAAATAAATTGTGACCTTGCTGCGCCATTAACTACTATTCATGGGCTGGGTTAGGCCCAATATTGAAGAGATTATCAAATATGGGCCAGTTGTGGAACATAATATGGTTAGATATATACACATCTTTGCTTAATCCATTAGAAGAGCTGAAGAGGGGTGAGATGATGGTAACGTCACTTGTTAATACTGGAGATGGATTTATATATTCTTAGGAACTTTTCTTTTGTTTGTGTGAACGAAAAGTTTCTAAAAACACTATGCCCCATTTCAAATGACGTACATTGGTTTTATTCTTTGTAAAGTTAATTTTGGTAAATTTTAAATTAGATATTGAACTCGAACTTTAACTATACTTTCAGATTTTTTTATAGCTAGTACTAGTAGAGTGAAAATTAGACAGCATAGCTACTTTTTAAACACTAGTTCATGAAAACGCAGTTGTTAGTTGATTCATTTGCCACTTGCACGTAATTTTAGTAACTTTGTTTCATAGAAACATATATTTTCTTACAAACAAAACATATAAAGATGTGTTATTATGAGTCATTAGAAAATACATAGTGTTGGCTGTAGCTGCTTCTTTTTGGCCTAGGATAAGGTTGAAACCAAAAACTGGAATAGAAATACAAAAGAAGTAAAACCTTTATTTTAGAAACCAGGGCGAATAATAGATGATAGAGAATGTGTCACGTAAGCCGATTGTTCCACCAATGATGCTTTTTATTTCCCCTCTACTTTTTGTATGAAACATAATGATATTAATTTGCGCACTTTATAAAGTTTTATTTACTAAATTTTTATATTTTATAAGATAATATGATCAATCAACTATACCCACCATTGACATCCTTTTACTTTAATTGATCATATCTTAAAAATTCGACTTTTCTATTTTTTCCATAGCCGTTAACACTCCAGATTGAAAACAGCAGCTAGTCCTGATAAAGAACAAAGTATTTTTTTCATTTACCAGAAATACAAACATGTGTAGTGGTTTAGATTCATAGAACAGTAGCGTACACTTTTTTTTTTCACCAACACTAATTAGCACACATTACGTAAATGGAATCTTATCAACAGTGTTAAGTGATTCTGATAAATAATTAGACTATCTCCAATGTATTTTGCTATATTTTTTCTATCTAAATTAGAGGTTAATTTCTCTACAATCTATTTTTATTTTAGAAGAATATCTCTATTTTAGAGGAAAATATAGAGATACCTACTTTTTCTTTTGCATTTGGAGAAAAATATAGCATTTTTTTATAAAAAAAAAAAGAGATGAATTGGAAAACAAAAATAACACTTTTCTTTTTTTTTTAAAATAAAAGAAAAAATAGAAAAAAAATTGGAAATACTCTTAGCAGCAAGATGTTGTTTTTATATTAATGCATGCGCCATTTTATATAATATTATAATAGTCCTGTTCGTTTGGTTGCTGCATGCGGCTGCGACTGCGGCAGCGGTAATGGTAGCAGCAACGGCAAAATAATATTGCCGTAAATTGTTGTTCATTTTGTAGCTGCAGCCACTACCGCAATAACAAATTGTTCTTCGTTTTGTAACCGCAGTCGCAGGTTATAGACGCAGCCGCTATCGTAATAATAAATTGTTGTTCGTTTCATAGCCGCAGTCGCAGGTTATAGCTGCAGCCACAGCCGCAAGTACTTATGACAATGAAACGAACAATAAATAATCACAGGTCGCAGCCGCAGCCACAGATCATAACCCTACCATTGATTTTTTTTGGTGTTTAAAATGTTTAAACGCAACAATCTGCATATGCCGTAACGTTTTGCCGTAAATACTCTGGCAGCAACTAAACGAACAACAATTTTAAACGCTGCCGCAGCCGCAGGTGCTGCGGCTGCCAAACGAACAGGGCAAATATAAAAAGATACGGATACAAATCTTAGCGGCGTGAGTTTTCTATTTTCTATATACATTTGAGAGAGAAAGAAAACTTAAATTAAAGCGAGTCAAAAAGGAACCATCTTTTAGGGTTTGGGTGGAGAATATGAAGAATCTCTTCGCTTTTCTTTCTCCTTTATGCATTTAATTCTTTTTTAAAATGTATTTGATGATACACGGAGTCAAGATGCGAGAAAGCCCATAACGTAGTTTATTTTCCACCTGAAAAATAAAAAAAAACATAATTAGCGGATGTAAAAAAGTGGGATACACCAAAGTGCCTTAATTATCATCTTGGTCCATCCATTACAATTGATCCCTTTATTTAAAAAAAAAACCGTTTTGGTTGTGATGATTATTATGTTCCATTGCGTATATATAAAAAATGAAAATGATTTAAGGAATGATGAGTCATTTTACTTACCTTTAACTCTCTCGCACGATTTTGCCATAAAAGAAAGAAGAACGACGAGTAACGTAACTCCAGCAATTAAGCCAACTATGATTGCAAGTGTCTTCTGTATCTCATCGTCATTATTGTCACGATTCCCACCTAAATCCACCCCAAAAAAAAGAAAAACATTTTAGACGATACGTTTAATATAGAAAGACATTAATAATTACATGCATAAATAATTATATTTAAAACAAATTTTATGCGTTTGTGAATGTACAATCTAGATTTAAGAACGTGATATGGTGCCAAAAATCAGGGTTGAATAAAGAAAACATGCTAATTAAGATTAATTACTTAATACGAAACGCATATAAAAAGAACCTCAAGAGAAACAAAAGCAACGGAGCAGAGAAGGCTTTTACCGTAGCCGTTGGATCGCGAGTGGCCTCCACGCTCTAAATACCGCGCGTAGCACTTTGCTAAGTACACGTCACCCCAAGCGGCTGTTACGCAATCCGATTTCAGCCGTCCGATCGCCTCCATCAAACAGTCCTGACACTCGCTCGCACTGAGATCTCCGGTGCACTGCGCCACACCTTGTAACTCCCCCGACACTCCCACTCTGTAAGAGCCACCGCTACTCGCCGCTAAGTAACCCACCACCGAGTCTCTCCGAGTCAACTCGTCCGAGTTATACCCAACCGGTGATCCACAACGTCTAACCACCACCGTCTTATCTTCCACTCCGAGGAACGTGGAATTGTCGTACTTCACGAAACAGCCTTCCAGCTGCAACGCACCACCATACGCGCCGGCGCAGAGACTTCCGAGACGGCTAACGGCTCGAGCGACGCACCTAGCGCAATCACCGGAACCGGAGGAGAGATCGCCGCGACACTGGTACAATCCGTAGACGGGGCTGTCGCCGCCGGATATTCCGTCGACGGTGAAGTTGCTGTATGTATAGAGAGAAGCTGAGCTAACGAACGAGGTGAGTAGAGAGTTGACGTTCGACTCGTAAGGCGATCCTGGAAAGTATTTTAGTTGCGAGCAGCCGCCGTAGACAAAAGTATCAACGGCGGCGAATGAGAATGTTCCGAGAAGGGACACGACGGCGATAAAGATAATCGTTTTTGTGGAGAACATGACTTTCGCCGATCTGCTCTGTTTTTTTTTTTTTTTTTTAGTGTGAGTGTGTGTGGTCTGACTTTAGAAAGTATGAGAATGTATCAACATTTTTATGCTTGGTGCGTTAGTACATGATTACGAACACAAATATTATACTTTTTAAAAAAAATTTTAATTACTATCTACTTATGGTTTATTGTCAACATTTTTTACTTAATAATTTTACGTTAGCAACGCTGGTTATTTTATGTACATTAATTCACACATCTATTTTTACCTCATTTGTTTCATTCCATGTATGACAACTATATATTAAACAAAATAAAAAGGCAGTAGACGCCATAGATAAAAATGATAAACAAGTTGTAATCAAACTATACCATTAAACTGATGTTAACTGAAGAGAAAGGATATATATGAAATTAAAAAATAGACAGCTGAAAACATGTAACGATGGAACTAACACCGCATTTACATTTTCATAAATCAGAAATCTTATTACAATCAAAATCAATGTTCACAAACGTATAAATTAAACCGCATTTTTGGGAGAGTACATCCACTATTATCTAGGAGTATACATCTGAGCTATAGCACTCAATTTTTACTTTGATATTGAAACTAAAACTATGACTCACTCAACTGTTTTCACCATCTTTACCAAATTTTTGGTATTCTCGATCCATGGTGAAACTTATGTTGTAGGCTTCAAGCTATAAGGTTACAATCTGCAGAAGCAACGGAAACCTCAATACGGCTATGAAAGGCGTTGTTTTTAGCAGTGTGCCCCATATCATACATGCATCTATCGCTTCATAAGAACCCAACAAATCATACTGTATATATACGTTATCATCTAAAATCTAAAACAACTTTGCTTATAAAGAATATTTAACATGAAACATTTCTATTAACCATTTCTCAGCTATGTACAATTTTTTCTTGTAATAGCCGAAGGTTTAAGAATGGGTGACAGAAAAATCCTCAAACGCGAGTGGCCCAAAAGGAAAAGGTCGCCATGATAGCCCACCATGAGGATGCGTTACTATATTTATCTACGAAACAAGGAATCAATAGAGGCCCAAATTCTAATTAATGAATCTTGCCCAAATGGAACTGAACCCAAGCATGACAGAAGCCGAAGTTTTATTCAAAAACTCATCCATTTTTTAAAATGTAATATTTATTGCATAAACGTCAGATTTAAAATGGAATACTCATCCATTTTTAAGGGCTTTTAATTGATAAGTAAGAAATCATCGAAAGGTAGTAATGGAGACAGGACTCAGAATCAATTGGCACGATACATGCGTCAACCTTTTTTTTTTTTTTATTAAAAGCGTATTATTATAAAAATATTAGAAACAACAATATGGATTAATTAGAAGACGTGGATCTACCATTTTTTCCAAAAAAATATAGTATTAAAATCGATCTATATAGTAGACTTCCTAATATTTTTTTTATTGCAGCATAAACCTTTGTTTAAAAACAAACAATTAGCAAATAATGTTTATTGTTATCATCTAATGGCTAAGAGCCAAAGGTTGGTTGGTGACAATGAATAGGTAGCTGGAAAAAATAAAAGTTACTAGAAATGTGAACCAAATTTTTTTAAAAGATAAAGCCAACTTTGATTCATGACTCATCAACCTTTTTAAATATTTTCATAATAAATTCGGAAAATGACATTTTTTTTCCTTTTCAGTATTAGATATCAAAATATATGAGCATATGATTGAAGTAATTTATTCCCGCTTTTTTTGTTTTCTTGTAATCAATCACATCATGACACGTATCACCTACTTGCATAATTCAACAGTATTCCTCAATCACAAAAATCATCATGAAATCAAATGTCTCCATTGCAAACTCAAAGAGAGATGAAAAACATAAACAGAGGGAAACACAAAATTATACATATTTTTCGCTTGCACTCTTTGTTCATCTTTCTAAACTCTTCATCATCCCCTTAAGCAAATCTTGCAGAAACATTATAAACACAACAAACACAAGACTTCTTAAAATGACATGGATGTTTTTTTCTTGCTCCAAATTAAACCCTAGAAAATCTACTCATCGTTTTTTTTCCCTGCTCTGCTTTTCGTTACGGTTTTTCACTGTCTCAATACTAATTGAAACCCATCTATTTATATCTACAGAGACCCATTTAACTCCACATCACAGTCAGCAAATCATCAGCACATTGTTTCAATAGAGATTGAAATAGTCTTCTCTTCCTTTGGTTGATTCATTGGTGATGAGAGTCTCCCAACCAAAACATCTAGTGCTTCTTTCATCCACCAATCTCTACAAGCTTCTCTTGCTTCCACTACGTTCATCTGTAATCCCACGAAAAATCGTTAATAAATGCAATTTTATGATTTAAAATATATATAAAAAAACCAAAAAATAGTTTTTTAGCTACTGACCCAGATTCTTTGCCTTGCATGTTGTTCAGGCCAAAGCTCAAGCTGTTCTGTAACAAGCATAGGGAACATTAGTCCTTCATAATATGTTCCTCTGCTTTTACTCAAGAAGTCCCATTTTCCAAGTTGATGCTGCCAAAATTAAAACACAAAGAAACAAACAAAAAAATTAATATATAGAAACAGAACAATAATATCAAATAAAAGCGGAATTCTATTTTATAAAAAAAAAGAAATACCTCAATGTTCCCTAGAACTCCAGCTTCCTCAAGAGATTCTCTTGAAGCAGCTTCTTCTACAGATTCATCAAGCTCCCAACCACCCTGAGTTTATTACAGGAAAGCAAAACAATTAATACTCAGAAAACAAAAGTTTTATCTTCTAAAACACCACGAATTATCAAAGGTAAACATAAAAATCCAAACTTTAACGAAATTTGAGATTTTTTTGAATAAAAAATATAATATACCTTTGGGAACATCATGGCGTGACCTTTTTGAGAGGAGATAACAAGAACTTCTACTTCATCACTAATTTTGCCATCGCTTGATAATTTGAATCTGTACGGGATACATCTGCAAATTTCCCAAAAACAATTTCCCGTTTCAGAAACTAAAAAAAAAATCAAAAGTAATTGACTTTATTTGTTTTTTCCAGCAAAACTTTGTGAGCCCAGATCTGTAGATGAACATACCCGACGACTTGACGACGACCTTTGTTGTATCTCTGAAACTGACGACCAGTGCGAGAAACCAAACACACCATTTTTTCAGCACCCATTTAGCTAAATTTTACAGAGTTTTTATTTTCGAGAAAATGAAGAAAGAGGAGAAGAAACGAGCCTGAGAGTATATGAAAACAAAATTTTCAGAATCTGTCGAAGGAAGGAAGAACCCACGAATCTGTGGTTGGTTTATAGATCGGAAGTTTTAGTTATGCGTAAGTGTTTATGATTCGATTCGTTGTGCCTGAAAAGATTTGTGTGTGTGAGAGAGAGAGATGAGACAAAAAACGTTGTTTCAACCTCCAATGGTTTATCTTCTTTATATAAAAAAACGGCCGCTCTTGTTTCTTTTTTTTTGTTGTTGATTTTTTTAAAATATTTATTTCCTTTCTTGGAATTTTCTGCATTGGACAAGAAAATTAGTTATTTAAGCTAATGTTATTTTTATGGGGGAAAACATGTTAATTAAAAAGTACCATAAAAGTCTAAATTTATCTTACTTAATTTCTATAAAAAAATATTCAGACTTATTAGTATCATTTTTTAGTTAATTTGTGTTAATATTGTTGACACACGAATCAGGTTTAACAATATGTTAATCACCCCATCTTTTCTTTTGGTAAGTTAATTGTCCCATGCATCTTATAACATTTATAACATCATTATTCAGTAAAATACCAAATTTATTTTAAAATATAATAATTCTTGTAGACGGATCTAGCTATTGTTGTCATTTTTTGAAACTTTGATTCACACTTTAGGTGAAAACGGCAAAAAATCTTTATTTTTTCACTAAATACGACGATGATATCGATGCTTTCATTTTTATTTGTATACGTTACAATTTCCGTATGAAAAATAAAATCGAGAAACTTGTAATTTTCGGGACGTTAAGTTTAACGTAGGCCCCAAACGACAAGTGCGTATAATAAATAAGGACAACCCAACCAAACTTTTGGATTGGTAATTAAAAACGATTTATATTGCAAGTGTGGAAGAAATTTTAGTTATCATCTAACTAAACGACATATTTGCGTACATCAATAGCCATTAACAATATATATGATACAGTACTCTAGTCTCTATAAAATAATGCTTCGGGTTGAGATAGATATTTTTGTATACCATAATACAAAGATAAATAGAAACTAAATTTGAATAACCTTGAGTAATCACCGTTTTGTTAGTTGTAGACTCGTGCAAAAAGATCGATTTTATCAAATTATGATTTCTTTGACATTAGTAATATATATATATATATATATATATATCATAGTTGCAGTACGGATTTCAACATTAAACGTCTCGTTATGGAAAATGTTATAAGTTTGTAAATATTGGTGGGTCATTGGGTCACCAAAAATATATAAAAAGTAATAGAATCAATTAAGGCATAGCCAATAATTCAACGTAATTAATAATTGGAAGTTGTCCCTGTCAAGGTGTTTAAGGGGTTTCTCTGTCGTTTCGTGGTCTAGGCTTGTAGGTTTGGTTGGTTAATAACGAGAGACAATAGGGTTAATAATTAATCACGTAAAATTTAACTTAAACAGAGTTTGTAAATTAAAAAAAAAAAAACTAAAACGTAGTAAAACAACAAAAGTCTCTATCCTTACGCGGCACGTTTATGTTGACTTTGGAAAGGACATAGTCACGTGCGTCGACGCCTCTCCTTCCTTAGCTAGGGCTCGATCAAGTGCGTGTTTGAATCGCGGTTAGTGGACGCGTCTGCGTTTGATGCATGTTCGATGTATCTACGTTTTTTTCTTACCTCAGTGATACAGTCGTCACATCTTACAAGTAATTCGATCGTATTATTCAATATACAACTGCTCATGTATAATGCGTGGCTTAGACCGGTTGTTAACACCTTTGAAAATGCATGCGTTTTCCCCCTAATTATACCGTCATGTGTAGAATATATGTTATTAAGTAATGACATTAATTACTTCTAAATTTGTTTGCTTGCGACATATAGTTCCATCATCCATGCATGCAGACAAATTCACACAAAATATGACTACCGGCAAAACATATCTGCTATGTCCGCTTTGATCATATCCCCAAAAAAATTAATAACCTACCAAATTACATACTAAAATGTACTTATATATATGAAATTATAATCAAAGAATGGATCAGAATAGCAGATTATAAATATCATACAGTTTCAGGATATCTTTTTGAGCCTACTTCTACTATAATGATTATTTTTTAGTTTGCTAACTTCATATAAATGTTTAATGAAGTTATAAATTAAGCGATTATATTTTCGTGATTAGTCCTATTAATCGAATGTATGGATCGTTGTTTCTAGATGTACTTTGAAATGGTACTTACTTATTTTAGGATTGGTGTGAGTACTTATTGCAAATCAGATGTATGTGTTCAGCTCAATAATGTGGTTCAAATTGATAAACAATATATATATTGACATTATTACCTGCTAGCTATTTAATTGATAACTTTCTAAGTCCAATTACCAAATCAGATTGTAGAAAAATACGAAAAGAAACGATCTTGAAGATTGAGTTGGTGACATAGACATATAAGCTAAGTGAACCGTAAAGGTTCAATGGATTTTGTGGAATAAAACTATTATTATTACATAGACTTATCAAGTGTGAATACTTCTTGCAAATGTGTGGTACGTGGATATGAACCATTCTTTAAAATGCTACAACCATTAGTATTTAAATTTTGGCCACCGTTTTAGAATATTTCCTCAATAAACCAAAATCCTTTTACCAGCCCGCATGATTAGTGACTTTTTTAAGTCTACACAACGCATCATTATATATAGTTAATGAAATATATACACTTTTTTATTGTTTGAGTATAAGTAAGTATGAAAAGTAATTGGTATCTTTCATATTCAGGCTAATGGCTATAGCATTAGACGACGATCGTTTATCATCTAATTTTGTAACACTACGAAAGGCAAAAGATAGCCACATGGTGATATAACTAAAACTGTCATAGTACTATTCAAACTTTTTTTAAGCAATGTGAAAATTCTCATGCTAATCTAAAATCCACGCCGATTTTTCTGTCTGATTACATGTTGTTGTCTATAAAAACACGAATCCTGATCAAATTCCAAACTACTTCTCTTATAGATTATGAAAAAACGAATCAAAAGATAAATAAATGGAATGAATGATGGAAAAATAATTGGTCTGAAAGAGAGACCGCCGCACAATATGTTTATCTCACCCACAAAGATACTTGCTTACAAATTACATGGACAGGAACGAGTCTTAATAATCATTAATCAATAATCACTTCATGTTTTTTTTCAGAAAAAAACAATAATCGTTCGCATCTTCCTTTTGTTCTACCATAGATTCCACCCGACTTTTACTAAAAAAAACATGACTTTGTCTAATCAATAGCAATGTATAATTATTGTTTTAAGCTTAAATCATGAATATACGAATAATTTCCGAAAAATTAGGAAATGGACACGACCACGAGGGTATCATGGGATTCTATATCATCAATAAATGACACTAAAATATATTTTCATATTTTATACTTCTTCTTCTTTCTCTTTACAACAAAAAAAAAGAATTATACTTTTTTATTGATTCTCTTTTCTCAATAATTTTTTTATTCTTTTGCAATGTAGCACTATAATTACAGAGATGTTTAGTTACAAATTTTCATTCCTAAATTAAATAAGAATAAGCTTAAAACAATGAGTTAATAAACAAAATTTACAGTTTGCTTTTATGTAAAAAAATGTACATTTTAAGATTCAGGTTGTATAGTATGTATTGATGTCTTGAAGTGGTGGTATTAATTAGTGAATGTTGCATGAATATAATATCACGAAGAATGTAACTTTCTCCTCTTCTTCTTCTAGAAATATATTGTAGTCTCGAGAAAACAAAAAATTAGAATATAAGACTTTGCCAATATAAGTTTTCTTCTAGAGTTCACATTAAATTTTTTGTATTTTTCCCATCTAGATCTAAAATATAAGAGGATATTCTCGTGAAGAAGGAAATTGGAAAAGCGGCTTTCTAGAATGAAATTTGAATTGTAGTCGTTTCACAAACATAGATTTTAGTTTTCTGTTGAGACACTGAGAAGAAAGGAAATCTTCTTAAATTTGCGGGAAAAATGATATTTTAACTACAAAACCTTAACCTAACCCCTCTCTCTCACATAATGTTGTTATGTACTACTTTCAATAAAACAAAATATGAAAGCGACGTTGAATGATGTCGATATTTTAATTAGTTAAATATAGATAGGTATGGTTAAGATAAAGCGTGGAAAAAATGGTTGCATGGGGGTTTCAATTAATTAAAAGCTTACATTACCATTATTTCGGTTGGTCGAAATATAGCATCGATTTTTAGCTGGATTTACTTTCTTGGTTAAACTCTAATATTATTACTATGCAATACCTACAGCTTTAAGAAATTAGTTTGAATTTTGATAGGTGAGCATTAATTTTAGTAGAACCTATAGTCTAAAAAATTTAGAAATATTTTAGGAAAATTAGAAAAAAAAAAAAAAAGCAAAAGAAGAAGATGTCGGCATCAAAGGAAGACTGGAGCAAGTCGTGAGGGTTGAAATGGTCGGACTCCACATGCTCTGTTTCCCTCTCTAATAATACCTAATGAGCCCAACTTATCAATTCTCTCTCTAAGTCTCTATATCTTGTTTTCTTCTTGTTGTTCGCTTATGATAAATTGACAAGTTATGATAATTTTTTTTTGTCTTGTATCTTTTTTATACGCTGAAATGGTCGAATATTTTTGTTTGATAACCAAAAGTTATAACTTTTGAAGTATATAGAAAATGCAGATTTTTCTAACGTATATACTATGATTAAAACACAAGATCAGCAGTCCAACAATTTCTGGTGCTTCGAAGAAACAAAATAACTGTGACCTTTTATTATTATTATTATTATTTACCATTGCTATTATTAATATTAATAATTATTCAATCAATGTGTTACTCATATACATAAGGGTTTTTTTCGTCTAATTATGAATATATTTATTTGAGATGTATGGTAATCTTCCAACATTTATAATGATTACACGATAATGAAAATACTTTATATTTATAGAAATAGTAAAGTGAGATTCAATTAGTACCACCATGTGACCTGATGGGCTCCTCGTAGACAGGTGTGGGGGCGATCTTGTTGCATCAACCAAACCCAACATTTATAAATTCTATACTGAAGATTACATTATTAGTAAATAAACTATGGTTAGAGTCAAATTTATACGAATGTGGACCCAACTCATAAGAAATTTGATTGACGTCAGATCTTATAATTAATGATGTAAATTTTTGGTTTTCTTTCTCTTACCAATGGAAACATGGAGTATCATCTAATAAATGTCGAAAAGAACCAACTCATGTAGTTTAAATTTTTTGAGTTTCCGTTCCACAATCGAATTTTCGTGAATAATAAAGATTTGCACTTTTTCGTAAGTCTTTTTGCTGATTTGTTTTCTAAATCCCATTTTTTGCTATAATCTATGTCAATTAATATATTGGAAAGTCATTTTTAATATACTAATGAGAAAATAGATCTTTTTAGAGAAAACAGTTTTAAACGATATAATTTTAAGAGTGTCCGCTTCACTCTCTTATGCATTGATCAACACTTTTTACTCTTTTCAAAAATTTAGCTAAAACGAGGGATATGAAAACATATTGGCATAATTTTTTCTTGGAACAAGGTTTAACATATTCACATATTGGTATTTTGAGTGGTCTTATCAATTTTCCTGTAATGTGTGTTCATCTACATATATTATTGCAGTCTGTCCTTAATGATTCCGAAAATTAAACACAGATTAAAATATCAAATTTATGGGTGAACAATTATTTCCAAGGTTCTTCCATACGAGTTTTAATTTATAACTTTATATGATTTGTTGCAAGGCTACAAAAACTATGTACTCTATAAATGATTTTATGTATTGGATCCAAGTAGGATTTGAAGACTTTGAAGGGCACATCCTTTTCAAAGTCTTACTTATATATATATATTAACTGTTTAATAAAGTCATTGTTAAAATTATCATTTTCTAGAACACATAAATTTCCACAATATGATAATTTAAATTAATTGAATCTTGTTTCTTTTCTTTTACTTTTGATTGTATTTTGGATAGAATCCAAAATACTATAGTCACCATCTACAGACGTGGCTCACTTACCACCCAATCCCCTTTTCTACGTTGTTTTTTTGGGATCTTCTTAATCTCAAATTAAATATGTTCATATAACTAATGAGCTATTTGTAAATTTCTCTAAAAATAAACCATACTCATTATAGTATTCCTAATTTTCTAGAACAAACAATAATTTGAATTTTGAATGTTAGTTTTATATGAAACTGTCAAAGCTACCGGTGACGAATAGTATGACGGTGATGCTGGTCGTTTGGGTCGGTGGTGGGTTCCGTTACGGCGACGTTGACGGTGCGCTAATGTCATCAACGTGAAGCATCATCCCATTCAATGCAAAAAAATAGTATTTTTGCATTCAATTTAATACCAATTATTCTTGATGATTATGGGTTAAAAAGCCCATATAAAATAAAAGCCTTGCTCTGTCTTATATAAGCCAGTTTTCCTCATATAAGAATTAATCGAGAGTCGCTTGGCCGATTGGGCTTGGGCTATTTTTCTCAACAGATAGACTTATATATTATCTTATCTCTTAGTCTTATGGAAACGTAACGATAACCTGAAAACTGACAAGTGACAACATCGATAAGAGGACAACGGTGGCACTCGTAGATATTATTTTTTACACATTATGATTATAATATTTCAATAGCAAAACTAAATTTTTTTATATAAAATAATTTTTAATATATATATATATATACGTTTTTAAAAACTTTTAATTAAATTTATGTAAATGATACCTAAATGTTTTTTCAAACTTGAAATGATCCGAAGTTCCCAAGTCCCAACTGTCAACGGTCCACATGATCATTCGTTATCTATAATAATTAAAAAGTTTATATAAAATAATATTTTTCTAATAACAAAAACGCTGCTGTCTAATCAATTTAGGAAAAATACATTTTAAAATACAGAGAAACGAATTATTGAAGTGGAAAATTCACAGACCATTCAGGTTTTGATTGAATGAAAGATTCGATTATCTTTTTAGTGTCAACTCTCCAACAAAAGCAAAACCTTAAAAAAACACTTTCTTTTTTCCTCAAGAAGACATTAAAAAAATCGAACAAAAGCAAGACCCCAACACGGTTTCACATGAATCCCAATTCGTTTGCAAAGCAAAACTAAAGAAAAGGTCTTTTTGAAATTATTGAAGAAAATAGAAAAGAAGAGAAGAAGATCCAATCTATTCATTTGATGGGGTTTGGGTAAGAGATTTCGAGAGAGAGAGAGAGAGAGTGTGTGTGTCTGTGAAAAGTTGAGAACTTTTTCTTTTGGTTAGAGAGAGAAAGCGCAGAGCTTTACGAAGATGGAGGCGAAGCAGATGAGGTTTCTTACTCACCAAGCTTTCTTCTCCTCCGTTCGATCAGCTGACCTCAACCAACTGGAAGAATTAGTCGATAAGTTAACCGGAGATGAGCTAATTGAGGAGTCATCGCCGTCTGCTGCGGTGGCTGAGCTTATGTCTGTGCAAAACGACGCCGGAGAAACCGCCTTGTATATCGCCGCCGCGGAGAATCTGGAAGAGATTTTCAGTTACTTGATTAGGTTTTGTAGTTTGGAAACAGTGAAGATCAGATCCAAATCCGACATGAACGCGTTTCACATCGCCGCCAAACGAGGACACTTGGGTATGTCTCTCTCCTTCTCTCTGTCTCCAATTTCCCAGTTTCTGCTTTGCTGATTTTGGATTGGATTATCCAAATTATGAAACTGAATTTCGATCTTCACTCTTCATATTATCCAAAATTTCTGCAAATTTAAATTTCACCGAGTTATAAAGCTGCTGACTTCAAATCTGTAGACTTTCGCACTCTGATTTCTAGGAAAGTGAATCTGTAATTGTTGAAAACACCAATCTTCGATGTAACTTCTGAGTGCATCTTGAACACTAGAATTCAAACTTCAAACCTGTTTGTATTCAAATTTCTGTAACTTGGATATTGCTGGCTTTAAACTTTGACCCTTTGGCTCTAATTATGATTTCTTGAAATGGTTTTGAAACTTTTCCGTCTTTAAATCTCTCTACAGGGATAGTGAAGGAGCTACTGAGTCTATGGCCGGAGCTCTGCAGAATCTGCGACGCTTCAAACACGAGCCCGCTTTACGCAGCCGCGGTTCAAGATCACTTAGAGATAGTAAACGCGATGCTAGACGCTGACCCGAGCTGCGCGATGGTCGTTCGAAAGAACGGGAAAACATCGCTGCACACGGCGGGAAGGTACGGTCTGCTTCGGATTGTGAGAGCTCTTATAGAGAAAGACTCAGCCATCGTCGGTGTCAAAGACAAGAAAGGCCAAACAGCTCTTCACATGGCAGTAAAAGGACAAAACGTTGAAGTAGTCGAAGAGATTTTGCAGGCAGATTACGGTATATTGAACGATAGAGATCGTAAAGGGAACACCGCGTTGCATATCGCTACTCGAAAATCGCGGCCACAGGTTTTAATATTTATAGTTACACCGCTCTTTTTTTTTCGTTTGTTGAACCGCTCTTTTTCCCGTTTGTTAATGTTCGTTGTTTTTGTTTTTAGATAACGAGCTTGTTGCTGACGTTTACGGCGATTGAAGTGAACGCGGTTAACAACCAGAAAGAAACCGCGATGGATTTGGCGGATAAGCTTCAATACAGCGAATCAGCTTTGGAGATCAACGAGGCTTTAGTGGAAGCTGGGGCTAAACACGGGAGGTTCATTGGTCGAGAAGACGAGGCTAGAGCGTTGAAGCGAGCGGTGAGCGATATCAAGCACGAGGTGCAGTCGCAGCTTCTGCAGAACGAGAAAACCAACCGCAGGGTCTCAGGGATCGCGAAAGAGCTGAGGAAACTGCACCGAGAAGCGGTTCAGAACACGACTAACTCGATAACGGTGGTGGCGGTTCTGTTCGCGTCTATAGCGTTCTTGGCGATATTCAACTTGCCTGGTCAGTATTTCACTGACGGGTCACGAGCGGGGAAAGCGCAGATCTCCGGGAGCACTGGTTTCCGCGTGTTCTGTCTTTTGAACGCGACGTCGCTGTTTATATCGTTGGCGGTTGTGGTGGTACAGATAACGCTGGTTGCGTGGGACACACGGGCGCAGAAGAAAGTGGTGTCCGTTGTGAATAAGCTGATGTGGGCGGCTTGTGCTTGCACTTTCGGGGCGTTTTTGGCGATTGCGTTTGCGGTAGTGGGAAAAGCGAACTCGTGGATGGCGATCACGGTGACGTTGCTTGGAGCGCCGATACTGGTTGGGACGTTGGCGAGCATGTGTTATTTCGTGTTTCGGCAGCGGTTTAGGAACGGTAACGATTCGCAGAGAAGGATTAGGAGAGGGAGTGGGAGTAAATCGTTTTCTTGGTCTTACTCTGCTCACGTTTCCGATTTTGAAGACGAATCAGATTTCGAGAAGATTATCGCTCTTTGAATAGTTTTCGTTTCTTGTATAGTGGATGAGAGAGATCGTCTCTTCTTTTTTCCTTTTTCCATGGAAGTGTGAAAAATGTCATGTTGTAATCTTAGAAAAAAAATAATGATGTATTCTAAATCTTAGGCAAAATATAATAATATCTTGTATTTATAATATTTACGTTCTTGAAGCATAGATCTCAATGTCTTTACTCAGAATCACTCGCATAGTGACATGTATGTTGCAAACTTTGCAGAAGATATATATTATCAGTGTGAAAGTGATACACCAATCTTGATTTGGCAAAAATTGTGTAATTGATATAAAAACTGCTATACGTATGAAACCATTATGTGTACCTTTGATGTCGAAGAAGAAGAAGTGTTGTTGTATATGAGTACTTTCACTCTAAGTCTTTTGTCTGGGCACGATGCTGCTTCTGTACGTTCTCAAATTGTTTGAGCCGTGCAGCAAAATTGATTCCTTGGTGAGAAGTGTTGATGTTATTGTCTTCTGTCTCACCACCGTCCTCGTGACGATGCATATACTGAAAGAAATGAACTCCGCCACTGAATGAGTACGTCGGGACAGTTTTGAGCCTTGTCCGAAGTATCTTAAACGCCGAACTTTGCTGCATACAAGAAAGAAAGGCGGTACTATATAAAAATTAAAAAACAAAAACCATCAATGTTGCGATTAAACAGAACAAGTGTTTTTTTTTTTCTTTTTCTACCTGAGGAAGTAACATTAGAAGACCATAAAGCGTTTTCAGCAACCATGTGTAGCTTCCTGGTTCCAGAAGCTGCAAAAGAGAAAAAGGTTTCAATGGCAATGAAAAGAAGAGACCGGAAAAAGGAGAGAGCTATTTGGGTTTAGATAAACCAAGCAGACCTGCAATCTAAGGTAAGTAAAGATTGGAGTTTCGAGAAGACGGATCAACTTATCAAGCTGTACAAGAAATTTCACGTTTATGTCTTCTTCTACTAATGATTGAATCACCACACTCGCATGCTGGTAAGCCTGCCAATAATTCCATTTGCTGATATTTAATATCGGATGGTGATCTTTTAAGTGATACTTAACCAAAATAACATATTTTTGGTTTTTGTTCTTTTGTACCTGAGCTAATAAGCATAGGCTTATCATTGCCATTGGTGAATGGCACCATGAAGCGTACAGGGCAACCAAGAGTTCTTTTCCTTCGGGATTGACGAGTGAGCCTCTTAAAAGATCTCTTAGTTTTGATAACTCCGAGGATGTAAGCAAAATCAAATTCAATGCCTGAAACATCAAACAAAACATACAGATCATGCAAACTAACATATACGAATAAACCTGCCAATCATCTAACTGTCTTAACCTCCAAACATTCCTTAAGCGGATAAATCTGACAATGGAGAAATACCTGAACCATAGTTGAAGCAAAGTCAAGATTATCTTCTCCCTCGAGTATAGTTGAGAGCTCTCGATAGACTCTTTCTGCATCCAAAAGTACACACAATCTCCGGACTATAAGGGCACCACGCCTGTACGAGATACGTTTTGACCAAATTAAATAAAACTGAAAGAGAGGTTATAAGGTGAGATCATGAGACTAACCTTTCCAATAGAGAATTATCAGCTCGAAAATTGTGGACTAGAAAGACGATGAGCTGGCGAAAGTGCTGTGGATCTTTTGCTACACCAGCATGAACCTCTAGGACCAATAGCACCACCTATGATGTCCAGATAGTTCAATATCATATAAATTTACGACTAGACAAAACCATACCTATACAACATAAAATTCAGCAAACAAGCACTCAGGGAAATAAATCTTACGTCATCAGAAGAATCAGATAGTGCTTTAATCAGTGTGTCAAATATGTCATCCAGGAAGCACATGACCTGTTACAACATTACTTATCTAGCTATAAAGCGCTGAACAAATGGGTTAACATGAAAAAGAATGATACCAAACGAAAACCGGTCTCTTCACCTCAGTACGATGCTTGTTTAAAAGTGCTGATATCCAATTTAATGCTTCAATTCGAGTAGCTTCATAATCACTTGATAGCTGCCTGCTCGATGCAGAAACTCACAAATCACAAAATTACGAGATCATTGATAGCATTTAAAAGGACCAAAAACAAAGAGATTGGAAAAAAACTAACCTCCTTGCTACAGAGAGAATTGCACCAACATTAAAACCATCTGAGGGTTGAACATGGATCGAACGAAGTAATTCATTGGTTTCACGAGCAACCTTATGCAATTAAATGAACACAAAGAAAGTGTAAATTTTCACACGAAAACCAACTGTTTCCATCACTAAGGAGGAGGAACCAAACTTACCACCCTGATTTTTTCTTCTTTGTCAGATATGCAAGGCAATATAGCTCCAAGAATATCAGCATAGTAACGCACGAGCTGGTCTCCCCAGAGTTTCACAAACTCGTTTATCTACAAAAATACCTTTTTTAAAACACCTATTCTGAGCATAAGAAATCTCCTGGAAAGTCAAAGTAGACCTCATATATGTAATTAGAAGAAACCAAGCAGAAGCCCTCTGCACCAGTATTTGTTTCTTCTTCTTACCCACGTGATGGCCGTTAAACGAGTGAATTCATCAGGAGAAGAAGCCCTCTGCACCAGTATTTCAGCCATGCGACCATAATCTACAGACTTTCAACAGTAGCACCAGTAAGAAATTAACCGATGAAATCTTTTAAAAAGCTTAACAGGAAATGAGAAATCTACAGACAAATAGACTAAAAGGGAATTTTTTCTAGCAGGATTTTAAATCAGGACACAACAGAAAGCTTACTGGTGAATCTTGTATCTCTTGAAGAAACTCTGAAAGAGCTGAATAAGCTTGCTGTCGTATTTCATGACTAGAGTCGCTCAACATATTGAATAACCCTGGAATTAATTGACATGTTAGTTCAGCCCAACACACAAATAACTAAACTTGAACAAGTTCATCATATATGTCTAGCTTAAGTTATCAAAATTGCAGTTACCATCAAGAAAATCCGGCAGAAACCCAAGCAGATCAATCTCTGGAACACCGTCAAGAACAGTGATCCATCCTACCAGAAATTGTCGAACGTAAGGGTTTAAAACGTTCATGCGTTCTTTTAACAGGGGTACGAACTCCTCAATACTGCAAAATCCAAATGCCAATAAAAGTGGAACCAGGAGTGTCAAGTCTTTGCAGTTAATGTTTCATACACACAAGAAAGAAGGCTAACTTTAACACACCTGAACTCATCACTGAGCGTCACAATATCCTATTCCACAAGGTATAAGTAACTCTAATCAGCACATGGTTAAAAGTCAATATACCACCAATGTGTATCACAAAAAAAAACATTCATTACCTTAACAAGGTGATCTAAAAGATGAGCAGCACTTTGAACATCGGCATCAGAATCCGCTGAGAGTTTGCATAAAGCATCAAAAATCTGATTGAAGAAAATAATGAACTCGCCTCTCACAACCTGTAGTAAAGCATACAAATACGGCGATGGTGAATCAATGCCAATAACACATAGGATTAACCAAACGACATGGATATTTACCTTCGCAATGTTATAGAGAGCTTCACATGCAGAGTACCTAACTCGGCTATCTTGATCAGAAAAGGACTTAACCACAGGTGGCACTATTTGCTTCATGTTTCATGAACCATAATGAACAATTACAATAAATCCTATAGATACACAAGAAAGAAAGTGCACTACTACAACAGCTGGATTTATACATTGATTAGATTATAGTAAAACATAGCTTTCTTTAATTATATATTAATACCTCGAGATAAATCGCAGTCTCTATTATATATATGTACCTCGAGAAATTGAGCAGCTTCTGAAGACAAACCAATGGTTACAGCAGCTAAGCCAATAAGTCCACCCTATGAAAAGAGAAAAATGTTGCAGTGAAATCAAAAACCCTCGCAGCATCTAAGTAAAAACGCAAATGTTAAACAATCAATCAAATCGCAAAACCTGTCGATGATTTGATTGAGGGGATTTGGCAAACTCCTTAATCAACATCTCAATGATTTTCGAGATCTTGTCATGGCCACCCGAAGAAGTCAGATTCTTCACAGTACTCTCCAGCTACAATTAACCGGGAATAAATTATTAAAAATAAAAAAACCTAAGACGCAAAGTCCAAACGCAGAGGAAAAGAAGTCGTATGTCAAACCTCAAGCGCAGCATTTTTCCGCTTCTCATAGAGTTTATCGGAGAGATTGCGATGAACAGCGGCCGGAATCGCAGAAAAAGCGTCTGACATGTCAGAAGAAATCCAGGAATGAAGATTATCGTTCCTCTTTGAATGACAAATTCAGTCAAAGTCATTGCTTCGTCTTGTATAGTGGGGAGAGATCCTCTCCTCTTTTTCTTTTTCCACGGAAGTTTGTGTTTGACAAATAAAAAAAAAAAGAAGAAAAATGTAATGTAATGTTAGAAAATTTTTGTTGTATTTTTAGGTAATAAAATAAAATAATATTTTCGTAGTTGACTATTGTATTATATTAGGTATAGAGCACGAGTCTGTATTAATATTTTAGTTTTTTTTTAGCTACTATTTTTAAAATGAATAAAAATTATAGAAATTTATAAAAATTTTCATTTATATAAGTAAATTTAATATATAATGTATAATTTATACTATTTTTATTTATAAATTTTAAAAAATTATTAGATAAAATAATAACAGTGACACCTATCGAATTATCCAACTTTGACGTACATATACATTTGATTTAGAGAAATATAATCTTGCTAAGATTTCATTGTTTTATATTTTTATTCAGTTTTCATTGTTTTAATTGTTAAATCAAGTTGTTGTAGATTCTTTTAAATTGATAATTGATAATAGTTACTTTTTTTATACATGTATTGTTAATTGTTATTTTTTTATTTAACTTTTAAATTTTTAAACCATATTAACATTTTCTGATTTAATAAATATGTTGATTTGGACCAATCAGATTGAATTTACTTTTTTTATTGGACATAATTTGTTAAATTAACTTTTAATATTTTAATTATACTTAAAAATTTTAGGTTTGATTTAAAAGCTGATATGGACCAATTAAATCAAATTTTTCTATCCTAATCATACTTAACATTTTTTGTTTAATGAATATACTGATTTGGACCAATCAGATCGAGTTTTTTATACCTAGGTATATAACTCGTGCTACGCGCAAGTCTGTATTAATATTTTCGTTTATATTTTTAGCTACTATCTTTAAAATTATTAAAAATTATATATATTTATAGAAATTTTCATTTATATAAGAGAATTCAATATATAATGTGTAATTTATCCTATTTTTATTTATAAATTTTTAAAAATAGTTAGGTAAAATAATAACAGTGACACCTATCGAATTATCCAACTTTGACGTACATATGCATTTGATTTAGAGAAATATAATCTTGCTAAGATTTTGGAATTATTTTTTGTTTTCCATAGAATTTCTATAGTTTTTTTTTTCTTGAAGGTTTATGTGTTCAAATATTTAGATTTTTATTGAAAGTCTTATTGATGTTGTGTACCACTGTATATATAATCCATGATTCATGTTGATTTGTATTTAATTTTGTTAGGAAGTTGTAATGATCATACAAAACCATTTTTCTTTCTCCATCATGTCTTCCAAGAGTTTTATGTTATATTTTTATTCAGTTTTCATTGTTTTAATTGTTAAATCGAGTTGTTGTAGATTTTTTTAAATTGATAATTGATAATGGTTACTTTTTTATATACATGTATTGTTAATTGTTAATTTTTTTATTTGACTTTTAAATTTTTAAACCATATTAACATTTTCTGATTTAATAAATATGTTGATTTGGATCAATCAGATTGAATTTTTTTTTTTTTTGTTGGACATAATTTGTTAAATTAACTTTTAATGTTTTAATTATACTTAATAATTTTTGGTTTGATTTAAAAGCTGATGTGGACCAATTAAATCAAGTTTTCCGTCCTAATTATACTTAATATTTTTTTATTTAATGAATATGCTGATGTGAACCAATCAGAACGAGTTTTTTAATCCCATGTAGACGCCCTCAAATGCACTATGCCATTAACTTTTATATATGATGTGATAGTAATAATATAAGTCGATAAGACTTAATGAGTCAACAACTAGCTGAAAAACAAAAATAGAGTGTAGAATTAATTAGTTTTTGTTATTTCTACAGTCGAAAAAAAATTAAAAAATTTAGATGGTTGTTAAATTACTTAATCTATGCTCTATCATATACCGAGAACAGTATTTTATTATTCAACTAATTACAGTATCTACTGAATTCTTGTTGTAAGTATACCATATTTTGATGTGTTGGATTCAAAGCCAAGATAGTTTTCACAAATGAGAAACAGCACAATCACTCACATTCACATAGTGACATGCAAAGAGATCATAAGAGCAAAATATATTTGCATAAGAAGACGACAAAGTTTTGAAATTTAAAAGGAGCATCGTAATTCAACATAAAAATATCCAATAAGTAATCTCTACACCATTCTCCTCATGTGGTTTTCCAGTTAAAAAAAACAACACAAAACCACATGAGACTTTTCTTCTTACATCCACAAAAGATAAAAAAAAAAAAAATCTCCCTTAACAAAAAAGAACAACAATGAAGCAAATTCAAGAAAGGAAACAAAAAAAAAGAGGCAACACTCAAGAATCTCTCGTAAATGAAAAACCCGACTGAGAGATAGAGAGACAGAGGATGGACACGACCGTAGCTTTTCCACAAGTTCCAACGAAACTTGAAGAGTTACTAAAGAAGAGATATACAATTTTACAGGAGACAAAAGGGATCGGTGGTGTCCAAACGAATAAGAAGAAGAAGAAGATGATGACGACGATGATGTCGGGGATGGATATTATTATTGTGTATCATTATCATACCAGGTTAAAGCTGTAATTGACCAGGGCCTTTTCTTGAGTTTCTTGATGGAGGTCGACTATTGTCTGCAACTGATGATGATGTCGAGGAAGGTGGTGGTCGTTGTTGTTGTTGTTGTTGCTGCTGCTGTTGTTGTTCTTCAGATCTCCTCACCTCCTAACAAATCAAATTAGAGCACAATTAGATTATCTTTATGTCAAATCAATACTTAACAGACTCCTCCATATTGTAAATCTTTGTAAACTGACATAATGGCAGAAAATCAAAGAAACAACTATCTGCAGAACAAAATCACCAAAACAATAAACGGACAGTAATCAGCGATTTCACAATGTTACTACCAATCAAAGACAAACTCTAATTACACAATAACATAATTTCTTTTAATTTGTGCTTGTCATATAACACTACAGGATCATATGACTAAACATAAATCTTGGTTTCGTAAAATTGAGTAATTCGCATAAGAACCGCTATACATTCATTCTGTTACCAATCAAAGCCTTGAGATAACAAAAAATGTGTTACGTTGTGTGTACCTTTGATGTAGAAGAAGAGGAACTATTATATGAGTATTTCACTTTAGTCCTTGCCTGAGCACGATGCTGATTCTGTACATTCTCAAACTGTTGCAGCCGTGCAGCAAAATTGATTCCTCGGTGAGAAGTGTTGATGTTATTGTCTTCTGTTTCACCGTCCTCGTGATGATGCGTATACTGAGAGAAAGGAACTCCTGAAGACGCTCTGCCTATTTGCTCTCCGCCACTGAATGAGTACGTTGGAACAGTTTTGAGTCTTGTCCGAAGTATCTTAAACGCAGCACTTTGCTGCATACAAAAACAAGGATTTACCAAAAACAATCAATGATGCGATAAACCGAACAAGTGTTTTACTTTTCATTTCTTTTTTTTCTACCTGAGGAAGTAACATAAGAAGACCATAAAGTGTTTTCAGCAACCATGTGTATCTTCCTGGTTCCAGAAGCTGCAAAATAGAAAAAGGTTTCAGTGGCAATGAAAAGAAGAAGGCTGATAAATTAGAGAGCTATTTGGGTTGAGATAAACCAAGCAGACCTGCAATCGAAGGGAAGTGAAGATTGGAGTTTCGAGAAGACGGATCAACTTATCAAGCTGTACAAGAAATTTCACGTTTATGTCTTCTTCTACCAATGATTGAATCACCACACTCGCGTGCTGGTAAGCCTGTCAATAATTTCATTTGCTGATATTCAATATCGGATGGTGACTTTTCAAGGAATATACAACAAAGAAAAAACTTTTTTTCTTTCTGTAATTACCTGAGCTAATAAGCAGAGGCTTATAATTGCCATTGGTGAATGGCACCATGAAGCATATAAGGCAACCAAGAGATCTTTCCCTTCGCGATTAACGAGTGAGCCTTTTAAAAGAACTCTAAGTTTTGATAACTCCGGGGATGTAAGCAAAATCAAATTCAATGCCTGAAACGAAAACAAAATAAAAAGAAAAAAGACGGCCTAGAGTTACTAACAAAACAAAGTGAGAAATAACATAAACGAGAAAGCCCATACAAAGAATGCAAACTAATCCAATCATCTAACTGCTAAACTTCAAATATTCCTTAAGCGAATAAATCTGACAAAGGAGAAATACCTGAACCATAGTTGAAGCAAAGTCAAGATTATCTTCTCCCTCGAGTATAGTTGAGAGCTCTCGATAGACTCTTTCGGCATCCAAAAGTACACACAATCTCCGGACAATAAGGGCACCACGCCTATACAAGATATGTTTTGACCAACTAAGTAATATGTTCTTTCCAGAAACTGTAAGACAGATTATAAGATGGCACTAACCTTTCCAATAGAGAATTATCAGCTCGAAAATTGTGTACTAGAAAGACAATGAGCTGGCGAAAGTGCTGTGGATCTTTTGCTACACCAGCATGAACCTCCAGAACCAAGAGCACCACCTATGATATATTTTCATGGTCAGATGGTTCAATATCATATATATTTTAAACTAGACAAAACCAAACTTATACAACATAAAATCCACCAAACAAACACTCAGGAAATAAAACTTACGTCATCAGAAGAATCAGATAGTGCTTTTAGCAACGTGTCAAATATGTCATTCAGGAAGCACAGGACCTGTTACACCATTACCAGTTTAGCTATAAGGCGATGAAACAAAGTGGATAAATTTGAAACAGAATGATGCCAAACAAAAACCGGTCTCTTCACCTCAGTACGATGCTTGTTTAAAAGTGTTGATATCCAATTCAATGCTTCAATTCGAGTAGCTTCATAATCACTTGATAGCTGCCTGGTCGATGCAAAAACTCATGGATCACAAAATCAGGCCATCATTGATTGCATTCAACAAAAAAAAAACAAAGAGATAAGAAAAAACTAACCTCCTTGCTACAGAGAGAATTGAACCAACATCAAAACCGTCTGAGGGTTCAACATGGATTGAACGAAGTAATTCATTGGTTTCACGAGCAACCTTATGCAAATAAATGAAAAGAAAGTGAAAATTTGAATACGAAACCAACTGTTTCCATCACTTAGGAGGAGGAACCAAACTTACCACCCTGATTTTTTCTTCTTTGTCAGATATGCAAGGCAAGATAGCTCCAAGAATATCAGCATAGTACCGCACGAGCTGGTCACCCCCGAGTTTTACAAACTCGTTTATCTACAAAAGAACATGTTTATTTTTGTTTTTTTAAGAACCTATTCTGAGCATAAGAAATCTCCTGGAAAGTCAAAGTAGAACCCATATATGTAACTAGAAGAGACCAAGCAGAAGCATGTTTTTTCCTTCTTACCCACGTGATGGCTGTTAACCGAGTGAATTCATCAGGAGAAGAAGCCCTCTGCACCAGTATTTCAGCCATGCGACCATAATCTACAGACTTTCAACAGTAGTACTGCTCCAGTCAGAAATTAACCGATGGAAAATCTTTTAAAAGCATAAAGGAAATCTTACTGGTGAATTTTGTATCTCTTGAAGAAACTCTGAAAGAGCTGAATCAGCCTGCTGTCGTATTTCATGACTAGAGTCGCTCAACATATTGAATAACCCTGGAATTGATTGACATGTTAGTTCAGCTCAACACACAAATAACTAGACTTCAATACGGTCATATATCTAGCTTAAGTTAACAAAATTACCATCAAGAAAATCCGGCAGAAACCCAAGCATATCAATGTCTGGAACACTGTCAAGAACAGTGATCCATCCTACCAGAAATTGTCGCACATACGGGTTCAAAACGTTCATGCGTTCTTTTAACAGGGGTATGAATTCCTCAATACTGCGAAATCCAAATGCCAAAAAAGTGGAACCGGGAGTGTCAAGTCTTTAAAGTTAATAGTAACAGGGTTATATATCAGACACAGAAAAAAGGCTAACTTAACACACCTGAACTGATCACTCTCCGTCACAATATCCTATTCCACAAGGTATAACTCTAATCAGAATATGATTAAATTCAATGTACTACCCGTGTGTAGCAAAAAAACATTTATACCTTAACAAGGCGATCTAAGAGATGAGCAGCACTTTGGACATTAGCATCAGAATCTGCTGAGAGTTTGCATAGAGCATCAAAAATCTGATTGAAGAAAAAAATGAACTCGCCTCTCACAACCTGTAGTAAACCAGACAAATAAGGCGATGGTGCATCAATGCCAATAACACACAAGATGAAACCAAACGACATGGCTACTACTATACTACTATAGTCTTTACCTTTGCAATGTTATAGAGAGCTTCACATGCATAGTACCGAACTCGGCTATCTTGATCAGAAAAGGAGTTAATCACAGGTGGCACTATTTGCTTCATGTTTCATGAACCAAAAAGAACAGTTAGAAAACATCCTATAAATACCATTGATGAAATTATACATTGTTTAGATTATAGTAAAACATAACTTCCATTAACTATATGTTATACTGGAAAGGTTTAAATAATTCGCAGTCTCTCTATATATATATATACCTCAAGATATTGAGCAGCTTCTGAAGACAAACCAACTGTAACAGCAGCTAGTCCAATAAGTCCACCCTATGAAACGAGAAATGTTCCAGTAAATCGAAAACCCTCGGATCTAAGCAAACGCAAATGCTAAACAATCGATCAAATCACGAACCTTCCGATGATTTGCTTGAGGGGATTTGGCAAACTCCTTAATCAACATCTCAATAACTTTCGAGATCTTGTCATGGTCACCCGCAGAAGTTAGATTCTTCACAGCATTCTCCAGCTACAATTAAAAGCGCAAATATTATATATAATCATCATCATCATCATCGCAGACATTGAAGGAGATGAAACAGAATAATCCAAAAACCCTAAGACGCAGAGTCCAAACGCAAAGGAAGAGAGAAGGGAGGAGGAAACTCGGATGTCAAACCTCAAGCGCAGCATTTTTCCGCTTCTCGTATAGTTTATCGGAGAGATTGCGATGAACAGCGGCCGGAATCGCAGAAAGAGCGTCTGACATGTCAGATGAAATTCAGAAATGAAACCGAAAATCAACCTTCTCCGAGCCAAAATCCAAATCTCCGACGACCTAAATCGTCTTTCCCCTTCCAAAAAAACAAAAACAAGACCCGCCTCAAATCGGGTGTAGGTAAAATTCTCTCTTCTCGCGATCAGAACAAAATTCTTTCCAAAATGGATCGGAAGAACGGCGGATTCTTCAACGCCAAGGCACGATAACAATCAGATCTGGTCAAAATCGAGGAACTGATCTGTGGCTACCAGAGTTACTCGGTTTCCCGAATTCGATTTCCGGAAAAACGAAATTTCGGATTATTTTTTAATATTATTTTTCGCTTTGCTTTGTTTTTTTCAACAACATTTTTTTTCCCTACTACTTTGCTTCCTTCATCCTTTTAGTGGATATATTTTAATAATAATAATAATCAACACACAAGTGATGATGTTTCCAAAAGAAGAATAAAAGATAAAATACAGCGACACAATGAAAAGTGCGTGATCACAGAAGTAAATGACAAATTCACCCTCGATGTGGAAGCCAGACCATTAGGGGTAATATCGGTAGTGGAAATAATGGGGTAATATCGGTAGTCACATTATTATTTAGGTTTTCTCTTAAACATAAATCTAGATAAAATTTGAATACGAATCTTTCTTAAAACAAAAACTTTGAGAAAATTAATGTGCAGTAACATTAATCTAAGTAATGAATAATAGATAAAAATAAAATATTTGATCAAAATGAAAGTATAGTTTTTTCTAAAACAAAAATATAGAGAAAATTTAAGTACGATTTTTTATGAAATGTAAACTTTAGAAAAATTAAAGTATCGTATTACTTAAATAATAATTTATAAAATAATAAAAATGTTTTTTATTTAAATGGAAGTCTGAGAGTTTTTAAAATAGAAAGCGTAGATAAAATTTTAATATAGAATTTTTTTAAAACAGAAATTTTAGAGAAATTAAAGCGCCATAACATATAAGTTATGACTAATAAAGAAAATAAAAGTTTTGATTTAAATGAAAAATAAAGTATAACTTAAACAAAAACTTTAAGGAAGTTAAAGTATGGTAATACGTAAATAAAGAGTAATAAAGAAATCAAAGGTTTAATTTAAATAAAAAATTAAAAAGTTTTAAACTAAAAATGTAGATTAATTACTAATTTTTTCAAACAAAATTTTAAGAGAAAGTAAAATATTATAATGTAACGCATAAATGATTAATTTAGAAAATAAAAATTTTGATGAAATTTAAATACCAAATTTTTGTTGAAATGTATGTTTTAGAGAAATTAAAATCTCTTAAGCATAACGCATAAATAATGTAGTAAATACTAAAATCTTTGATTTAAATAAAAATTTGGAAAATAACATTGGTCGCCAGGTCATTAATTCGATTCTTCTTGGGTGTGCTAAAGTTAATTTTTCGGATTTTAGATTAATGAATAACAAAATTATGGTATTGCCCTCTTCTTCTCTACTCAACTTACTTGGTCTGATAATCTAATCTGTCGCTGCTCTATTTTTCATGATTTTTTCTTGTTGTTTTATAAGCATATATGATAGATCTATCAAGTTAGTATTGATTAATATCGTGAGTCAAAATTTTTTTTGAAATTTATCTGTAATTCCAATTTTTATATCGAATATCACAAATTCGTCATGGTAAACAAGTGGTGAACAATTTCTCGCCATGAAATCGGCTGACTCAGACGAGTTTTGGAATAGGGGCCACAACCAATAAGGTTAATTCTTCATCTGTCTTCTCAATAAAAATTAAAGAGTCCAGTGACTAATAAAGAAAATAAAAACTTTGATTTAAATGAAAGCTAATTGTTTTAAAAAGATTTAGACTACTAGACTAATTACATGATATATCATTATATATTTTAGTTCCATACATATGTTATATTTCATTTTATAAATCAATATTAAATTTATTAAGATATTCTCTTTCTTTTATTTTTTACCAAAATATATCATATTAACTATTTTTTAATTACATTTTCTACCAAAATCTGTTTTTCTCTTATTTTTATTTAAACTTATTTTTGTAAAGTAAATAAATTATCACATTATCCATATAATAAAAATATATAGATTTTTTTTTACATGCATTATAAATTGAATTTTAAAAATTGAATATAAATTACTCAAATTATTAATAAATAAATATAAATCATTAAATTTGAGTTTTTATTTTATTTTTTTGTGTTAAAAGGCCTTCATTATAATTTGAATTTATTATAATCATTAAGAAAATTGATTTTAATTTGAGTTCATTATAGTCATTATAAATAAAAGTAAATAATTATAATTTGATTTAATTAACTCTTTCTAAAAGTAAATTCTCAATTAGTTCATAATTTAGACTCTTTTTAAAATTTAGTATACAATAAATAGTATTTAATATTTAATAAAATATAATTATGAGCTACTTGAGAATTTATTAATAATTTTAATTAAAATAAAATTTATTGTGTTTGATATATGTTAATAATATAAGTAATTTAATTTAAGTCGCATTCAATAATATAATTTAGATATAAGTAATATATTAATTTAAATTTATGTTGTTAATTTAGATATATATATATATATTCAAATATTTCGAGTAGAAACGATAGTGACACTTTTGTCTAATAAGTTATCAATGTTTAAAACTTATTTGGAATAAAAATAATATATAAGATGAATAAAAATCAATATTTTAATAGAAGCTAATTATAATAGAATTTATTTGTCATATTATTTATTATATAATCAATCATAGCGAAAATGCATCAAAACTCTAACCATATTACATCTTAAATTTAATATTTCGCTTTGTTATGTGTACGCTATACTTCTAACTTACTATTTATCATATATTCAATTATGTTTTATTATTATATTTTAGATAATATTTGTTGGTTAAAGGTTTTTGGAGTCAATAATTATTATTTTTATTTACAAAGAGATAATTTATTGATATAGTTATTGTTTTCCAAATTAAAAATATAAAAATTATGTTTTTTTAATTCATTATATATTGTAGATAAGTAACAAACCATTTAAATAATAATTAAATATTATTATTTAAAAGTTAAAAGTAATTAAAAATATATACAAATATTATATTAAATTTAAATAAATAATAATTATTTCATCCCGCACAGAATGCGTGTTATTACCTAGTATAGAGTATTACTTAAACATAAATTTTAAAGAAGTTAAAATATGGTAATACGTAAATAAATACTAACAAAAAATAAAAAATTTAATTCAAATGAAAAATCAAAAGTTTTAAACCAAAAATGTAGATTAACTACAATTTATTTTTAAACGAAATTTTAAGAGAAATTAAAGTAGTATAATGTAACGTATAAATGACTAATTTAAAAAATGAAAAATTTGATTTCAATGAAAATTTGATATTTCAGAAATCAAATTTTTTTATAAAATTTAAATATCAAACTTTTATTGAAATGGAAGTTTAAAAAAAAAAAAGAATTTCTTAAGGATAACCCATAAGTAATATAATAGATACGAGAAAACTGGTATTAAAATATTGAACTTGCATAGTTTCGCGAAATAAATTACAATGTTTTTAATAAGCCAAACAACATACCAATTAATATTGATTTTGCCAATTTAAGTACCAATTTTAGCCAACCCTAACATCTGTTTAATAAGCGTTAATCGCTGTTTACTGTCATTAGGAGAAAACACGCCTCTCTCTATCTCTTCACTCAGTCTTTAAGACGAGAAGAAGAAAATTTGATTTCTTTTATCTTCTCCTTTCCCCCTTTTTGTATCACCCAAACTCGATTTTGAACTGCTCCAACTTCAATGGATATGACAAAAAGGAAAAAGCTACCAACTCATCGACCCAAAAACCGCCGTGCTGTTGAGGAAGACGAAATACAACATGAGCGTGAAGGTATTGCCGATTATGTTGAGGATAATGGGGATAATGGGGATAATGATATAGCTGTTGAAGAAGAAGCTTGTGAAACTTTATCAACCCATTTTGGAGATACCGCAAGCAACGAAAAAGAGGAAAGCGATGATAGTGGAGATCATGATATATGGAACGACAACACTATTCTTGACCCATTGTCATCAGACGATGAGGAAGAGGAAGCTCGAAGGGAATCTCGTGAGGATGAAGTAGCTGCCGATGAACTTCTAGCATTAGGTAAGACTTTTTGTTCTGCTTCTGAGTTCAAGCAAGCGCTTCTTAGATACTCTCTGAAAACTAGATATGATATTAAGCTATACATCTCCACACAAAAGAAGCTTGGTGCAATTTGCTCTGATACAGAGTATTCCTGTCCGTGGAGAGTTTACTGCTCTTATGAGAAAAGCAAACACAAGATGCAGATAAAGGTGTTTGTGAATGAGCACATATGTGTCCGATCAGGATACTCGAAGATATTGAAGAGTACGTCCATTACCCAATTGTTTGCAGAAAGGTTGAGAATAAATCCTAAGCTTACGGCAAGGGAGATGGAAGAAGAGATCAAGATGAACTATAATTTAATGGTTACCGAGGAGCAATATCGAAAAGCAAAGACCAAATTAACAAGAGAAAGAAGAGCTAGCCACGAAGCACATTTTTCTCGGATTTGGGATTATGAAGCTGAGATTCATGACACTAATCCATGCACCATTACAGAGATTCAGACCATTCCAGGACCAACACCAGGAAGCAAGCAAAGGTTTGATCGTATTTATATTTGCTTTGAAGCACAACGAGTGGCTTGGAAGTTTACATGTACACCTATCATAGGACTAGATGGTGCCTTTCTTAAATGGGATATTAAAGGCCAGTTGATAGCTGCGGTTGGAAGAGATGGAGATAATAAAATTGTTCCTATTGCATGGACAGTAGTTGAGATAGAAAACAAAGTTAATTGGACTTGGTTTGTGAATCATCTTAAACGAGACTTAGGACTTGGTGAGGGCAGAAACATAACAATCATATCAGATAAGCAAAAGGTAAATTCTACTCTAGTTTGTTAAATGATCACTTTAGTTCGATAATTGTTTTGTTAGGATGCATACTTATAGTATTGTATTTTCTTTGCAGGGTTTGGTGAATGCTGTTCACAATGATCTTCCAGAAGCTGAACATTGTATGTGTGCTTGACACATCTTAGGAAATTGGAAAAGAGACAGCCATGATCTAGAGCTAGAGAGGCTATTCTGGAAAATAGCACGCAGCTACACTAAAGGAGACTACAAACTCAATATAGATGCGTTGATGATATACAACAAAGGTGCCTTTGATTCTCTACAATGCACCAATCCTATTACATGGTCTTGAGCCTTCTTTAAGGTTGGATCCTGCTGCAATGATAACTTGAATAATCTGAATGAATCTTTCAGTAAAACTATTCGTGAGGCTAGGAGAAAACCTTTGCTTGAATTGTTAGAGGATATAAGAAGAAAATGTATGGTGCGTACAGCACGAAGATCTATTATTGCAAATAGGTTAAAATTAAGATTCACAAAGAGTGCACATCGTGAAATTGAATCGGCTATAGAAAAGTCTCGGGATTGTAAAAGGTTCATGTCCACTGATGATTTGCATGAGATAGACTATCATGATTGTGGATATAGTGTCAATATGGGTTTGAAAACACGTGGATGTGAGAAGTGGCTGTTGAATGGCATTCCATGTAATCATGTTGCTTGTGTTATCATAGCAAAAAAAGAGATAGTCGATGATTATATTTCAGATTATTTCACGACTCGAATGTGGCGGAAAACGTATCAGCATAGTATTAAACTTGTGGAAAGTAAGAAGTTGTGGCCGGTGTTGAATAAATTACCTGTATTGCCACCCCCGAACAGATTAGGTAACCGTGGTAGGCTAAGTAATTATGTTAGGTGTAAAAGTGTTAATGAGCCTGCCTCCTCCTCTAAGAAGACTAAGTTAAGCAGTGAGAAACGCATTATGACATGCTCCAACTGTAAGGAAGAAGGACATAATAAATTATCATGTTCAAAACCATTTGTTGAGCCTAAAGCTAAAAGGCAGAGGGGTCGGCCAAGAAAAGATCAGGTCACAGTCTTAGAGGTTCTATGGTTTTCTTTACGTTTTAAATTTTCTTTGCCATGGTTGTTTAGTTACTTTATTTGGCATGTAGGAAGGACAATCATATGGAGAATCACAATTATAGTTCACAAGGAGGATCTGATGGTTTGAAGAAGGCTAAAATTATTTATTGCTTTTGTTCTCTTAGTCATCTTTTAAACTATCAAACTTTATTGCTTTTGTTGTTATGTGTTAAAGAATTTGTTGATTTTGTCGTTTTATAACTTTATATGGATATTCTTCTTTGCACTCTCTTGTCTTCACCTTCTTCATTCTCTCTGCAACAATTTTAGATTCAGAATTTGTTCCTTGGCGCTCTACAGAATGTCCTCTCTCTTTGGTTTCTGATTTATCAGGCATGCTTCTTCCTTTGTTGGAACCTCATCTTTAATTGTGAAAGTATTTGTAGTTGCTTGTTTTCTTAGATAAGACCTGGAGCTAATTATATAAAGTATTTGTAGTTGCTTGTTTTCTTAGCTAGGACCTGGAGCTAATTATATATAGTGTAGGTAGTTATGCTGGGACTCAATGTCGTGAAAGGAATAGAGAAAACAGAGAACTACTTCTCTGCTTTTCTTTGAAAAAGAGCAAATGCAGAGAATATGAAAGAGACCTGCAATTTCATGAAGAATCCAACATACTTGCACTCTTTTGTCTTCCTCTTCTTTATTCACTCTCATTCTTGTCGAATAAAAGCTTGTCCCAACTCGTCTTTACTTTTTATCGAATTTCTTAGAGAAGATTGGAGAAAAATAAAATCGTGATAGAGAGATTATGGATTTTATAATACGTTTGGAACTGAGAATTGTGAATTTTTTATTTTCTTTGTTTATAAGAAACAATATCGTTTTCTTTAAATATGTTAGTTAGCGGTGATATCTAACGTCTATTGAAAGGGGTGTTAGGTTAACTAAACTGATATTTAAATTGGTAAAATCAACATTAATTGATATGTTTTTTGACTTATTAATAACACTGTAATTTATTTGGTGAAATTATGTAAGTTCAGTATTTTTATACCCATTTTCTTTAATAGATACTAAAGTCTTTAATTTTAATGAAAATTTGGAAAATATCATACCAATTTTTTTTTTGTGGAAAATAACGATTTATTTTCGATAATTAATCTAGATTTTCCCGTTTATTCCAATATAAATTTTTTTTTTCCATTTTAGACACGGCCAATCAGAACTTTTCTTCATCTGTCTTCTCAATAAAAACAGAGATCTGCTTCCATTTCTCCGCCATAGCCGTGCTTAAAATATACCAAAGGGTAGGGTTGAGGTTTGAAATCAAACGGAGGAGGAAGAAGAAGATGGGGGACAGCTCTAATCGACCAGAAGGCGAACGTCTTCTCGGAATCGCAGAGAAGCTTCTCGAGTCTCGAGATCTGAGCGGCTCAAGAGAGTTCGCCATTCTAGCTCAAGAGACAGAGCCGCTTCTCGAAGGCACCGATCAGATACTCGCGGTGGTCGACGTCTTACTCGCCTCCGCGGCGGAGAATCGCGTCAACAATCAACCAAACTGGTACCTAATCCTTCAGATCGAAGATCCAAACGAATCCTCCACGGACAACGACCTGATCAAGAAGCAGTACCGTCGTCTCGCTCTCCTCCTCCACCCGGACAAAAACCGTTACCCTTTCGCCGATCAAGCCTTCAGATTCGTCCTCGATGCATGGGAAGTCTTGTCGACGCCGTCGAAGAAGTCCCAATTCGATCGCGATTTGAATCTCATCTTCACGAGAGTGGATCTCAACAACAACAACAACAACCAGAGGAAGAAGAACTCCACAAGCGAGAGGATGGCGACGTTTTGGACGGCGTGTCCCTACTGTTACGGCCTTCACGAGTATCCTAGGGTTTACCAAGAGTACTGTATCAGATGCCAAAACTGCCAGAGAGCGTTTCACGCGGCGAGTATCCCGCAGTTGCCTCCGTTGGTGCCTGGCAAAGACGAGTATTACTGTTGTTGGGGCTTTTTCCCGATGGGGTTCGTCGGAGGCAAAGGAGGAGAAGAAGCAGCAGCTGCTAATGGAGGAGGAGATACAACGAAATTCCCAAATTGGATGCCTCCGGTCTTCTCCTCCGGCCAAAACCCCACAGTTAACGGCGGCGTTGCGACAGCTCCTCCGAGTGTTAACGGCGGCGGATACGCTGCGGCAGCAGGTGTTACTCCTCCTCGTGCTGTTGGTTCGTCTCACGGTGTTCCGATTAGCTTTGATGGATGGTCAGGTGGTGCGGCGACGAGGAGCAACAATGGCGGAGTTAACTCAGATGGATTGCCGATGAAGAGAGGAAGAGGAAGGCCGAAGAAGAATCAGGTTTAGTGATTTAAAGGCAAGTTTTTTTTTTTTTTTTTTTTTTTTGTATTTAAGGCAAGGAAGAGACTAGGATCGGTGTTTGCTGTTGTTGTAGCTTAATCTTCTTCTTCTTTTTTTTTCTGGTAGTTTTAATTTAAATGTCTTGCAACTTTCTGCGTTTCTTCTTTTTGCCATTTTTCTCTGTATTTTGTTGTATTCTTCATTGGCCTTCTCTTATTGGACATCTTCTTGTATCATAATTTGCTTCGAAAGGTGGTCTATTTTGGGTAACGTTGTAGACTTGTAGTACAATATAGGAAACGAATCCGCGCCAACGTTAAATCTTCCTTTGGTTTGTATCATTTGAAATTCATGATACCCCTTACTCGGTAAATAGAAATAGAAACTTTAGTTTTCTTTATAACTTTACAACACGAAATATAGATCGAAGCGAAATATATGCACGAAGCAAATCTGTTTAGGTGTTATTTTTCAATAAACAAGAGTTACAAAGTATTTATTGGCGTTTGATTCTAAGAACCACACTTTGTTAGTAAGAAAACGAAAGTTACCAGCAAGATCATCGCATTTCGCAAATATGATTGACGTTGTTTTCCTTAAAAGATTATATTGTTACAAGATTCCAAGTTATTATTGATTTCAACGATGTAATCAAGCGTTTTTTTTGGGTCTAATATTTTCAAGCGTTTGATCTGTATAACTGTGTTCTTAAAAACCGGTTAAAATTTGTCCCAACAACCATTCAAAGCACCACAAAAATGTTTTTGGTAATTGACAGTCCATGTCTGAATCATATGGATTGCTTATACTTTACAAATGTAAAATAACAACAACTATTACGTCAAATAACTTTTTCTAGTCTTTTTTTTGGGTCTATATTTGATGATTGTCCATTATATATGCTATGGATTTTGATGAAATAAGAAAACTATTTTTCCGTGGAACTAATGGATGTCACTATAAAATGAGATTATAGATTGCTAAAAAAATCAATTCAAACAGAGAATAGGCAAAACCGTTAACTCGGCTCATCACAAAATGTTTTTGGTAAAAGTTGTCTGAATTTATAGTCCTTAAGATATTGTCGGATATATGAAAATTCTCCGACTTAATAGTCCACAAGAATTTTTGAATGGTGGATAGTTCCGACTCATTAGAATTGATAAAGAAGGAGAAAATAAACTATATATGGAGACTATCTGGCAAAATTGATTCATAAACATTTGTTTATTCTGTAATTAAAGAGCTTGTTGTTTGAAGTCTACTTCAACATTTTTGAAACCAGCTAATTACCAATGGAGGCTAACTATTTTAAGTGTTTTCTTTTCTTATCACAAAAAGTTCATTAGAAACAAAGAGTGCCAAAGATACAAACTACGAAAAGGTAACCGCAACTACAAAAATTTAGAGTAAATGATAAGAGGTCTATATCTTTTAGGAGTCTATAAATGAAAGTGAAGGATTCTTCCTGTGAGATTTCTACTTCTTGGCGATATTGAGATCGATGTGTACATACGCAAGAGAAGCCACAAAGACGAAGAAGAAAGCCGATACAAGCATGAATGGTTCCGCAAGCATGTATATTGGTTTGAACGTGTAGTACACCTGCCAATAAACCGTCACATAACATAAATCAGTTGTACAACGTACCGTTTGTAAATTTATGAAACAAATTGGGTTCTGATAGCTAATAATACTACTGCACCAAGGTTTTTTAGGGTTCTTCTATTCAAACACATAACTAGAAGAACGAACTTGGTTCAGACGGTAAGTTTAAAGGTGAATTTCACCTGGAAGGGTACGTTGTGAGTGGGAACTACATTATCCTTTTGCAACACAACCACGGTTCTTCCCACGATGTCAAGGTATGAGTATTTGACCTGAGTGAGGTAAAGACCATTATAGATACATGTTGTGTAATAACTACAGATTGAAAACGCAGTACACGTATCTGTGTGGCTAATGAGGTACCTGCAAGTCTTGGTTCACAGTAAAGGGCAAAACAGCAGAAGGGTCCTTTGATCCTTCAGGAAGCACGACCTGAAACGAAATATTCCTGTGTTAGCGAGTGTTTGCTAACAACAGAGCTTGGATAAATGAAAACGAAATGATAACGATGAGTAGCAAATGCCAATTAAACCCACTTTGATTGTCAGCTTGTTAACTATAGTTTCAACGAGTGGACACCCAAAGGTAAAGTTCAAGTAACGTCTGCCATCGGGTGCTTCAAAGAGATAGTCCTCCAATGGAACTCGATAGCCGATGATAAAAGTTGCTCTCCACCCTCCAAATAACGGGTATCGCGGTTCAAATTCCAGTTCCGACTGCATATACCAACATTTGTTTCTTCTAAGAATTTAGGGACTTAAAAAGAATAACATATCAGATCACCTTTTTTTAGGTAGAAAGTTTGAAGTATATCTCCCTAAGCACCATTGTGAATAGATTTAACACACCTTTGAACAATTAGAGCCTTAGGAGAATTTCTTAGGGAGTAAACATCACTGCTTAAAATGGCCAAGAGAAGAGGATAACCCAACCATACCTTTTTAAAGCCTGTACGCAAATGTGAAGTTGAGATGTTTCCGATGTCATCCCTGTAGTAGACAGAGTTAACTCTGGGAGGCAGTACTGCAAGGAGAGCATTGAAAGACGATGAACCACTCATGGAACGTCTAGATTGATAATCCACCCTGCCAAAAAACTCAAAATGTCAGAGAACCATTTCAGCACAATGGCATACGTATGAAAACAATAATCATAAATAGCAAATGACAAGACAGTTTTCCTTCAGTAACATAGAAAAGTTGTTGACGGTAGCAGAAAACGGAACCTTAACAATTAGCTTAAAAAAACATATTCAGAAATTTCATAGCATATAATTCCTAGAGATAAAGTTCCGGAGGCCAGCTCCTACAAATAATACATACCTTGAGAAAACACCCTTATGCCGAGCTCCCCCATGAGTCAACACGTAATTCTCAGTTATCTGAAGACTACCCCAGTGTGAAATCTCAATTTCACGCACGAGTTCCTCAACAACAGCAAACGGACTGTTATTCTCAAAGTGAACAATAACAGGTGTGTAAGAGTATGGAGTACGATCCTCATACGGTCCATATTTTATCTCTTTCCCAGCACGGTTAGCAGGTTCGATACTAGTGAACGACTCTACTCTAGTACTAGGAGTCTTGAAAAAACTCGTCTGTTGCTTAATATGATATGGTGAGAGTATCACTGCACTGTCATGGTAGTAAACCAACTGAGATTCTGACTGGGTTATCTCCGATGGGAAAGGTTCTAAGGAATGAGTCAATATGTATAGCACCTCGAGTGTAACAGTTTCACCAGGGCCTAAGGGGGTAGCAAATGAAATACTGAAGTATCCAGTGTCATTCGGTGCATCAGTTTGTTCACTTGGTTTCACATCTAGAGGCAAATAGGTTTTTTTCTTCTTCTTGCCCGTAATTGCCAGGGCTTGGACCATAGCTAAATTCTTGATCTGGGCAGGTGGGAAAGCAAGAAGCATTTCTGCAGCAGGATCTTTCCCAATATTTTCGACCTGTAAGAAACAATCCAGATAAGAAACTGTTATCTTCAAAAAGAAAAACTAAAGGACGAGAAAGGGATAATTATCAGTGGATTGTAACATTTCACACAAACCAAAGGTACTAAGTTCCAACCTTTTCAACAAGTATCACTACAACCAACTAATTTTGATGCAATAACATCTCCACAGAGAGTTCAAATTCCAGTCCTAAGTTACAACCTTTCAGTGTAGAATCAAAAGGTATAACCACTATAAACCTTTGAAGAGAGATACCTTAATAGTCAAGAAGGCCTTCACGATATGTGAACTTAAATCAATCTGCAGAAAAAAATCAACACAAAAGGTGAGCAATTTAGAATCAAAATTCACCTTCATGAAAGAAAAATTCTGTAAACTTCATCTATCATTAAACTTCCAGATTACTGAAATTAAAAAGTCACACGCATTATCTATAAATGTCTATCAATGATCACTCGTGAAGTGACCTATGACACAGTGATTCCGAAATCAAGCATACTGCATAGATCCGAGAAACGTTATCGCCCAATGGCACACTCACTAACTTAAAGTTCCATAAATCGGAAAAACGGATCCTTCAAGGAAAGTAGAAATGTATGAATTTGTTACGGAAGAGAGAAAGAAAATAGATCGGAGAATGTACCCTTCGCTCGGCATTTACGATCTGGAGATCCTGAGCTGATGAAAATGCAGAAAGAGATAGGAATACAGCTACAACGACGGCGAATATCCAGATACGAGTAGCCATTTCGTCACTGCAACTAAAGAACAATTTTTTTTAACGAAAGAGCTCGGAGATGGAGAATTGATAGGATTTGGAAGATCATCAGGAGAGATTTACAGACCGGTGAAGACAACGATAGAGAGATCGCAGTCCGGAGAGACAGATACTGACGGCGATGGATCGTCGGACGGCGAACTGATGTGGAGGAGGATGAAGAATGATCCGGTCAACTACAAAGTCTCAGTCTCTCACTCCTCTCACGATTTAGGGATTAGTCTTTGCGAGACTTTTTCTTCCTCAGGACGATAAACGTCACGAGACTATTATGTTCCTTAACTTTTTAAATTTAATGGGCCGTGAGAATTATTGGGCTTTGCACTATTATAAGCCCATTGATAAAGGTTAAATCATCGTCTGATTTGCCGCCATTCTCTTCCTCCTCATCGAAACTAACTTTGCTTCTTCTCTCGTCCCCTTCAAAAACTTTCTCTGGTCTCTTAAATTCGTGTTCTGATTCAAACGGGTTCGAGAATAATTTCTTTTTTTTTGACATGGGAGAGTTTTAAAATTCTGAAAGTTTTTAAATTTCTGTGTATTTTTTGCTTATTTAACATCTCCCATGGCGATTGATTGTCTCGTACTCGGTAACACTTTTTTCTTCTTCTTTCTTCTTTTCTTCAAGTTTCACGATTTCGGCATAAGAGCGTTCAATAAATTTCTTCGTGGTGTTTTCAGGTGCTGGACAAGAGATAGGGAAGAGCTGCGTGGTGGTGACGATCAATGGTAAAAGGATAATGTTCGATTGCGGGATGCATATGGGCTGCGATGATCACAATCGATACCCAGATTTTTCTCTCCTCTCTAAATCCGGCGATTTCGATAACGCGCTCTCTTGTGTCATCATCACTCACTTGTATTCATCTAAAAACCCAGAAATTTGTCCCCTTTATAAAAGTAATTTTATTAGTTTCCGTTGGATCTTATGGGTTCTAAATTGTGTGTGGTTTCCGAGTTCTATAGCCATATGGATCATGTTGGTGCGCTTCCTTACTTCACGGAGGTCTGTGGGTACAATGGCCCGGTTTACATGTCGGTGAGTTATACCGTCCTCAAGGTGTTCGATGAAATGTTTGAGTGACTCGTGTTTTTTTTTCAAGTAAGAGTTGTTTACTCTGGTTTTGTGTCTTCTGTAGTATCCCACGAAGGCGTTGTCTCCGTTAATGCTTGAGGACTACAGGAGAATTATGGTGGATAGAAGAGGCGAGGAGGAGCTATTCACCACTGCCGATATCGCAAACTGCATGAAAAAAGGTGCGCTCCAGTCTTCAATTTCATCTGATTGATGAATGTGTGACTTGTTTCATAAAGTCAGATGCAGTGTCTATAACTTGGCTTCCTTTTTTTTTTGGTTTGTATTGTTGTAGTAATCGCATTGGATTTGAAGCAAACGATTCAAGTTGATAAAGATCTTCAAATCCGTGCCTATTACGCAGGGCACGTAAGACACTCATTGCGTTTTGTAGATAGCTGCTTTGGACTTCTTCCTAAGTTTATTATATTCATAGTTTCTGTATTTCTTAAAGCTTCTCTTGTAATGATCATAAGGTCCTTGGAGCAGTGATGGTTTATGCAAAGGTTGGAGATGCAGCGATTGTGTACACCGGAGATTACAATATGACGACAGACAGACATCTGGGAGCAGCTAAAATCGACCGGCTCCAGTTGGATCTTCTCATATCAGAGTATGGAAAACATATACAAACTGTTTCAGTGGTATTTTTTGTAGAGTTTTATCTTGGACTTGATGTATGTTTGACTATGTGCTTTAGGTCCACATACGCAACAACCATTCGAGGCTCAAAATATCCCCGGGAGAGAGAGTTTCTTCAAGCTGTATGTCTACCTTATGTTATCATTGTTGTCTTGTTATAAATATACTAAGCTACCCACTTAGGAGGCTTAAGGCTTTCGTTTGTCAATTGTCTGATACCTCAGAACATTCTTTCAGGTTCATAAATGTGTTGCTGGCGGAGGGAAAGCTCTGATTCCTTCATTTGCTCTTGGAAGGGCTCAGGTCTGTCGTCTTACCAAACAAAAGAATGTTCTTTGTGATAGCTTCTCTTACGTCTCATTTACAATTGCGTTTCCTTGTACAGGAACTTTGCATGCTGCTCGACGATTACTGGGAGCGCATGAATATAAAGGTTCCTATTTACTTCTCATCAGGTCTGTAAAAGCACTTTTTAATCATCTTTTGAAATCACTTAAGCGGATTTGTCAGACCAACAAGAGTCCTGATTTTCTTTGTTAGGTAGCTATATCTATCTTCTGAAATTTGATCAACTTGTATGTTTTCCAGGTTTGACCATCCAAGCAAATATGTATTACAAAATGCTCATCAGCTGGACAAGCCAGAACGTGAAAGAAAAGAGTTCTACTCATAACCCATTTGATTTTAAGAATGGTATGCCTACTAATCTTTGGAACGTTAAAAATTACATTTATTCAAAAGGACTGAAACTTTAAGGTGCTTGAAAACAAAAAAAAAGAATTGTAAACTAGTGTACTTCTTTAAGTAATAAATACATCCTTTTGCGTCATTTTTTAGTTCTTATCAACTACCTTAGTTCTGCAACTCTACTTGCTTTGTAACTGCTACCTTCACACTCTGCAGTTAAAGATTTCGATCGATCTCTTATACATGCTCCTGGGCCATGTGTTCTCTTTGCCACACCTGGCATGCTTTGTGCCGGCTTCTCACTTGAAGTGTTCAAGCATTGGGCTCCTTCTCCCCTCAATCTCGTTGCCTTACCCGGGTACTAAACCTATTGTGTTCCCCTTCCTCAGCATTTCATTTTTTCTGTTATCATCTATCTAACACACAGTTGTATATCCTTTCTTCTCCTCTCGTGGTTATACAGATATTCCGTGGCTGGCACCGTCGGGCACAAGCTAATGTCTGGTAAACCCACAACGGTTGATCTCTATAATGGCACCAAGGTTGATGTCCGTTGCAAGGTTTGTCTTCTCTTCTTTTTCTAAATGTGAGCTTTACGGAATATAGTAATATCAAAACTTTAAAAAAGTCTTGGTTTTGCTGTTATCAGATACATCAAGTGGCTTTCAGTCCTCACACAGATGCAAAAGGAATAATGGATCTCACTAAGTTTCTTTCCCCCAAAAACGTTGTACTCGTGCACGGCGAAAAACCCAGCATGATGACTCTCAAGGATAAGATAGCCTCGGAGCTTGACATCCCCTGTTTCGTCCCTGCCAATGGCGAAACAGTTTCAGTCTCTTCGACCACTTTTGTAAAAGCAAACGCGTCTGATATGTTCCTTAAAAGCTGCTCTACCCCAAATTTCAGTTTCTCGAACTCCTCTACTCAGCTCCGTGTTACGGACCAGAGAACCGCAGACGGGGTTTTGGTAATAGAGAAGAGCAAAAAGGCAAAGATTGTTCACCAAGATGAAGTCTCCGAAGTCTTACACGAGAAAGACCATGCCGTCTCTTTGGCTTATTGCTGTCCTGTTAAAGTTAAGGGAGAAGTAGATGGTGTTAATCTGATCAAACAGTTGTCGGTAAAGATCTTGGAGACAGTGTCTGGTGCTGAGATCCATGAATCTGGGAACTGTTTGCAGGTTGGATCTTTCAAAGGTTCTTTGTGTCTGAAAGACAAGTGTGTGCATAGAAGAGGGGTAAGTAGTTGTAGTGAAGCTGTGTTCTTGTGTTGCAACTGGTCTGTTGCAGATTTGGAGCTTGGTTGGGAAATCATCAATGTTATGAAACAAAACCTGTAAATCCATTTTCTGGTAACTCTCTGGATCTGAGAAGTGTTTTCGGTTTTGTCGTTCTGATATTTATGTAAACATTTTTGTTATATAAAACAAATTTATAGGAATGAGTCAAATTAGTTTATAATGTTTTTTTTTTAATGAAAAACATATAAGTTCGCTTTTATGAAGCTTTTTTTTTTTTCTTTTCTTTTTAAAACCTGTATAAATTTTGCTTTGTACCTATTTCATGTATAAACTTTGCTTTGTAAAATATATAAATTCAGCTATAACATACTTTGGACCCGGAGAAAACCCAATACAAAATTACAAAAAAAAGAATGAGCAACTTTACTACTTTAGCGCCAATTTTTAGTTAACATGGAAAATATCCAAAGGGTCAAAGAGAGATTTAAATTAGCCTGTATGACTACGACTCTGTCAGTCTAATCTAAAATTAAATGTTAATTGTTAATTAATCTCGCTTAATTAAACCCCAATCTGTTTTTAAAAAATTGTCCGCCATGGCTTAGCGTTTTCTAGAGGAGAGAGAAAAGTGAAAAATAGAATCTCAATTTCTCTTCGTCGGTCGGTTTCAAAGAAAATATTAAAAAAAGCCTCCCCGGAGCTGAAGAAACCGATGTCGTCGTCGTCTTCTTCAGAGTCCACGGCGGCGCCACTTCTTCGCCCGCGTCCGGACGGTTCTTCTTCTTCAGCCCGGCCCACAGCTCTCGCCGTTCTACTGGGACGGGTCACCGGCCACCGCGCGCCGTCGATGCTGGTGAGAGAGACGGCGGCGCGTGCTCTCGAGGAGAGACGCATCGACTGGGGGTACTCGAAGCCCGTTGTCGCCGCCGACATACTGTGGAACGCCGCTCTGGTGGTTGCGTCGGCGGTGATGCTTGTCGGCACCATCGAAGAAAGGCCTAACGAGCCGATCAGGGTCTGGATCTGCGGCTACGGGCTGCAGTGTTTGATCCATGTGGTGCTTGTTTGGTCCGAGTACTGGAGGAGAAACACGAGGCGTAGAGCTAGGGATTTGGAGTCCGGCGACGGAGAAAGTCCCGATCTCGAAGGAAACTTTGATTACGGTGCGTATGATAATGAAGAAGACAGTGACAATTCAACAACGTACAGGTTTAGATCAGCATCTCAATATTTCAGAAAAATCGTTGATTTATGATGATGAAGTTGATGTGATGATTTGATTGAATCAGTTTTGCGAAAAGATGCGAGTCGATAAACACTGTGGTATCATTCATATGGTGGATAATCGGATTCTATTGGGTAGTACAAGGTGGAGATAGGCTTTTAAGCGAAGCTCCTAACCTTTACTGGTAAAAAAAAAATTAAAACCTCTCGCACAACACAAGAGTTTGCTCTTAGTTTCCCCCAAATCATCTTGATTTTTTTTTTTCTGCAGGTTGTCGGTGATTTTTCTGGCGATTGATGTGTTCTTCGCCATTTTCTGTGTTGTTTTGGCTTGCCTTGTTGGAATTGCTCTCTGCTGTTGCCTTCCCTGCATAATCGCTCTTCTTTATGCGGTTGCAGGAACGGTATGAACACATCAATAGCTTCTCTAAACGTTTGATCTTTGTCGTCTTGAAAGATTAGAACTTGGTTTATATATACAGGAAGGAGTATCAGAGGCGGAGCTCGGTGTTCTTCCGATGTACAAATTTCATGCTTTCCATAGTAACAACGAGAAGAACATCACCGGACCTGGTAAAATGGTTCCGATTCCGACCGATGGCTTATGCTTAGCAACTGAAAGAACATTGCTTGCCGAGGATGCGGTAGAAGTTTGATACTTATGAAACTTTGATTTATAAAAAGTTTCAAAGGTGTGAATTTTGATTTTGTTTTTGCAGGACTGTTGTATATGTCTGAGCTCATACGAGGATGGAGCAGAGCTTAATGTTCTTCCTTGCAACCACCATTTCCATTCCAACTGTATCGTTAAATGGCTAAAGATGAGAGCAACATGCCCTCTCTGCAAATACAACATCCTTAAAGGAACCACTGATCAATAAAGCAGAGAGACACAAGAATTTCTGCACATATGATAGAAACAAGTTCCATTTCCTCTATGTTAAAACTCTTTCTGTATATATATATATATATATAACAATCAAAATCATGTATCTAAAGTATCCCATTTTTAAATGTAAAAGATCACATTTTACATACATCTTCACGTACAGCTCGCTTCGTTGTCACATTGTTTGCTGCAATCCGCATCGCTTACTGCTGTTGCGAGCCCTCTCGTTTGCATTTCGAGAAGCAAATCTGAAGCAGCGGTCATGTTTCCTTCCTTTTCATAAGCTCTAATCAAGAGATCGAAAACAGCTGAATCAGGGCTTATCTCTCTTCTCAACATCTCGTCGAAAACTTGCCTTGCCTCAATCATCAAACCTTTGCTAGCTAGCCCGTAGATCAATGTGGTGTAGGTTAACAAGTCGAGCTCGAGACCCTCTTGAACCATTTTGGTTTTTAACTTAAACGCATCCACCAAGTTCCCTTGCTTACACAAACCAGCTATCCAAGAAGTGTACATGAACTTATCCGGAACAAGTCCAGCCTCTGAGATTTTGCTAAAGAGTCTCTCAACTTCTGTAAAGTCTCCTTCTTTGCACAGAGCATCGATAAGCACAGTGTACATAACATCGTTAGCTTTCTCTTTACAGAAATAAGCTATAGCTTCGTGTAGTTCTCCATTCTTCGCAAGCCCATCGATCAAAGTCGAAAGAGCTACAACATCTGGCTCAAGGCCTCTCTCTATGAACTCACGGTACATGTTAACCGCTGCTTTCACGCGCCCGGATTTGAAATACGCATTCATCATTATTGTTAAAATCATCTTATCAAGAACTAAACCACTTTTCTCCATGTACTGTATAATCTCTGTTGCCTCTTTCACTTTACCGTTACCGCAAAGCCCTGATATGATTACTCCGTACGCTGCTATATCAAGTCTCATCCCTTGGTTAAGCATTTTGGCCAGAAACTTCATGGCATTATCAGCATCTCCTTTCTGAAAATACCCATCGATGATCGTGGTGTACACAAGAGGATTCGGTTTCACTCTATCATCGTGCATCCTCGTATACAATTCCTCAGCTCTCTGCATCTCCCCTTGTTTGCAGAAACCATCTATCAAAGCAGTATAAGCAACAACATTCAAAGACATCGGAACGCGTCTCATTTCTTCGTATAACGCAACGGCAATCTCCAAGTCACCAGCTTTACAGTACCCATCAATCAAACAAGTGAAAGTAACCACATTTGGAGATAAAGCATCTCTCTTCATACAGCTAAAACTCTTCGACGCCATTTGTAACTCCCCGGATTTGCAGAACGTGTCGATCCAAGTACTGTAAGTAACAACATTCGGCGAACAACACTTGAACATAACACCCATATACACAAAAACCTCCTTCAACATCTTCATCTTCCTAAACCCATTAAACAAGGAGTTGAAACTAACAATGTCAGGTTTACACATAAACCCATGAGAGGATCTTAGCCTCTCTAATACCAAAGTAGCATCTCTGGTATCGCCGTTTCTACAATGCCCATCAATCAGAGAGTTGTAAGATACAACATCTGGTAAACATCCCAATCTGGGCATCGAGTGGACGATTTCTTCAGCGAATTTAACTTGCCCTGATTTGCAAACGAACGATACGACCGAATTGAATGAAGAACGATGAGGAGTGTAACCTCTGGAGACTAAGTAAGCTAAGAATTTGAGAGAGAGAACGCCGCAATTCGAATTGATGAGCTGATGAATATGCTCGTTGCAGGTAATTGGGTCTGGGAAATTCGAAGACTTTCTCAGCCGAGAAATAAACTGAAGAGCTTCTCTGACCATTCATGGACATGGGATTGATTCTTCAGAACGATTCGAAAGGTAACAGCTTTCGAAAGCTAAAATCTCACGGAGAGGCTTAAACCCTAGAAGGTTAAAGAGGAGAGGTGATTTGGTGCTAAACGACACCGTTTCGCTGTCCCTCCCTTCCCTCTTAGAGTAATTATGTGCTAAACATAAATTAAAAGGGAAAAAAGTATTATGATTGTGCTGCAAAACCTGTATTTAATTCGTTAGGTAACATACGTTGATTGCTTACTAACAAAGTGTGAGAATCAGCCAGAGTGTTAAAATTGTTGTTAATATTAAATTGTTCAAACTTCAAAAACCATGAAATGAGAATACAATGTTCCAGTCCCTAACCAAAATTAACAATTTGAATATTTTTGTTACATATATGTAACGTATGAAGTAAGACTCGTGACTTCTGAACATACATATAACTACAAAATCGTGTGAAGAGAAAATTGACTTTTCAAAATGCAAAAAGAAAAAATCTAATGAGATTTTCGAGTCATGAGGACGTGATTTGTAGTGTTTTTATTCGTACACGTGAGGACATGTTGGATGGTTGATAATGAAAATCTAAAGAATGGCCCGATTGATATTTACTTGTCAATAGCATACAGTAGTGATAACATTTACAAATAACTATAGGAATTATGATAGTTTTTAAAAGTGATTATTGTGACGGCTACAAACTTACTAGTACTATTTAGTGACATTTAATTTTGCATCGTCATTCTTGAATTGATCTGAGCTAAAAAACTTGCAAACATATCACATTTTTACTCAAGAAACCAAAAAAATATTAAAATTTAATTAGAAAAAACTTTTACAGATTAACTCTTTTAAATCAGGTCGCAGGAAATTTTCTGAAATATGTATGATGATCATTAATCATTTTTTGTTGCATACAATTGCATAGCAGCATTATTGAAAAAAAGGTAAGAAGATTAAGAATTTTGAATATCAGCTAGAAAATTAAACATTAAAAAAGTAAAATTAGCGCTTTGTCATTTCTAAATCAAAAACAAATTTCCAGGTTAATTAACGTAAATCTACTCAGTGACGCAATCATCTGTCACTCTATTCGCTGTCACTTTATGTATTTACGCACAAAAAACCACTATAAGCATAGCCATAAACCTCTTTTAAATCCTTCTCTCCATTTTCTCTCTTCCTGTTTCTCTAAGCTATTTAGCGCCGGTCAGGCCAAAATTCAAACAAACCCTAGCTCCTTTCGAATCACGACGAGTTTCTCCTTCACGATTCATAATCATTCGCTTCTAATCTCTGCATTTTCGCTTTCTGCTCGATTCCTCGAGAATGTGCTGATTTAGGTATTTGCTTTTTCGTTTCTGTTTGTGTTCTAGCTGAAATTTTTTTCTTTTTCTCTTGTGCTGATTTGGGATTCAATAGTAAATTGGATTGTTTGGGATTTATTGATTTGTAGTTTTGAAAATAAGGGTTTTAGATCGGGAAATCAAAAAATGGAGGAAGGAGGATATGCGTATGAGGTTAACAATGGACAACAACCGACGGTGAGTGAGTTCGGGAGGACTTCTTCGCCGCAGCTTCCGTCGTTGACTAAGTCGTCGTCCTACCGTGAAGGAAGCGGAGGAGGAGGAGGAGGAGGAGGAGGAGGAGGGAGTAAGGGTTTATCACGACGGAGGTCAATGAAGCCAAGTTTTGACGCGGATAATAACGAGCTCATTACTTTACTCCATGGCTCAGATCCGGTGAAAATTGAGCTCAATAGGCTGGAGAACGAAGTCAGAGGTACTCTATGATACTCGATCTGTTTATTCTATTCGTCGATTTCGAGTTTCCGTTGACATTTGATTTTGCAATTGCAGAATTGGGATTTTGGATATATATGTATATATATATATATATACGTTTTTTCTTCGCCTGTCCTTACGTGCATGCGTGTCGTTTCGTTGGTTTGAACATTGACTTTGGTTGGCAGATAAAGATCGGGAATTATCTGAAGCACATGCTGAGATCAAGGCATTGAGGTTGTCTGAACGGCAAAGAGAGAAGGCTGTTGAAGAGGTTTGTCCTAATTTTAGATTGAGTTACCAAAATGGTTTTTTGTTAACTTGCAGTGAATGTACTCCCTTTCCTTTTTTTAACTCGAGAGGTGGTTGATGAACAAGTCTTGTTAGTCATTAATATAGTGTTGGTTATACCTGGAGTTGGGAAAATGAAACTATACGTACCATATGTATCATCACATTCATCATGTCCTGTAAACTATGCTTGATGCAACTGAATTCTTCACATGAACAGGACATTGAGATATTGCATCTTGACATATTGGTTTTTATTTCTCTGGGTCATGTTAACGGAAGAGTTTAAATTTGTGAAACGTAATTTGAATTTCAACATTTCCTTGTAAATCGTTATCCTTCAGCTAATAGTTTCCGCTCAAGTTGCATTAGAGTTCTTTGTTATGCATCATTACAGGTGGTTGAACTGAAGATTTCTTGCTAAGTTTTCCTGTAATTGGTCCTTAGTACTTTTCTGCAATTGTTCTGTTTTCTGTTACCGTTTCTTTCTAAACATGACTTCACTCTTGTTTGGCTTGTGACCAGTCGTTCTATGAAGCATATACTGACGTTTTGTTCTTTGCTGTGATTACTTAAGCTTACCGAAGAGTTGGGAAAGATGTCGGAGAAGCTCAAACTAACTGAAAACCTTCTCCAGAGTAAAGTATGCTTACAGTGTTTCCTCTGTTGCTTTTTTACTCTTCTATTTAATTTTTTTTATCTGGATCTATGTTTGATGAAAGATCACATGTTGTCACAGAATCTTGAAGTCAAGAAAATTAACGAAGAAAAAAGGGCTTCCATGGCAGCTCAATTTGCTGCAGAGGCCACTCTTAGAAGGGTTCATGCTGCTCAAAAGGATGACGATATGCCTCCTATTGAAGCCATTCTTGCCCCTTTAGAGGCTGAACTGAAATTGGCGAGACATGAAGTAGTTTCCTTCCTTTTAAACCAAATATATCTCTTACATCTTTGCTTATTGAGTCTTGGAACCTTCTAAACTCGGTTTGCATTCTTTTGTAGATTGTTAAACTTCAAGACGATAACAGAGCATTGGACCGTCTAACTAAATCGAAGGAAGCAGCTTTGCTGGATGCTGAAAGAACTGTTGAGGTTGCTCTTGCCAAGGCTTCAATGGTTGATGATCTCCAGAACAAGAACCAAGAGTTAATGAAACAGATAGAAATTTGTCAGGTATTGCTTTCATCTACTTTATTCGATGAAACTTCAAAAAAAATTGGATCTCCTTTCTTCGTTTTTTGTGACCATGCCTTGTTTATCAATTGCTTAAAACAGGAAGAGAACAGAATACTGGACAGATTGCACAGACAGAAGGTTGCAGAAGTTGAAAAGTTTACTCAGACCGTGCGGGAGCTAGAAGAAGCTGTTCTTGCTGGTGGTGCAGCTGCAAATGCAGTGAGAGATTACCAGAGGAAATTCCAAGAAATGAATGTAATGATTCGTTTACTCCTATAGAGTCTCTGTAGCTTACTGTTTTTTCCTTGTCTCGTGAAATATAGTTCCTGTGCTGATCATAACTGTGGCCATTGATCGTTTTCCTTAGGAAGAGAGGAGGATCCTTGATAGGGAACTGGCCCGTGCAAAGGTGAGCGCAAGCAGGGTTGCAACTGTAGTGGCAAATGAGTGGAAAGATGGTAGCGACAAAGTGATGCCTGTGAAGCAATGGCTCGACGAACGGAGATTTCTGCAGGTGACTTTTCAGAAATCTTCAAGTTGTGTGATTCATATTCATAAGTAGAGAGTAAGGGCGTTCTTTGACCATTTTCCTATTGTTTTGGATAGGGAGAAATGCAACAACTACGTGACAAACTTGCCATAGCTGATCGTGCTGCAAAATCTGAAGCTCAGCTGAAGGCAAGAAGAATCTTTAGCTACGATGCCATATCTTTACTCTACTTTGTGTCCTTTTGTATCAAAGTGCTTCAAGTTAGAATTGCTTTCTTTTGCTTTTTTTCAGGAGAAATTTCAACTACGGCTTAGAGTCTTAGAAGAGAGTTTAAGAGGGCCTTCAAGCAACGGCAATCGAGCAACACCTGATGGAAGAAGTGTTAGCAACGGTCCTTCTCGAAGACAATCCCTTGGCGGAGCTGATGTTATTCCGAAGCTGACATCAAACGGATTCTTCTCCAAGAGAACACCGAGTTCTCAGTTTAGATCTTTGAATGCTGGTGCAAGTACAGTGTTGAAGCACGCTAAAGGAACGTCCAGATCGTTCGACGGAGGCAGCAGATCTTTAGATAGGAGTAAACTGCTAACAAACGAACAAGGGTCGAAGTTTCCATCGAACCAATCTTCTGAAGGAACCAGCGAAAGAGAGTCACCTGATTCATCAAAACAAGGAGATTCAGAGAAGCCAGCAGGAACGAACAATGATAGTGTCCCAGGAGTGTTACATGATTTGCTTCAAAAGGAGGTGATAACTTTAAGAAAAGCTTCTCATGATAAAGATCAAAGCCTAAGAGATAAGGACGAAGCTATTGAGGTCAGTTTAGTCTTTTTTTTTTTTAACCCCTTCCAGGAGAATGTTTTGCTTCTGTCTTATAGTCAGTCTTTGATCGAAATGTATGCTTAGATGTTGGCCAAGAAGGTGGAAACGCTAACAAAGGCGATGGAAGTCGAGGCAAAGAAGATGAGAAGAGAAGTGGCTGCAATGGAGAAAGAAGTTTCAGCGATGCGTGTGGATAATAAAGGATCAGATAGTAGAACGAGACGTGTCTCTACTACCAACTCAAAAGGATCTTCAACAACTGCACATTTGCTTTCTGGAAGGTATATACTTCATTCTTATAATATCATCCAATATGAGTCATGAAACAAGTGGTTAGGTTGTGATTTTAAGTTATACGTCAATGTAATTTAATCACATAATTGGTGTTTTAGCAGAGGCTCAGGTCGCATGGGGATGACAAGGAGCACGCAGTAATCAAAGAAGTCGATTCCACTAGCAAGGTTTCAATCTCAATCACTGGTTAATATGTTGAAGGATGATGGATAGAAGCAATACAAATGTAGAAAAATCAGTTTGGGAGGTTTGTGTGTTTCTCTAACATAGTATGAAGATTTCAAGGTAAAAAAAAAAAAAACAGAGAGAACATTGACTTTTTTTATTTTCTTGTCTAATTTCTTTTGTGATGATGATGTTTATTGCTTTTATATAATATAGAAAAGAGTTAGCCTGTGTTAACTTCAACTTTAACTTACCCTTTTGAGCTTCGTGTGTGTGATTTTGTTTTATTTCTCTTTCTCTTACATTTGTTCGATTACTCACTTTTATTAATGTTTTAACTAGCATCAATGTATTGATTAATTCAAGCGCAACATTCACTGACCATAACAAAATCTGAATATGAATATGAATCTATAGATTATACTATTACTTAGAGTTTGATCATCGTCTCCTTGAAGGCTTCAAAAGAGATTCCCTTTTGAATGTAATGAATCTGTGAAGGATCAAAAGGACCTCTCACTCTATCTATCTTTGTAATCACTGCTCTCTCCGGCAACACACACCTCGCCGGATCCACCGCTGTCTCTCCGCTCAGACACGACGAAAATCCTTTGAAGATGAGAACTTCGACTTCTTCACCGTCAACAATGGCCGTCACGATAAGCGCTTCTTCTCTACACGATTGGCTATAGTTCTCCAACATCGCTATCTCCTCGTTGTATCCATACGATTCACCGTCCTCATCTCCTGCTCCGTCGTCTCTCACCCTTCGCCGAGCACCGCACCGGAACGGCTTTGAAGCTCTCGCCGTCGCAGCCACCACCGGAAGGACGGTTGTAAGGATATTACGGTTATTCGAGTTATTAAGTGAGGGTAATTCGGTCATTCGAGCTATCTGCCGGGAAATGCGCCTGAAAACGACTAGTCCGGCTATGTTGCCGCATGGATTCGCCGGCGTGATAAGCATTGTAATTTGACAAGAGTCATAGTATATGTGAGGTGACCAATGATTTTATATTTTTTTTTTACTCTACAGATAACCTTATCTTAGAAAAAAATAGTGATTGATAACTATTAAAACTGTAGAAAAAAAATATTGTGATACGAGTTTGTAATCAAACTAAAAAAGGTTGGTTGTCGTCAGCCTCTAAACTATATATTGTTATCTATTTCTTTTCAATAGATTTCTACGTATTTTTATCCAAACAATTTTTTTATCTGCCTATTCCCCCAAAATTTAATTAAAAATTAAAATCGCTATCAATTTATGAAATTGTATTTTAATTAGATTACGTTTTGGGGAGAAATATAAAGAAAAAAAATTGTTTAGGTAGGGATAAGCAGAAGTGTAGTCTAGAGAGGAATATGCAGAATTTATTAAATTCAGAAAGGTGAGCACAGTCAATTTAATTCTTAGATTATTCAATATATTTAATACATGATTAGCTTAATTATATACACAACATATATTTGTATAGTAAGAGAAACATATATTGATGTGAAAAAATGGTGATAATATGAAAATACATTTATTTAAAAAGAAAACCAAAACTAACATATATACATAAACATATCTTATTGTTTTAAGTATTTTTATTTGAAATACTAATAGAAAAATCTATATTTCGAGATATACTTGATATTTCAGGACTTATTTACTTGACATTAGACAGCTTAACTAATACAATTTTATCATCATGTTAGTTCGAGTATTTCGATTATAATCTCTGAAATAGACGAATGTGTTGTTAAATTAGGCCACTAATAACTCACAACACAGATGGGTTAGAGACTTCAAACTTAGATGTCGTATGTACATTTTGTCCTTAAATTAACACATATGAGTAATGAATGGTTAGACAGAGAGTTGAAACCTCAACTTCTTCTATGTCATTCATGGTTCGAGTATTTTGATTTAAAATGCTAATAGCAGGATTGCAGAAACTATAATTTGGGATTTAATTGACATTGCACAATTTATTTACTTGATACTACACGATTTAATTCATATAAGTTTATTATCTTATTGTTCCAAGTATATTTTTAGTGCTAATAGAAGAAATTATATTTTGAGATTTACTTTACTATACACAATTTGTTAACTTTATATGATTTAAGTAGTATAGATCTATCATCCTATTGGTCTGAATATATTAATATATATTTATACATCCCAAAAAAATACTTTTTCCCTACTAACACTTTAAATCAAAATACTCGAACCAATAGAAAGATAAACTTGTATTAGTTAAAATGTCTAAGATCAAGTAAACAAGTCTTATAATATCAAGTCTATCCCAAAAAATAGTTTTTCCTATTAGTATTTCAAATCAAAATATTTAAAACAATAGAATAATATGTTTATATATGTATAATAACCAATTTTAATTTTTTTTTAAAATAAATAAATTATGTTGTAATATTGCTACTATTTTTAATAGAAATATACATTTCTTTTACTATACAAATATATGTTGTATATAATTAAGTTAATTATGTGTTAAATATATTGAAAAATCTAAAAATTAAATTGACTGCATTCAATCCTCTGAACTTAATAAATTCTTTATATTTCTTCCTAGACTATACTTCTGCTTATTTTCATCCAAACAATTTTTTTCTGCATATTTTCCTCCAAAACGCAATCTAATCAAAACGCAATTTTGTAAATTGATTATAATTTTAGATTTTAATTGAATTTAAGAGAATATGCAGATAAAAAATTGTTTGAGTGAAAATATGCAGAAATCTATAGTTTGGGAGAGGAATAAGTGGACAACATATAATTTGACTTTTTACTCTGTCCTTTGACCCTGTCTTCTCTTCCTGTCCAAAAAACAGATATATGAAATTTGTTTGGACAAACAAGGCTTTTTGTGCCTATTTGGGTTATAGATGTTGGGCCTGGTTTTATTAGTTAAAATATCCTAAGATTCAATGTGTTTTCCACTGTTTTTTTCCTAAAACCAAAAATGGAAAAAGGACAATATATTGTTGCATTTTTACAAATAAGGGTAGTACCATTGAGGTAAATTACGTCTGCGTGCCACTACTACAGCTATTATCAGTCGCTTTCCATGCCTCTCTCTTCAAACCAGTGGCAACACTGTACGTCTTCAATCATTTCTTCTCTCCCCCGTTTCTATCTTTTCTTCTCCTCCTTCTTCTTCTTCCCCAAAAAAATCCCCTTTTTCTCAGCTCTCTAGGGTTTTCAGTATTCGTACTAAAGCTGAATCATCTGCTTCCTAGAATTATTAGCTTCTTCTTTCTGCAAAATGACGATCAGCGATCATTTTCCTTCTGGGTTAAGAGTTCTCGTCGTAGACGACGACACTTCCTGCTTGATAATTCTCGAGAAAATGCTTCTCCGTCTCATGTACCAAGGTCGATTCCTATCAAAAAGCTTCCTCCTTTTTCACTCATTTTCTCGAGAAATTTCACATTTTTCTTTTTATGTTCTAAATTTTGCTCCTTTTTGTTTGTTTGCAGTTACCATTTGCTCACAAGCCGATGTTGCTTTAACCATTCTAAGAGAAAGAAAAGGCTGTTTCGATTTGGTACTTAGCGATGTGCACATGCCTGGTATGAATGGTTACAAACTTCTCCAACAAGTTGGCCTCGAAATGGATCTTCCTGTTATAAGTTAAGAATCTCTCATAATTGTCTCAAAGATTTGAACTTTTATCCTTTTTCTTTTAATCAAATGTTTCTTACACTTGCTCTGTTTTTTGTTTAAATCCTCTTCTCTAGTGATGTCTGTTGATGGAAGAACAACTACAGTCATGACAGGAATCAACCATGGAGCTTGTGATTACCTCATCAAACCAATTCGTCCTGAAGAGCTCAAGAACATCTGGCAACACGTGGTTCGCAGGAAATGCACAATGAACAGAGAGATTCGGAGAAATTCACAAGCTTTAGAGGATAACAAGAACAGTAGCAGCAGCTTGGAGACTGTTCTCTCGGCCAGTGAATGCTCAGAGGGGAGTTTGAAACGCAGGAAGAACAAGAGAAGGGTTGATAGAGAAGACAACGAAGAAGAAGACGATCTTCTTGATCCTGGAAACAGTTCGAAGAAGTCGAGAGTTGTTTGGTCGATTGAATTGCATCAACAATTCGCCAATGCCGTTAACCAGCTTGGAATTGACAGTATGATCCTAAACACTATTCTGCTTATATAATGTCAAATTGATTGTGAGTGATTTCGTTTTACTGACAAGAATTCTCCTATTGTTTTCAAGAAGCTGTACCAAAGAGGATTCTTGAGCTGATGAATATGCCTGGTCTAAGCAGAGAAAACGTCGCTAGCCATTTACAGGTTTTGTTTGATTGATTGGTTGATTTGAATGAATCTTTCTTCTTGAGGCTCTTAAGGTTTTTTTTTTTTTTTTTTTTTTTTGACTGAATCAATAATTGCAGAAGTACCGATTGTATTTGAAGAGATTAAGCGGTGCAGCTTCGCAGAGTAAGGACGTTGAGTCTATGGAAAGATACGAAAACATTCAAGCTCTGGTTTCCTCAGGACAGATACCTCCACAGACATTAGCTGCACTGTTTGGTCGACCGATAGACAATCATATGTCTGGTGGTTTTGGAGTTTGGACACCTAATGACAATCATTTTGGTGGATCTCAAAACCAAAGCCTCTCGATTGATGTATCATCCGCTTTGAACGGTCCTGTTTCTGTCTCTACTTCAATGGCGGTTCATGGTTTATCTTCCTCTGCAAACTTAAGACAGCAGCGTGATGGTTTCAACAGCAACACAGAGTACGGTATCAAACAAGGGAATGGCTCAAATGTCAATGAAGAATCTTGGATCTTCGAAAGACCTTCAAGACAGCGAAGGAATCATCGATATTGAACATCAATAGATGTGGCTTATAAGGAGGCAGGAGGAGGCTCGTATCGGTTCAAATCTTCAGAATGGATTAAAGTCAGAAGAACACTTGTGTGTCTGCAAAGTTAGGGTAAGTGTAAGAAGATGACGCTCTTAGGACAAAGTCATCTATTGTGTTGTTATGCTATTAATGGTTAAAGTAATTATGTTTTAATCTGCAGATTAGACTATGTTTATGAATAAAGTATTGCTTATAAGTAAGATCAATGAGTATTAAAAACTCTAAAACTCAAGTCGTACTCTTTATTGCAACAAGTTTTACTTTTACAGTGATACTAATAAATAACCACATAGCATGCAACGAAGAAGTCTCAAATTTTAAAACATTAAACGGAAAATAAAATTTTGTTATGGCTAATGTTGCACAACTTTAGCCAAACAAAACGCAGCCGCTGAGGCAACCGCTCCTATAAAGGCGGTTTCAAACGCACTTTTAAAGGGTTTGCTGCCGGTGAAATGCCCTTTTCCGTAGCCAAATATGAAGAGAGCGAACAGCGTTACAACCACAGAAGCCACGACCGCATCTAAGGCTTTTGGGATGAACATGTACGGAAACAGCGGCACTAAACCGCCAAGAACATAAGCGAGTGCAATCGTGAACGCGCTTTGTAACGCTCTTTTTGGATCAGGCTTCTCTAGTCCCAGCTCAAACCTGAGTGATGAAACAATCAATTTAACGAATAAAGGAGTCTCACCTCTATATAAAAATGTATAAGAAGTGTGATATGATACCAAAAGAGTGTTTTTGATAAACCCATTCGATAAATTCTGAACCGAACCGGGTTCATAAAGACATCGAACCGTATCAAAACATGATTTATTTTTTGAAAATTACAGTAGTGTAAAGTTCAGCCTCACTTCAAGTACTTAAGAAAAAGTAATAATTAAAATTTTCTCTATTCAACATTTTTAAAAAATTCGTATAATTTTTTTCAAAAGAAAAATTGAAATTGGAAGTCGAACCAAATAGAATCTTGCCCACACCTGGAAAGAATAAGCCCAGCTTTTTGCAGAAAAAAACTAAAAGGTTTCCCTCGGTTTTCTAATTAAGTAGAAAAATCCAATACACTCAAAACAATAAATCAAATATTAAACCAGGGAGTAATTAAATTAGTGGGAAGTGACTAACCTCATCATAAAATCAAGCCATGCTTGAGGATTCTTACGAAGAGAATTAACAACAGGTGAATATTCATGTGGCTCTATTCCGTACTGTGCCAGAATCTCTGCCACCTCAGCTGCCTCTGTTTACATCCATATCGTAAAAACTGCGTTACACCGGATAAATTCCTCCGGCGAACGGTTTATAATAAGTCAAAATAAAGTCTTCTTACCAGTCTCAGGAACGGCCAGGATCTCTTCTTGTTCTCGTTTCATCTCTCTCGCGTAATGATCCGCTTCGCTCTTGGCCGCTAAATACCTAAACTCAATAGTTACATCATGAATTTTACAGAGAAATATTAATTCTTTAATTACTTAGGACTCCAGATAATATATTAAGTCACATATGGCTACATGCATGCATGTTATTCAAATTACATATGATTAATCAAACTCAATGTTCTCAGAGAAATTTACGTGTGAATTAAAACGAAAATGCATGTATATGCAATTAAAATTTTAAAGTAACTAACCCGCCGAGTCCCATGGAGATAGCGCCGGCCGCGACTTCGGCGATACCGGCGGTGAGGACAATAGAAGAAGAAGCATTTGCACCGGAGAGTCCGGCGGCGAGTGCAAAAGGAACGGTTAAACCATCGGAGACTCCGATGATGATGTCACGGACGATTTCTCCGGCGGTGAAGTGTTTCTCGGTGTGATTATCGAGAAGTGATTGCTTCTCTGGTTCCACATAGATCCTAGTGATCTTCTCTTCCTCCGACGACATTTGAAGATCGAATCTTTTTCTCTCTGTTTTTCTTTCTTTTAAGTAGTGAAGTGTGGATAAGTGGATTCTACATAAAATATGTTGTGTGCATATATATACACGAAGAACGAGAGGGGGGATATATCAAACCGTTCGTTATTATATTTTTTTGGTTTGGAATTTACTTATTCCCATTTATTTCGTTTTAATACAATGAATTCATATTCTTTTTATTAATGATTTATTACCACTTATAAGAAAAATATTGAAGATAGAACTTAATAATCTTCCACAAAGTTTGCAAAATATCTGTCAAATCTTATCTTAAGCTTTAAATATGCTTATATTATTTACTAAAAAATACTTGCATGCATATATACAAAAAACATTTCCTAAAGATTTTATATAAATATATAATTTACTTTATGTTTTCTAAAAAAAGAAGATGTCATCAAATCATACACAAATTAACCTTTAAAACCAGAAAACTACCTTTTAATATAATAATCACATTCCCATAAAAAACGCTAAAATGTTCATAATCTATATGAAAAGGGACTAGAAATTAGAAAACTAAAGAATTCTCACAACACTAAAGAAAAAAAGCTCATTCAAAATTTAAATACATGACTAAGTGTGTGACACAAAGTTTTAGAATTTACCGGACGGTTAGTTTTGTGGGAACTGTTAATTTGTCGAACGTCGATATATGACTCGATGTTGTCAATTTTTTGGTGAGTACAGGTAGAAAAAAAAAACTTAACTCAACGACTTGTTGTGTAGACATGCATGTTTTTTCTTATCGGCATCCAGCTGCAAAAATGACGTTTTTAAAGCATTAACAAAATTGGAACGATCGTGGGATATATAGATAAAACACAGATTGTCTTCTTGAAAATGTTATAACGCTCAAAAACATGAATATGTTAACATGAATGGTCGTAGAACCGAGAAATCAGAAAGATAAAGATATTATTTAGTTTTGGACATGGTCAGAAAGTGATTTGAGGGCTAAACTAGTACTTTCCAACGTAAGATCAGAGAACCTTACATGAGGTTTAAGTGTGAGTGATCGCACAATGGGCTTTACATAGTTCACATTACATCGATTAGTAAACTCGAACTCGCGATCGAGAAAAGACTGTTACCTACCAGTCCATGGAGACGAGTTTACACACTACAACTTCTGGTGAGGATCATAACGTTGGTGTCCGTTGCAAATTAGTCATTTAAAAAGTTGAATATATACTTGTTTAATTTGTTTTCTTTGTGACGATTTTGACTACTGTGTTGTCTATGTTGTGGTTTCGTTGGCAACCGTAAAATCAATATATATGTAAATTGAACCTAGATTTTCCATATGTAAATATCACCAATCATATAATTAAAAACCTATAACCGCTAAAATCTTTTTGATTTCATGACCAAAACTATATTCACCGATTAGATCCTATGCGTTCCACTCAAGCTCTACAAGACAAGGGGAAACAGTTTTAAGTGTTGATCAGAACTCAGGCAAAAGTGCGCGTGTTTGCCACATGCCTGTCCAAAACATGAAACCACGTACGCATTTTATACGTGGACACACGAAAGTCGAAAGTTTCTGTAGAAAAGTTATGCGAAAAAGCTACAAATTCTTACATGTTACAGTATAAGAAAATGAAGCCATATGCAACGCTCCAATTCACACTCTTTAATGTATTTCATGTTTTAACGTTTCTGAGCGTACGTAGTCGAGTTTATTAGAAACGTTCAATGTCTATAATTAAAAAAAAGTAATCCAAATGGAATGAAGCTTAATTTTGGCGTCTTTAACTGGATCACGAAGGTAGATATTGGTCAAGTAAATTTTAGGAGGTTCGTTTACAATAGATTTCTTTCATTGTTTATAATTTTTTCTCGAGGAACCCAATGGCCATATATAAACATCTTTTAGAGCTTGGATCTGGAAGATGTTGTCGTCTCGAATGCTTCTGCTGTCTTCACTGGTCTCCACCACGATCTTGTCTGATTTATAACCAATGAAGCAGATTCGATATTGATGATGCATACTATTACATTTTCCGGTTTAACAAGTAGTATTACATACATAATTATTCGGGACTAAAATCTCTAGCACAGACAAGGGTGTGAGAGTGCAAATGGGAATCGATTTTTAAGAGAAACCCAGGTCAAAAATTGAAAACGTATCACAACAAAAACCTAAGCAAACTAGCAAAAGTTATACATAGCCACAGGACGCTGAGAATACAAGAGTAGCAAAACCATAAACACAAGACAAAGGTCAAAGATGTATAGCCATAAGTCACTGAGAATAAAAGAGAAGAAACTCATCAAAACAAAAATGACAAGCAACTCCACTACTGGTTTCAAATGCAACTCATTCCATGACTTATATCATCTCAAACATAAACCTTAATTGCGATTTGGATTCAGATGGCCGCTGCGATCCTTCCTGCGACTTGGTCAAGATCCCTCTGCCCACTTGATGTGATCTTCCTCCCTCTGATTAACATCACAATATGTAAACGTATCATGATTGAATCCACAAGGGTACTATTCAAGAAACCATGGTCTTTCGACGATAAACTCACCCTTTAGTGTCAAGGTCGACAATGTTCATGGTCTGGAGTTGCTGAAGGATGTGACGAGCAACACCACCGCTGCTCTTGCAGAAATGAGGTGGACGGCTTCCGTTCCTCTTGCTTCCTCCGTAGATCCTTCGGAAGGCACCAACCCCAAGACCTCCTCTCAGGTACACTTTCCTCGCCATGGAAGCGGCTCTGATGTAGTACCAGTCAGGGTCGTATGGGGCAAGTTCCTTGAGTTTGCCAGTCTTGACGATGTCTGTCCACGGAGGCAGCTCAATCTACATGACAAAGGAGCGGTATTGTCATTCAAATAGCAGCTACGATTCAAATACTTTGTGGCCATTTTCAAGCAGAGATCATCGAGCTCTCATGAGGTAATCCTAATTCCGAATCGTCAGATTTACCTTGCCGGAGCGCTTGAGATGGGCAGCGTAGGCCTTGACGAACTCGTGTGGAGAGACATCCTTCACAGTTTTTCCTGTTGCCATTGTTCCCGCGCCTCCGATCCTTTCTCCTTCTCCTCCTTGTGCTTCGGCGACGGCGCGTGCTTTCGAGTATATCTGAGTGGGAAAGGGATTGAGAGGAATTATGATAAGCGAAATTAGGGTTTCTTAGACGGAAGGCGTAGGACTTTACATAATTACCCTTATTGTTTTGGGTCCTCTACTGCTGGGCCTATGAAATACATATGTGGGCCGTTATTCCGTAATTTAATCGTCGCATTTCTGTTATTTTCTTTTTCTCTTCACAGTATATTTTTAGTTGGGATGTCATCCATGTTGGACTCGTATTAATTTCTAAAAACATCTCCATATCTCTTGGAAATTTCTCGCAAATGTGAAAACGAAAATATTTTCTCACATGTAAAAAACTCATGTGAGAAACTATAGATGCAGGTGTTGTAAGACCTATTATCAGCCAAAGAAGCAAGAGGAAGACAAAAGGTGCAGTGTAACTCTATTTTTTAAGTAATTTGTTTGTTCTATCTAAATAAAAACTATATATTTTATTATTACATTTACCTAAAATTATATTAATAATAATAAAATTATATAATTTATAAAAAGAAATTAAAATGCAAACTGAGATATCGTAGGTTCCAAAAAAAAAGATGACAAATAGTAAATTATAAATATATAATTAATACCAAAATAATTGCCATTAAAAAAAACTTAAGATGATTTATTCTAATGATCTAGAAAGTGCCTTGCAAATCTTCTAACTGCTTACCGAATGATTGGTTGATGAGCCGAGCTATATTCCCTTTAATCTATAGCATCAACCTCTACTTCCTCACTGATCTTGAGCAGCTGCAACACATATCCTCCACTTGGTTAAGAGAGAGAGAGAGAGAGAGAGAGAGAGATAGAGAGAGAGATAGAGAGAGAGAGAGAGAGAGAGAGAGAGAGAGAGAATTGTGGAGATAAATGGGAAACAGTCTCAACTCACATAGCAGGACGTGTGTGCTTCTCTCAAGTCAAGTCCCAAATAGACCAAACCAACATTCACAAATGGGTTTGCCTTCGTACCATTTCTCCTTCTTGGATAATTCTTCTTGCAAAAAAACCCCATCCACGTTATTCCACATCTCCCAAAGCAGACCCGATCCACTTCTGTTGTTAGATTTGATAATACCACAAATATATCTTTAGGTCTACAAGTCCTTTTGAACATAATTAAATTCTATAAAACCATAATCTAGTTTTTCTTTTCGGGTTTGCATGTGTTAGCACTACAGCTCTATATATCTTTTAGGAAGATGTCTCCAAGTCATTTTGAACATACAAAAATGACTTGGCTATCTATTAATCTTTTTTTTTAAAAGCTTTCTCATAGTTTTTGTGTCTCTTTCTCATATCTTCTAACCTATCAAAAAAGTTTCGTGGGAGGAAGAATGAGACTGGTTTTCGATCTAAATTTTTTAATCTTTTTAAAATAAAGATAATTTAAAAAAAAAAACTATAATAAGACTATTCGAAAATCAAATCTGGTACCGTGCCGGTAAAGTTCAGTTCCGGTTCTTCTTCAATTTATGTTAGGTTTTTCATTTGAACTAAAAAAAGTAAAAAAATGAGCTTTATTTATGGAAATCACATATCTATGTATTATTATTTTCGTTTCATGCATCTAAATATTAAAAAGGTTTATAAGATCTAGCCAAAAAAAAAAAAAGCAAATCAAATTTAAACCGGAAATCTCAATCTTGCTTTGACAACAATCCAGAAATCACAAAAACGACAAAAAAGTACGAGATTTCTCCGCAAAGTCGCCGCCACAAGGGCAAAATCGTCAATTCACACTAAAACGAAAGAAGAGAGAGTCCCTTTGTGTACCTTTTCACTCCCTAACAAATCGGCCAATGGTCACGTGATCCCAATGATAACAAGAAACCTCTCTCCTCTCTCGTCTTCCTCTCGCAGTCCTTTTCAGTCATGGCCATAACCGTATACGACGCCTGCACGGCGAGGAAAAAATCCCCCAAATTCCTCATTATTAACGACTTTGCCATCCCTTCTTCCCCCTTCGTAAACCTCTCCGCGACTTTCCGCGACAACATCAGATCGTTTCTCCGCGAATACGCCGAGAAGGAAGATTACACCGTCGACGGCAACACCGTCTCCTGTATTTTCCTTGCCAGCGAAGCAACCGGCGTCGTTTTCCCTCTTTTCACCGTCGAAGAACAAATCTCCGACGGTTCCTCTCCCAATCCTCTCTGCGATTTCTGTAGATGCGTCGGTAATTAACTTTTATATATCCATCCACCTTCATCGTTTGATTTTCGATTTCGATTTTGTTTTCTGATTCCCCCGATCCATATCGTTTATTAGGTTTTCCTCATTCAAACAGATTTCGTGATGTTTCTGATCGTTTTTAGGGTTTTTTATTCTTGATTCGTAACAGGTTGGGGTCATCATTATGTATCAAGGAGAAAATATCATTTGATAATCCCGACGAGTGACGAATGGAAGAAGCCATTGACGAAACGTAGCTTAAAGGTTACTTCTCATTTGATGCATGGTGTGATTCACTGCAATGGCTTTGGTCACTTGATCTCCATCAACGGTGGTGACGGATCTGATAATAATCTCTCCGGCGGCCAAATCATGAACCTTTGGGACCGTCTTTGCTCAACTCTTCACACAAGGTAATTATTCTCTATTCACTGATCAAGCTTGATGTTTTACAAGAATCTGATTATACACTAATGGAAGTGAAGCATTCTTTGCTAATTATAGGATACATACTGACGCGCATTTAATGTTAATTAGGAGTTCCACATCCAAAATTAAGCTATAGGGCTAATAAATTTTCTGCCGATCATAAGAGAGATTTTGTGGCATTGATGTTCGAAATTCCACGTCAATAGTAAGTTAGGAAGAATAAATTTTGCTAATAATAGAAGAGATTGTGGCGTTTATGTTAAATTTTGCTAGTTATGAAGTTGTTAATCAATGATTTTTGTCTTTGTAATGGCTTCAGGAAGATTTCATTGGATGATATATCGAGGAAGGGGTCGATGGATCTGAGGCTGCTTCATGGTGTTGCATATGGTCGACCATGGTTTGGGAAATGGGGTTATAGCTTCTCTCATGGAAGCTTTGGGGTCAGAGAAGAACGGTATAGTCGAGCTATTAACATTCTTAGATCTATAGAAGTTGACCAGATAATGGATGATTTCTCTGGAACAAGAAAAGAGAGAGCGATGAAGATGATGATCGGTTTCTACAGAGAAGCCAGCGAAACTCCATTGACCACACTCTCTGATCTGCTTCGGTTCATGCTCGCTTACAGTTCCAAAACCCCCGTTGAGAGAAAGACTGCAATGGCACTAGTAGCAATGTCTTTAGATACTGTTCCAATGAATCCAGCATTTGGAGATGATGATGAAGTCACCGAGGATGGCTCCTTTTGCTCATCTCCTGATCAGGAATCGTATCACAACGGGAATGAATCTGTCAGAGACACAACTGTCGTAATTGATGATGATACTAATACATTGGGTGACGTGAAACCACCTGTGTATCCCTCGTTTGATGCTTTGGCCAAGGGAGAACAATCGAGATACCCTGTGAGGAGGTTGAAAGACGCAGCACAAGCGGTTGTCAAAGTGATTGGAGATCGAAACAGCATCATCACTCGCCAAGAGCTTCGCGAGGCTGTTAGGAACAGCATTGGTGATACAGGGTTGATTGATTTCTTGCTCAAACACATTGACAAAGTCCTTATAGGAGACACAATAGTTCAGAGGTTCACAAACCCTGAATCACGTACGTTACAGTTCTCCCTCCGGAAAGTCGTTTCGCGTCCTCTAGATCAAGTACCGAAAAGGAGAAAGAAAACGAAACCACGAGAGACCAGTGAACGGAGATCTACCACTCCTGGACTGGATCCTTATGATGACATTTTATATCTTTATCAGAATCTCTTGTTAAGTTATGCTGATTCGGACATATACAGTGATTTCTCTGAGGATATCTTGAACTGCAAGAGCTTTGTGAAAGAATGGCCCTTACCGTCTTACCAGGATCAGAACAGATTAACAGTAAGCTGCCAAGTTCTGCCCAATCATCAAGAACTACTCGAAGACTTCACCCGGAAACTACCGCCTGGAGAAGTCGTGATGGTTCCGAAAAACTCAACCATCAGAGAACTGAAATCTGCAGCGGAGAAAGCTCTGAGGGACACTTACTGCATAATGGAGAGTTTTGAAGCGTTGGAGATCAAAAACAATGATCTTGAGAAGATAGATGAGACGGTTGGTCTAAAATCGAAAGGTAATGAGTTTGAGTTCCTGGTGACAGGGTTTGGACTGGACACAGTGACAGCGTTAAGGTATGAAGCGGGTTTTGATGACTGGACCGTTGACTGCAAATGCGGAGCTAGAGACGATGACGGTGAGAGAATGGTGGCTTGTGATGATTGCAAGGTTTGGCACCACACAAAGTGCAATTCCATAGAAGACGATGAAGCTGTTCCTTCGGTGTTTCTCTGTGACAGGTGTTTTGGAGTTCGCTTGAGATCCAAGAAACGCTGTGTCGCCATTCGCTAGACCTAACTTGCGCAACAAGTCAGATGGAGCTCCTTTTTTTTCTTTCACTTATTGTAAACTTACCCTCTCGAGGTCTCGACCGTACATTTTAATGGAAGCTTTTAAACCATTGATTATTTTAGCCATAAATTGATATTTACTTTTTATAATTGATATTTACCTTTTATGTATCGTATGTATATATATCTAGGATACATATATTTATTATCTCCAAGATGGTTATTAATTTTTCCAACACTGGATTGAAAAATAGTAATCGTTGCTTAATTTAAAATGTACTTCAGCGTTTCTGCATTTTGTTTTCTTACCATTTTGCGTATTACGAGTTCAATACAAACCGAATAATAAGTTGTTATATTGTTTAACTTGGATGTCCTAAACTAAATATAAGCATTAGGATCAATATTATCAATTACAGAATATTTTGATTTTTACAAAATGTTTAACTATTAAGTTTATGTATTTACAAAATGAATGAGAGAGAGATGAATACATTTTTTGTTGATGGAGGGAGAGAGAGAGAGATGAATACATGACATGTGGAACATGCATAACATTGAGATTAAAAAGCACATGCATTATTCTCTATTGCTCCAATCTCTCGACTCCTTCAGTTAAATCTGTCATATCCAATTGGCTCATAACATTCCTCTTTTCATCTAATACTTTTTGTCTGCCATAATCATACCCAATTAATAGTTTTTTGTATTACTTTCCAATAAATAGTTTTTTGTATTACTTTCTATATTGATTTTAAAAAATTTCTAAAGTGGATTTTGCTGCCAAAACATTATGACCATCATTTTTCTTTTTTTGTATCATTGATTAGTTGTTTTTAAATATAAATCTATAACTGTGATCCAGCCATAAGACGAGGATGCTATATGATTAAAGATTTTCTATTTTAATATTGTATTGAGTTGGTTTTAAAAGACAGTCTTGTTTTTTGTTTTATTATTTTATTTTGTCCGAGACAAATATCACGACAAAGGTCTCTGGCCCAATACGCACCATGTTGACTAGTGAGGCCCAGGTGGTCAATATTTTTGTTTCTTTAATTGTTTTCTAAATGATTTTTATCAAGTTTTTTTTCTAAATGACTAATTATTTTTGATTAATTAATTATCAAATATTACAAATACATCGCGAATATTTTATGCTAACTTCATTCTTCTTTGTTTTATCAATCGGTGCTTCTTCTCTCTTGAAAGTTTATGAATGCTTAACATTAGCATATTAAAATATATTATCATAGTAAAGAGAAAAAATGATAAATTGATAATGATGGGTAATACTATTTTTTAATTAAAATAAAAAGCTGTCTGATATATAATAAATATATAAAACAAGCTGCCGTAGACCATTATCATGATCATTTTGCTAAAGTTTGATTTACAATCAGTTGAAGATAAAATTTATAAAAATGCTTCAAAAACATTTTAGTTAAATTAACCTTATGAAAATTACCCTGATTTCTCTCTTTTGTGGGTACTTTATGATTTTAAACTTGATATTGGATGTCGACAAGTAATATTTTGTTTGCTACTAAACTTTTACAAATACAATGCATGTTATTATATATCAAACACTAAAAAACCATACTGTATATCCATATTATAACATTATAAAAAAATCGCAAAATCAAATATGATTAAATCTTTATAATAACTTTACCATTTCAATTTCAGTCTTTACAATTTCGTATAAAACTATGATTAAGAGTCTAAAAACGAATGTTGTATCATCCATCACCAGAACCTGTACCTATCAGTTTTTTTTTTCCTAAAAAGTATGAAGAATATATTATTTATATTCACATTTCTTATATGTGGGTTCCAGTGAATCAACACAATCTCATGAACACCAAAACTTTGAAAACTTTTTGGGCCCATATCTTTCTTTTCTCCATGATGAATAATAAATAAATCACTCATACACCATTACACAAAACACACGAGTATATCACTATTTCTCTTTCTTTTCTTTTTTTTTGTCTCACAACAATACTATCTTCAGGAGTGAATAATTTTTTAAAAAACATAATATTGATACTCAATATGATATCCTTTCCAAAAAAGAAAATAAATTACTGTATGGTTTTGATACAAAATCGAAAAAAGTATTAAAATTCAATAAAGAGGAGATCTTCGAGAAATTCCCTTTCTCTTGAGTATTCTCATGAGTGGTCTCAATGAGAAATTACTCAACAAAATTTCTGAGTCTTCTGAAACATCGGTGAGTGAAGATGTGCACGATTTTTTCTCTTCTAAGCTTCCTTCTTGATGAGAGTGCACTTTCTCCACAACACTTTGTTCCAATTTTGGAGAAAAACAAAATTTAGGTTTTTTCGAAGGAGTTGATATCTACAAAACAAAATAAAAACAAAAATTAAACAAGTGTACTGTACTCCATTTTTTTAAGCATACGATAAATTCAAATATAAACTACTGTATTCGACTTCAAAAAACGGTATACTGTACATTGCAAATTTCTTAAGCAAAAAAGCATATTGCAAATTTCACTTTTTAAAAATGCATTTATGAAATGCATACAAATATAATAAATAATTTGTAATTTAACGGTTTAACAAAAAAATATACTCTTATGTTAATGTCGAGTACGTGTCAAAATTTTATACATACAGCTAAATTGATGTACAAAACTTTTGTGTTCTTTCCAAACAAAATATATGAGTTTAAAACTGAAATTCGCATGGTGTTGACAAAAACACTACTTTAAAGAAACTATATGAACATTAAACGAAAACAAACGACTGTGTTTGAGACTTTGAGTGTGAACACTACAACGTACTGTTGAATCAAAAACGTATGCCTCATTTATGTACTAAAGACTAACTTTTTTTAGTGTTTTTAAATTATTCATAAAACATTTTTTTTACCTTTGATAACTACTAATATATAAAAAGGTAAAAAAAAATGCATAACTAACAATAGAGTAATCAAAACATGAATCATATGGATAAAAAAACCTCAAACAATATTGAAATTGAAATTGAAATATCAAAATTTACCTTGCAAGAGATAGAGCAAAATCGATTAGGGTGATCCTGAATATATCTTTTGCAAGTCACACATGAAGCTCCATTCTTGGATTTTGTTGAAGGTCTTGCATCTTTTGCCTGTGGCCTTGAATTCAAATGTATAGCCTTCTCTCCATTTATTTTATATGTCTTTTTCCACAAATTATAATTATTGCCAACCAGTACCAAAAAGCAAAAAAAAAAAAGAAAAGAAAATGATATCAAGTTATTTTTGGATTTATACAGTGTAAAAATCCGATCAAAACAGACACCGCAACAGAAACTAAAAAACCCAGTTCGTATCAAATAAAATTTCAGTAATATTATAATGATTTAAGATATTCAAAACAAAATAAAATAAAAACCTGAATCTCGGAGCAATCGAAGTAGTGTTGAATATCGAGAAGACGAAGAACATCTTGATAAACATATTTGCAGATCTGAAGACGACGATGGAGAAAATGAGCTTCTGTGTTACAACAATGTCTGCAGATTTCGAGATTACAGTCAATGCAAAAGACATTCTTCTCGTTCTTTCGAAGATACTTATGATCCATACATATCCCAAAGAACTCTAAACTCAATAGTGTCTCAATCCAATCTTCATCAACTCTTCTCTTCTCACTCTGCAAATAATATTTTAAAATTTACAACTTTTCTTGTAAAATCTGAAGAAAATAGGAATATTTATTGAGATTTATTATGAATTTCGATATGGCTGTATGAAGAACATTTAGAATTTGAATCGATTTTTCTTTAATATGAAATCTGTAGAAATTTTGAAACTTGGATTAGAGGGTTTAAGTATGCAACAATAAACAAAACAATTTTTCTATTTTTTTAAGATGGATTCTGCAGAAATTTTAAAAATTACTGAAATTTTTAATGAAAAAACTACAAATTATATTGAAGGGATTCGTTTTTTAAAAAACACAAATTATATTGTTGTAAAGGATAAATTCTGCATAATTTTTTTCTTGTTGAAACTAAAAAACTTGAATTAAAGGGAATTGCTTGCAACATAATAATTTTTAAAATGCTCAAAAAAAAAATTGTGATTCATGATGAATTGATATACAAATTTTAAACAGGGGGATGCATATGAAATTGATCGAAACAACAAATATATATATAGAGGGCGTGTTACCAGATTCATTTGGGTATGAGAAACTGAGTTCCTTTAACCAACCAGTTGAGCAGATTTTTCTATTTCTTCGATCAGAATCATCTAAGTACTTTTTCTTTTTCGATAAAGATCTAATTTTTTTTTTTATTATCTAAGTGTGAAGAAATAATTTAGGGTTCTTGGGGAAGGAGATGGAGAAGAGAAGGCGAAAAGCAAAAAGAAGTAGAAAGAAAAGATTGTAGTGTGAATATATAGGAGATGGCAAAGGAAATATAAATAAACAAAAAAGTGATATTAGGAATGTTTCAATTAATTTGTATATTGTGTGCTGTGAGAAATTATAAAATAAATAAGGAAAATAAATAAACACTTTTTTTATAATTCAATAAAATAAGGGAAAAATCAAAAGTCCACAGAGTCAACAATAACTGTGGCTCTTTTATACCTAAAATGGATGGCAGTCGGGAATGTGAAAGATGTGTAACTTTTAACTTTTAACCTTCCAAATTATCATTTTTTTCGAATAGGTAGTCTACATGTTTTAAATCTTTAAATCTAATGAAATCCACTAATGAGGTCATTAATTTGCAAATTGTAGTAGTAATCTAAATGAGTGGACATTATTTGACTTTGAGGGCTAAAAAGGCAGTCTTTATAATTTAGATGGTGCGATAAAGGTAAGCAAAGCTTCCTATATTTACTCCGAAATTTCCAAGGAAACCAGCTTATTAAATTTAGAATTATATCATCTTGTACATAACTACGTATACATATATAGGAATATTAGATGTCGAAGATAAACCGTTCGCATTGCACATAATATATTATAAAAAATCTGTAGTATAATTAGCAACATGAATCAACAGGTTGACAACCTAAAAAAAAAAAATCAAACCAACTAGTAAGAGATGAAACAAAAAAAACGTTTGGTTAGAAAAAATAAGATGTTGTATTTTATCATAGCCAATTTCAAATTCAGCATGTAACCTTAAAGGGAAAATGGTTAAACCTAAATAATGAAAACTGAAAAAAAAAAGGTATTGGAAACTACTGATAGTTATACGTATAAATAAAAACCAAGAAATACAGAAATTACTGTAACTTTAGGCGGCCCCAAAAAAAAATTCAATATTCAGGAGATACATGCAGTTACATATGAACTTATACAAAAGTTGAAAATGTAGAGTTATGGAATTTAATTTCTTCTAACGTTTTTCTGTTGTAGAGCAAAAAGATCAAAAAATATTATATTAAAAAAACAATTATAGTAAAATTTGCGGCCATATATGAATTTATAACTAAAAAATCAACACTGTTGAGTTGTGCAAATTAATATCTCGAACCAAACAACTGGATGAAACTCGTTGAGTTTTCTTGTTTTTTCTTATTTATTAATTGTTGCTGTTTCTTTTTGTTGTAAAGCAAAAAAAAAAATTTGTATATGATATAAATTCTAAATAGTAAAATCTACAGCCACATGTGAACTTATAAATAAAAATATTGAGTTGTAGGTTTTAATTCCTAAAATTAAACAATCCGTGAGTTTAGTTGAATTTAAAAAAAATATTTATTTATTATTTATTATCATTTTTTGGTAAAAAATATGTATATTAAAAAAATCGATAATAGTAAAAAATTTACATTTACGAATGATCTTATAATAAAACATCAAATTATAAAATTTAATCTGTCAAACCAAATAATTATGGTAAAACTGGTTAACTTTTTCTTGTTTACTTATTAAAAAAGTGCACTACAAATTCGATAGAAATCAGATATAACTCTCTTCTTAAGATTAACAATTGGAAAAGAAATTATAATGTATACATAAAAAAAAATCCATATTTAAGAGACATATGCATGTATAAACTTCTATAAAAATTAAAAATATGAAATTATAGAATTTAACCTCACCAAGAGAACTCGGTGTTCAATTTTTTGTTTATTCATTTCTACTGCTTTTTTTTGTTGAAGAGTTGAAATAAAGGAATTTTTTTTTGTATAATTGATTATAGTAAAATCTACACTCAAGTATGAACTTACAAAATAATTGAGCTGTGGGATATCTCTTGAACTAAAAAAAATTGTGCAAATCTGATTGAATTTTTCCTGTTCTTATCTATACATTTTTTTATTATCATGATTGGTAAGTGGATATAACAAAATATTGAGTTTGAATAACAGAATAGTTGAATAATAAATTAATAAATTAATAGAATTGATAAACTGAATAACTAAAAATATTAAAAAAAACTAGTATCTATTAGATATATAGATTTTTTTTATAAATTAGTTATAAATTTAAAATGTGGTAATAAATTGAAAAATAGCATATTAGTTTTTATTTGTTATTTTTAAGTGCTTATTATTGTAAATGCTATATATTTAATGGAATTATATTTTCAAAACGTAAAAAAAGGTACACTGCTCGAAAATAATCTTAATATGCATACAAAAAAAAATATAGATATTTTAAATGTTTTAAGAATTTCTTAGACGAACAAAAAATATCGAAAATATATACTCAGGTGTCTAATTATTGGGCCTTTATACTTGCGAGAACAGTCCCTCTTCGGGTACTAAATGGGTCTTCTTTTGAAATGGATCGCATATTGAGATTATGACTTATGAGGCCCGAACTATTTGCCTCTCTCGTCGAACAAAAACACACATGAATTATCAAAATTTAAATTCTTGAAGTTATAAAACACAGAAAATCAACTTTATGATCGAATGACATTCCCTTAGATTATAAGTTGTGTTTCTATTAGACTACTCGTGGGTTGTTTGAATATATATGGATGTTTCCGTTATAATTTTTTTTTTGGTGATAGTCACAACTCACAAGCAATATATAATGATATCATATCTGGTTAACAATATATTTTTATATAAATAACATCATGAACAAAAACAATCATATTTTTGCCTCCTTTTGAATTTTAATCGTTTTACACAACTTTGTTCGGTAAATGTGACCAGTCAGAAACCGTATTCAAATAGAATTTTAGAGATCATATTCTCATCTCTGAGTTTCGATACGACCAACGTTGATGGTAAGAACCAAACTCTTAAGAAAATCAAAGTGCTAATTCTCTGGCTTGAAAGTTGAAACCAAAACGTGCACAAATGCAATATTTGATAAAGGACTGACAAAAGGAAACAATAGACGAAAACCATATGGACTATGCATACAACAAACCCACACATAGGTGCATTATACGCACCAACCATATTTTACGACGTATATTTATCTCATACGAAAGGTAAATCCAAAACATTTATCCCAAAATAGCAAGATTACGTGTGAGCAACTAGTCCACAATGTTTTCGGTGACGCATTAACCATAGTTATTTAAAAGTTTGTAATTTAAATTTTTAGAAGATGGGTTTACGATTTTGAGTTTAGAGTTAACTATGATTTAGCTCTAGGCTTTACGGTTTAGCTTTGGCCAATTTTATTAGTCTTTTTGGTAGTATAAAATATGGATATTAAAATGAAAAATTCCCCATATTTTTATTGTCACCATCATATAAGTAATTTATCAGAAACTACACGAAATTATTGTTTAAAAAGCTAACCATATGTAATGTGTATGTATGTCTTTAACAACCAACGGCTAACCAAAACTGGTTTCGGTACAACTGGACTCCGATGCGATTAATATCAACACTGAACCGTCAAACGTCGTCGGTTAAACAACATACTGGTCAAAACCGAACTCACAAATGTATTTCTGGATTCGTAAAACCTATATGTACACGACCCACATTGCATATTTGTCCCCATCAGCCCCACTCCACCGTCATATCTCCGTCGTTTCCCGGAAAAAATCTCGCCGGAAGAGATTTCTCCGGCAGGATGATAAAAAATGAAAAAGGTTCTTACTCTTCCTTTCTTGTTCAACTTATGATCATGAATCTGAGATTGGGTTAGCTTTGAATGATTTGGCTACTGATTTGTAGAGATTCTCTTCTTCAAATGGTTTAGAGACGTAACCATCCATTCCACTTTTCAGACACTCCTCGTACGTCGCGTGGATCACATCGGCCGTCATGGCTAATATCGGTAAATGCCACTCGAGCTTCGTCTTCTCTTTAGCTTCCTTCTCCATCATCCTTATCTGCCGAGTCGCTTCAAATCTGAGTAAAACCAAAACAAAATCAATAAGGGTTTTTTAACTGAACCGAGATTTAACCAATTCGGTTTGGCTTTACCCGTCCATGAGTGGCATTTGAATATCCATGAAGCAAGCATCGAAACTGTGAGGAATCTGAAGCAGACCCAAAGCAACTTGGCCACTCTCTGCACAAACCACTTCCGCTCCAAATTTCTTGAGAGCTCCTGCAGCTACTCTCCGGTTAACTATATTATCATCGACCACGAGAATCTTCTTCCCCGTAAGCAAGCTCTTGAGCGTTTCCGGAGATGATCCCTCGGGGTGTTGCTGTCTCGTCTTCCTCAGCTCGAGAACTTGCTGCAAACAAGCACCGATCATGCTTGCTCTCAACGGTTTCATTATCACCGTATCCGCAAACCCGGCGGATTTCGCTCTGTCGAATTCTTGCTTCGTGATGTTCGTCGCGAAAAGCGCCAGCTTCGGTGACTTGCGATGAACAACGTTCCCGTTGGTTCTTGAACTCAACAGACGTATCTCTGAGTCGTTATCTTCCGATGAAATCCACGAATCTTTCTCTACCAAGATCATATCCAGCTGCTGTTTCGTTGTCCTGCAAAAGAAAAGACTGAAGCTTTCGATTAAACTAACACAAACACGAAAGAAAAAGATTGAAAGCTTTCGATGTTTTCTTTACCCTGACGTGAGAGGAGGAGAACCGTTTCTAGCAAACGCAGTAGCCGCAGAAACCGCGGTTTTGAGGCTAGTCACGACATCGACACTGATTCCGAGTCTTTTCATATGGTATCTAGTCACAGCGGCTCTAACGGGCTTAGCATCAACAACGATAGCTCTCATCCCTCTGAAAGTAGAAGGCAGATTCTCCACATTAGGCTTCTTCAGATGGCTAACCGCGCTGCACTTATCGCACTTTTCGAAAACCGCGGTGAACCAGAACGTGCTTCCGATGTGAGGCCTGCTTATGAAACTTATCTGGCCGCGCATAAGCTCGACGAGACACTTGCTTATGCTCAAACCAATCCCTGTGCCTCCATAGGTTCTTGAAGTCGAGCTATCCGCTTGCATGAACGGCATAAAAACTCGGCCTTGCGCGGCTAAAGGGATCCCTATACCAGTGTCTTCAATCGAAACCATGAGCCTGACGTTACTTGAGATGTCGAATTCCGACAAGAGCTCCTCGTCGGAGACCAGATGCTTGAATGAATCCCAGCTGTTCCGGCCATCGGCGGCTTCGTAGCCGCTCAACGTGTTGTAACTCGACGGTTTCGAAACAACAATCATCTCTTCAGAAACTCCTCCGTTCAGTGAGGTTTTTGGTTCAGCTCCATCTTTTGATTGTTCAGCGAGATGGACTTTGACAAAGATGTGTCCTTTCTCTGTGAACTATCCAAAAAAGACAACATCTTCTTGATCAAACAAAAATCCGGGGGAAACTAAAAACGCGGGAAGAAAAAAGGAACTTACTTTAACTGAATTTCCGACGAGGTTTATGATGATCTGTCTGAATCTCCCTGAATCTCCTTTGACTATCTCCGGTACTTTGTCTGAAACAAAAACCGCAAGCTGCCAAATATTCGGAATTCAAGAAGTCAGTAGCAAACAACAACACCGAAAGGACTTATCTTTATTCCTCTGGATGGAACACTCTCTTACCTCAATGCCTTTGTTTCTTGACTCCTCAGAGAACAGAGAAAGGACATCATCTAGTATCGAGCGGATATCGAAAGGTACAGATTCCAATTCCAGCTTTCCAGCTTCGATCTTGGCACGATCAAGAACCTCGTTTATCAATGCAATCAATGCTTTTCCACAGACTTGTGCGGTTTGAGCGTAATCTCTCTGCGTTGAGCTAAGTTCTGTATCAAGAAGCATTGCAAGCATTCCTACGGAAAAACAAAAAAAGCAAAAAAACTTTGAGAAAACCAAAGATCCAAGAGCTAAAGTTACTGTAATTTGTTTTGAAGATATGATAATACCGAGAATGCCATTCATGGGTGTTCTGATCTCATGAGACACGGTGGCAAGAAACTGTGATTTAGCGACATCAGCAGCTTCTGCTCGGACTTTAAGCTCTTGCATTTCATGGAAATCATCTTCGACTTTCACAATGTGCACAGCCGCACCGTACAGTATATAACCAACCAAGAATCCAATCGCAAAGAACAATGGCACTGTCGTGAGCACATTCAACGGTATCGGCGCCTTTTGGTGGTACCTGCATTCGAAAACGTTCAGTTAAAAAAAACTACAATTTTGCATCTTGTAAAAGTAGTTTTATAGCTTAGAGATCTTTGTATGTGTGGTTTACCTGCAAATCATCTTATGTTTCCTGAAAGGGTCACCGAAATCGAGTTTGCTTTCGTGAGAGAGAGATGTGTCGCCTTCTTCGTCTTGATTGCCATACATTACCAGTGGATCTGATGCATTGGTGATATCATAAACGTGCACTACTATTGCTTGGTTACCAGCAAGCTGACCGAGTAAATTCTCAACAAGAGACTCCACATCAAACGCACCACCAAGATACCTGCAATTTCAAATCCAAGAATCAATCTTTTTTACTTGATCACACGCATAAAACCAATCCTGAAAAACTCGGAAAGCTCTGTTCTTTACATGATGTCACAAATCTTGGAATCTCAAAGGCATTTACTTTACTAAATAGGGATTTGAGGACTTTTACCCTGCAGTGGCTGCAATACGCTCTTGAACAGTCGGGTTTTCAGGCAGAGGAGATTTGTAGACAGGGAAAGTCAACACAACTCCGAGATGGTGAGAAGCCAACAACCTGAAAGGGCTTGTCAAGACAGCTTTTCCGGTTTCTCTTGCCCGCAGAATGTTCTCGCGATCCTCCTGCAAAAGGAGCAAACTTTCAGAAGCTCTGCTACGGAACCAGAAGTGTCGGATAATGTAAGATGATTACCTCGCCGGACATCATATCGAGTGACTCAAGGTAAGAGACACTATCTTGAGAGAATATGACAGGAGCATACTCGTCCCTGACTGGTGAAGGCTCTCTGTCCATTGTCTTTATAACCCATTTGTGTTGACGCTCGAACATCTCCCTCTCATTATTCACAACTTTTTCTGCGTAAGCCACTCCACTTAGCAACGGTCTCTCAAATGCTGTTCTTGCTGTGTATTCTGCAAATGTCTCCTGTAAAATTTCGCCAACAAAAACAAAAGAGTAAAGATTTAAAATTTTGTTATCTTCTAGTAGCTTGAATCCCTAATCAAAGCTTAAGAGACAGAGTTCCCCTTCATTTACTCTATAACCAAACATAAACAGGAATTTTTGGTTCCCCAAAAAAGTCAATTTTTCCAATTATGAATCTAAGCAACTCGAAAGATGACCAAATCTCAAAGCTTTATAAACTTCAATAAGCCACACACTGACCTGATCGATTGCAGATGGGTTCTTGTGGTAATGAAAAGTGGAGACAAGAATTGCCAAAGCATGAACATGGTTAACGCTAACACTAAACTGATCCTGCAACATTCTGGCTCTCTGATCACACATGCTCACCAGAACCTCCTCTCTTCTAATCTTGTGAGTATCATCCATCCACTGGTAAATCCCTCTGCTTATAAACCCAACAATGATGATCCACAGAATCAGAGCTTTTGGTAACAATGCTCGATGTTCTTGTATGAAAGTTGACCCCTTTTTATTACCCATTTGATCGTTGTTATTGTTCATCTTCACCGCAACTGAATGCTGAAGCTGCTGTTGCTGCTGCATCTTCACGAAACCCATCAACCCAGAACGCCAAAAATCGATTTTCCTGGGCTTTTCCGTCGAGTTCAGAGCACCCAGCTGATAAAAATCGCTGCTTTTCACTGTAGAATCAGATGTTTCGGTTCTTGGTGGCTCCCTTTCTTCTGGGTTTTCTAATTCTTGAAGATGATGATGATGATTGTTGAGTGCCCAGTTCATATCTGAGCTACAAGCAATGGAGAAAAAAACGAATGTTAGTGTGCCTTGTGCATTCGTATGTACATATAAGCATGCGTAGTGATATATGATTACAAATTTACCATAGACATTGTTTTGCGTGATTTTCAATAGATTTAAGAAAAGCAAAAACCCTAGAAACCTGTACACCCAAAAAGACAGGGGTTTCTGCAAATTCAAGAATCCAGAGAAGGAAGATAAAAAAAAAAAAAAATTTCTCAACGCATGGTTCTCAAAAGAAGGAACTTTGCTCAGTTTCCGAAGGTTTCTTTCTACAAAGAAGAATTAACAATTGTTTAGTTTGTTCACTAATTATTGTCAGAGAAATTATTAAACAACACACTAATCATAAGCTCTTTACAGGCGTGAATGTTATTGTTGTTTCTTCTCGGAATAAGAACACAGCTATGTTCACTGTCTCAAATTTATAAGTTTAAAATTAGTTTCAAGACAAGCTTTGACTAAAGAAAGAAAGAACACAGAGAACACACAACAGCAGAAGAACAACGAAGCACAAAAAAATACAAATAAAAAATAAAGCCGAAATTTTCGAGAATCGCACATGGAGAGAAAGTTGCTGAAACTTTATTAAAAAACCAATTTGATTTCATTACCTGTAATGAGTTGTGAAAGGATTGAACATTGCATTATTATTAAACGCTAAGTCTCTTCTCATTACTCAACAGATTCCAATGTCTTCCATTTCGAGCTCTCTTCTGTTCTTCTTTCCTCTTTCTTCTTGTTTTTTTTTTGTTTATAGTTTCTTTTGTAAAATGTAATGAGATTTATTGCTTTTAAAAGTAAAATATTGAATCGATTTTTTTGGATTTTCCCCAGATACGTTTCTCTCTCTCCGTCTATATCGGTTTTGCTCTGAGCTTCTTTTTCATTTTTTTACTCATTTTTTTATCTCTCTGTAGCTCCTTTGTGTCTTCTCTCTCTAACTTGAGTCCAACTTTGAAGAAGAAAAGTTTTGGACTTTTTCTTCATGGCTCATGATATGATCCATCCAACAAAAGTAATTATCGGAAATGGAAATAACTATTGCGACACTGATGAGGTTTTGTCTTACTAATTAAACAGTCTCAAACAAAGAAATTCACTGTCTTTGCCAAATTAATTACTTTTATAATACTTTTAGTCACGTATATAGAAAAAATGAAAAAGAAGTGTTTATTATTGGGAAAATTAATAGATACTGCTGATCACTTTTAATTATTTTGTTCTTGTTATAACTTTGTTAAGTTTGTCAATGGATCTTACTCACTAGATAAGACGTAAAAGCTTTTATAGTGTGTCTCAAATTTTTGAAAATTAAGTAATAGTTGCTGCCTTATAATTTTCTCTCACAAACCAATTTGTCTATAAAAGAAAATAGAAGGGTCTTTTCCTATCTGCAAATAGAAGTTATGGTAAAAAACAATAGAAAAAAATTGGTGAGGGAGAGAGAGAGAGACTTTGTACGAAAGTCGCTATCGCATATCTTGGCGATAATGACATCGCGACAAAGCGCAGATCTGGCCCCAGAGAGGCATTTTACCTGAAATACCACCATTGAAGCCACGTAATTACGATACTGCAACCAGTCAAGTCTTTCATTTTACGGGCCCGAGTCTTTAGCCCATTATAGATCGACGTGTAATCTTTAACCAATGCATTTACATGCAAAAGTTGGTATTGTAGAAAGAGAGAATTGCTGAATATGACTAGATTCTCTATTGCATGTTTGACAAAAATAATTCATAAGAGTAGTGAAATTATAACTTTAACTCTTATGACCAAATAAAAAAATGTCAACCTTAATTATTATTTTATCCCAGAGAAGTCTACTCTTTAATAATATGTTTACAATTAATTTTAAAAATCATAAAAGATAATTTGATAAAAAAAATTAGATACATAACAACAAATATATACTTTTTTACACCTATTAAAAATAAAATTTGACAGAAAATAATTAATTTAAATCATCATAGATAAATTATGATAAAAATCAATACTAAGAAACTTCTCGAGTAGACTTCTCGGTTTCTCGAGTAGACTTCTCGAGTAGACTTCTCGGTTTCTGGAGAAGTCTACTTACACGAATTTTTTTTCTACATATATAAGGAGAGTTTAACCTAATTGTATTAACAATAAAGTATCTCTCTATCTAAAAAACCGCCTCTCTCTCTTCTCCCTTCTCTCTGGTCATGAATTTCTTCTCATTCCTCTCTTGCTATCAATATCCTCTCTATCTTGCATTCAACCTCCTCTCACTTGCAGGTTATGGTAGTGGTAAGCAAATCTGAGCTTTTGTGTTCCTCTTTTTGTTTGCTTTGTGTTCATATTGCAAATCTGAGCTTATTATTATAGATTTGAGCTTATTATTGTAGATTTAAGTTTATTTTTGTAGATATGAGTTTATTGTTATATAAATTTTGTAGATTTTGTTAATTTTTGTTATTATTGCAAAGCTGAATTTTGTTGATTTTTGTACATATCTGAATATTATAAATATAGTAGATTATTATTATAGATCCAAGCTTATTAGTTTAGATTTGAGCTTATTGTTGTAGATCTAAGTTTATATTTGTAGATCTGAGTTTATTGTTGTATAAATTTATTAGATTTTGTTCTAGATCTAAATTTTTCGTTATTGTTACAGAGCTGAATTTTGTTGATTTTTTCTGCAGATCTGAATGTAGACTTTTCGAGTAGACTTCTCGATCTCGAGCAGACTTCTCGAGTAGACTTCTCGAGTAGACTTCTCGATCTTGAGCAGACTTCTCAAGCAGACTTCAGTTGCATACATAATTTTCAGAGATTTTAGTTTACTAGTAATTTCTTATGCCAGTTTTAAGATTTATAACTAGTGATCCTTAAATGTTTGTTTGTTTAGAGGGTTATTTTCTATGTAATGTTGAATTACATTGAATGTTTTGTATCAAATTCCTAAATTATCTATGTTTATCTATTCTACAAAATAGACTTCTCCTGTCTCGAGTAGACTTCTTAAAGACATTAACTTTACATAACTTATAAGTGATTCAGAGAGACATTTCTCCCATTTATATCATATAACTTGTCAACCGAGTAGACTTCTCTTGTCTCGAGTAGACTTCTCCTGTCTCGAGTAGACTTCTCATGTCTCGAGTAGACTTCTAAAAGACATTAATTTTACATAACTTAAAAGTGATTCAGAGGGACATTTCTCTCATTTATATCATATAACTTGTCAACCGAGTAGACTTCTTTTGTCTCGAGTAGACTTCTCATTGTCTCGAGTAGACTTCTTAAAAACATTAATTTTATATAACTTAAAGGTGACAACATTCGCCCTCCTTTGCTATTCGCCCTCCTTTGCCAACATTCACCAAGAAGCTCACCATGTGTGCAACCATCTCTTAAGAACAACATTTGCCCTCCTTTGCTATTATCCACCTCGAACTGCCACACTAATTCACTCTTAACCCATTCTCCATAAACAGCGGGTATGTGAGCCATTCTCTGTGAAAAAGAACAAAATCCAAACCACATTAGACATCAAAATTGCATAAGTAGACTTCTCTGAAAGTCGGATGAAGTCTACATAGTAGACTTCTAGAGTAGACTAAGAAGTCTACTTTTAATAAGCTAAGTATCATATAAAATATGAAAACTCATTCGACTATACCTATAAAATATAAACATGCAAAACTTATACATAAGCAAGAAAACTTAATAACTGAAGCTTAGGATCGCGAAAATCTTAAAAATTCGTTATATATTGTATAAAAATGATTTTTTTTTAAAACAAGAAAAGTAGACTTCTCGGATAAAAGTAGACTTCTCGGAGGTTAGTTTTGCAATTGCCAAAATATTAGTAGACTTCTCTATGAAAAGTAGACTTCTCCGAGAAGTCTACTTACGAAAGTAGACTTCTCGCAGAAGTCTACTCTGAAAAGTAGACTTCTCCGAGAAGTCTACTTACGAAAGTAGACTTTTCGCAGAAGTCTACTTTGCATAGAGAAGTATACTCTACAAAGTCAAAGGTTGGTCAATTGCAAAAATGACCTGCTTCTAAAGAAGTCTACTCGAGAAGTCTACTCTATTTTTTTGTTATCAAAGGAAATGGAGTAGACTTCATTCGGACCAAAAGAAGTCTACTTTTTCATGCAGTCAATTGCAAAACTAACATGGGCGTTGACTAGTAGACTTCATTCAGATCAAGAGAAGTCTACTTTCGGAGCATTTTCGTAAATAAGTGAGGAAGATGAGGATTAGTTGGTCATTTGGATTTCTGAAAATAAAAGAAATTAATTAAAAATAATGACAATTTCGTGAATAACTGAAACTATGGAGGATTGTTTGGACACAAAATGGCAAATGTTGGGAAGGTGATTTTTGTGGGTTAGATTTACAATTCAAATCAAATTTTAGGTCATTTTTGCAAGAATCTCTTGTAGAAATGCATTATGTGCAAAAAATGATTCTAGACTTAAAAAAATGTGAACGAATTTCTACCGATCAAAATAAAATATTACTTCTTCCGTATCAAAATAAGTATCATTCTAAAGTTTTTTTTTATAAAAATACTATTTTACATTTTCAATGTATAATTTTAAATAAATATATAATTTTAACTTTTAAATTTTATTGGTTTAACTAGAAAAAATGTTATGTTGTGTATGAACAAGGGGTAAAATAAAACTTTTAATTATTTTAATAATTTGTATAAAAAGTATCAAAATAACATTTATTTTAAAACAGATGAAGTATCATTAACAGACTTTCTTTTAATACGATTTTTCAGGTCAGAATGTAAATTAAAAAAAAAAAGATAAGTAACACTTAGTACAGAAGGCATTTACGTCCATTTTTTATTCTGCAAATTTCATTAGAGGACGTATATTTATTTTTGGGACATGATTCAACTGGGGGGGGGGGGGGGTTGGTATCTCTAATAACCACTATTTTGGGTTTTTGTTTTTTCATAGACAAAGATCTTGTTAAACCTAGTTAGCAAGAAACCCAAAACAGTGTGAATATGTTTAGTCAATGCACTGAAAAAAAATCGTTTAAAATTTGAGAAATGGGACGGAAATTTTTCTTTTTGTTTGTATTAATAAATTGTAAAATATTCACCACTATTTTCGGTTTTTGTTTTTTTCATTGACAAAGATCTTGTTAAAAACCTAGCTAGCAAGAGACCCAAAAACAGTGTGAATATATAATATTTAGTCAACGCACTGAAAATTTCGTTTGAAATTTGAGAAATGGGTCGACAGAAATTTTTCTTCTTGTTTGTATTAATTAATTGTAACATTTCCCTAAATTGTTTGTTTAGGGAAATGTCTTATAGAAGAGTGATGGGTTTGGCATTGACCATTGTTTCCACTTTTTTATTTTATTTTATTTCCATTTTTCTTACAAGACACACCCTTTGAATGATGATATATATACTTATATACAATCTAGCATCTAGGATGGACAAAACCAATATGCTCTTGAAGTGATTTGTATATATATAATTCAGAATATGTCCTTCTAGTATGAAGCTCTCCTTCGTTCTATGACATAGATAGTGAATATTGCGGTTCTTAGACGCATGTAATGTCAACGTGATACGTTCCAAGACGGACTCCTTCCAAAAATTCGGAGATCAAGTTGAACTCGAGTCTCGATTCAGAAGTAGGACCAGTCCAGCACCAACAATAATTCCTAAATCCTAATCATTAGTTAACTAATTTAGTTTCCTTCGTACTAAAGCGTGACAAAGGTTATATGTTTGACCAAAAGCACTAACATTACAAGTGTCCAAGATAATGCGAGTTTCGATATATTTATGGTTTACCGACGTTAGATTCTAGTAATAAAGCATCCATGCTCATGTTATGACACACGATTTTTTCGACAA